TGTTAAGTTCATCATATATTTATAAATACTGAAAGGATTTGAATATCTTGTGACTGATATTTCATTTAGGGTTTAAACATACGTCAGTTATGGTAACTGAGAATTACTGGCTGCCCGTGATATATACAGTACAGTGTTTAAATTCGCCCTAGTAGCCCATGTTTACTAGTACTAGCTTGAAAATGTTGAAAGAATACTCTTCGAAAGGTCGCCTAAATAAATCAGTAGCTGTTTTCCATAAGTATGTGTATAGTTTATTTATCTACCCAGTTACTAAATGCCACTTAAAGAATAGTACTTAAATGTATATGTATTAATTAAAACCATTTTGAATTGAGAGTACTTATACCTTGACTGTGGGGGGACCTCCTGCTAATCCCTGAGCTTAAGCCCTTCAAAACACTGATGCCTTAATCCGACTCTGCAAATTGAAAAGAATATCTGGGGATTGGAGCTTCAGTTTATCGTAACAGCCAATATGGTTTAAATATTTAAGTTTGTTTTAGTTTTTTATTGTTTTGTTATTTGATGTTGTGTCTAATGATTTCTAACATATATATTATATATATAACTAGAATAACAATTTACCAAATAAAGCAAGGGTTATTTGCAAAAGCGTTTTATAGCTGAGGTGCTGGAGGCACCAGCCTCCTCGCGAAAAAAATCAAAGAAGTTGAAAAAATCAAACGGGAGAAAAATGCTAAAACCGACGAGAAAAATGAAAATGTACCCTAGTTAGGGAGGGCCCTAAAGGCCAAGGGAAAGGGTCCCTGAGTTCGAGTCAATCGTTTTCTATACACTGTTGCTGTCGAATCCATTACTGAATGAGAATGCAGTCATTGCATTGGCATGAAAATCATCAATCAAGAAATCACCTTTTCTGAAAACCTACTAATAAGCTATTCAGGAAAAAGATGGCTAGGCCGCCCAGTGTGGCCTGGCTTTGCGTAGCGATCATGTATATCGTGTAACTGGAAGATCTAACGTCCTTGAACTTTCTTCAAATATTATTTGAAATCCACCATATTCCATTAATTATTATTTGATTGAGCTCCCGGTACGAACAAGTGATTTGTTTCGCATTCAGGCTTCAGACAAGTATCGAATTAGGCCCCGGCCCTCAGATGAAACCAACCTCAAGGGGCCTGGAGGATATGTCAGAATGCACCAAAATGTTTTCTATTTTGCAAAATTTCTCGACCTCCGGTGGCCGGGGGCAGAGACCCCCCGGCGCGCGAAAGAGGGCCCTTAAAATAGTATAGCCTCCGCCATGATAAACCTTAAAACGCCCCTGGTTATTTGTGTCATAGACCTATTAGAGTTTTAAAATATGTATGAAATAAATGTGGCATTTATTAAGCTTTCTTGGATATCTTCGCTGTGATCAAATATTCCAGGCTCTTGTTGGTTATCCACTGTTTTCATTGGGGAGGGAATTTCTAATACTTGCATCACCATAGCGAGGTTTAAATTTTGGGGGATCTTGTGATTAAATGTTCAGGAGTTTTTAGGCTATTAATGTGGCCTCAAGTTGGTTGACAGCAATGTGTATTGAAATTAATGCAACCTGTAATTGCTTCAGAGAGAGAGGGAGAAATTGGGTTTAACGCCCACTTGATACAAACTAGGTCATTTTGGGACTAACATGGTTCAATTTTATTTCAAAAATTCACTTGCATTCATAGGGGTCTTTAAGCAGTGGGAGGAAACAGGAGGACCCGGAGAGAACCCACAAGGTTTGATAGACGACCTACTCCTTGTCACTTACAAGGTGGCAGTGTGTGTGTGTGGTGTGTGTGGGGGGGGGGGGGTGAAACCACGCCACTTGCCTCAATGACAGATCTTATGATTCAACGTGCATGCGTTAACCATTCAGCCACCCAACACCCCCTGAAATAGGTTGACATAAATGTGTATTAAAATTAATGTAAACTAAAGGGGGTTGACATTAATGAGTTTTAAAATTAATGAGATTTGCCATTCATTTTTCTAGATGACATCTGATTGACTTTTATGAGTTTAACAAAGATTAATCACATGATGACGGACATGTATCCTTAAAGATGCAACCCGCTTCTGTAACATTACTTACCCAAACACATAACTCGGTGTAGAAGTCCTGCACCCAGCAATATCTTAAAGTAGCTATAAGTCTCTAAATCAATATCATCCAAAGTCTTCAACATTGAGAACACAAATTATTTTTCAATTTAAATCAACATTGATGTTATTATCTTATCGGAAAAAGGTAGGCTTCTGATATCAAATATTTAAGACAGAATAAACATGTTACCATTGGTACACGAATCGTGTACCATAATGCATCTCAGTCAAATTTGTAATAAGGGACTTGAAGAACGAGGCTAGACATATTCCACAAGTCATGTCAAACGGTGACGCCATATTCTTATCTGGAGAGCATGCACAATAAATACTATGTAGACTGGAATAACCAGACGCTAGAAATTGCCATTCAATTGAGACTTCTGGCGTATTTCGCCGAATATAACTGATTTGAAATTAGAGTAAAAACGGAAACGACTGAATGTAAATCAGTTTATATACATTTATATTACATTATTATATGCGTTGCAACCAATTTGTGTCAGTTTCTAGGTCCCAAATATTAGCGATTTAGCTCCTTTAATATGATTTTATTGCTGAAAATAGGGCTTTTATTCAGAGTTATGTATCTTGGGTGAAAGTTTTAGTTAGTTCCGATAATGTCTACATTGATTATACTATCATGTATAGATTATTTTATTGCTTTAAGAAGCAGTGTTAAAGATACATTATGTAAGATTTAGATAAAGAGCTGGTCGTTCTTGCTATAATAGTCAAAAATAGATAATGCAAAATGAATATATTGAAAATTTTATCCAAATTACTTTATTAAGTGCGTAGATTTTAGCCTTTGAAGGTTTGACAAGATGTGTGCACTGATTGTAACCACCTTACTGGTCGTTCGAAACATAGCCTAGCTTCACCATATTTAGATTAAATCATTAAATGGCTGAACCATTCTAATCTACTTAAAATCGGACCTATCCGATGGCATCGAGACTTGATTATGTCATGTAAATAATTGTCTAATTAATAAATTAATAGTTTATATAACATTTAAGGCTTAAAGAAAGACTTAGCTCTTGCATAATGTATGTTTAAGTTTTAAGGATACCCAGGATTAAAGGGAATTAACTAAGCCTTACTTTATTTTGGTTTTTCATAGAACTGAAAAGCCATATTTAACAGATTAATTTGCTACAGCTGTACAAGTGAAATTGGGTTTGACATCCTACTTTTCTTCTTTGACTGGGCTAATAAAGATGGACATATTCTATGCAGTGCGCTATGACGGAAATTTTGCCTGGACAGCGTGCTACAGCCTACTTTTATTTCAAATTCCAACTGTCAAGGCTTCATTTATGTGCACACCACAGTGTAGGCCAACATGAGACCTCAGTTTTTCATCCCATAAAAAGGACTTTACCTTGTCCATTGCCAGGCCCTCTGTCCTACACCACTGACATCCAGTTGAACTTTCCCCGCAAAAACAAAGATCACAGAACAGGAAGGCCATATATAACACATTAATTTGGCTGTAAACAGAAGTCGGTAAAAACATGAGATATGATTGAAACATGGTTATTATTTTGATTTCCCTCTTGGTTGTATTTTATATATTTATAAAATGTTTTTGTTTATTTTTTTTACCGGTTTGTGGAATACACAGTTTACTGTTTTAGGTAAACAGTAAATGGTAAAGGAATAGAAAATCCTGTTTCTGGTATCAGGCATTTTGTTTATGTAACATACTTTTAATGCTGGCAACATTCAATAAAATCATTAACAGGTAAAGCATACCAAATTTTGGTTTAGGACAATTAACTTACCGGTATTAGAATTTCTATGTTAATTTATTAAAATTACCATGTTAATTGGTGAGAATTTCTATGTTACTTCATTAAAATTGTCATGTTAATTGGTTAGAATTTTTATGTTAATTTATTAGAATTTTTATGTTAATTTATTAGAATTTATATGTTAATTCATTAAATGTATATGTATAGTAACATCATTGTAAACAAAAAAATAAAATTCTAAAGTTGAAAATTAAGTTGTTTGATATTTTATCAAATGTAGCAGTTTGAGTTGAAAAATCCTAAATTTTGAATAGTGTTCTTCCCACCAAGTTTTTAAATTTCATCCAAGAATGCTATCCTATATCAAAATCACAAACTTGAAAAGTAAAAACATAATCAAGGAACGAACCCTGCAATTTGCAGGTAAGTAAGTGAGTAATATGTTGGCTCACTAACCTGGAGTTCCTGTGTTCATCCCTGCGTTGGCCGAGAAAGATTTTCTGATGTGGTTTCCCCTTGTCAGTGGTGCAGGACAGAAGGGCCTAGCAAGGGACAACATAGTTATTCAGATAGGACGAAAAACTGAGGTCCTCTCTGTACACAATGGCATGCACGTAATACATCACATTACATAGGAGAATATAAAAAGTATGCTAACAGAGAACTATGTCACAGAACTACTTTTATTCAAACATAATCACCACTATTACAGCTGCTGAAAGTCATTTGAGGGACTTTGAATCCCTTGCAAATTAAAACATTCTGATAGTTGAATCTCGAAAAGGAATTTCAGTCTAAATTGAAAATTTCACAACAATCAGACACAAACTAGATCATTTCAGATTTCAGGACTAACATATGATTCAATTTTATTTTAAAAATTTGCGTGCATGTAGAGGTCTTGACTCAATTACAGACCTTATGATATAATGCGCACGTGTAAAACCATTTGGCCCTCAACCACCCTATCTCCAAAAGGAATTTCAGTCTATAAAGATATAACGAACTGAAAATTTCACAACAATCGGCATCCTTTGTAGACAATATAAACAGAAGATGGCACAACTTAAAGATATTGTCTGATAAATACAAACGATTATCTGTGGCTTTAATTCAACCTATAAATCAATCAAGTAGTTTATGTTTAGTATATTTTTTATTCCATTTATCTATACAAATACGTTTTCATGATTATCTTGAGATGAAGAGGATGATGATTAATTTGTACCAAATATTTACACAACAATGTCTATTTACAAGTCTAAAATTTAAATTCTTTATATTTCTTGGCTGTTTTCCCACTATCTGTCTGCTGTTTCTTACGTTTCTGGAAGAAAGAATAAAAAGTTATCAATATATTATTTAATAATTCTATATAATATCACTCAATAAGTTATTAATTTAATAAATTCATGTAAATTAAAATATACTATCAATAATATGGATGTGTAAATCTAGGGTTTTGTTGGTCAAACATTGTCAACGGCTTAACTTTCATCTAACATAGATTTTTAATGCTTACTGTATGTAGATATAAGAGGATTATTTTAAATGACTTAACACATTCAAGCCTGGAAATAAGGCACCTGACAATGTCAGGCTTTGTCAGGCACAAAACCTATGGTGCCTGTCATTTTGTCCAGCACTGATTTGTCTTTTTTATTGATATTATTAATAAATATCAGGTACTATTTCATTAGTGCCTGACATTTTGTCAGGTACATTTAAAACTGTTATTTCCAGGCCTGAACACATTTTTCTTTTAATTTGTTAGAATCATTCAAATTCTAAGGGTAATGTTAGTAAAACACTCGACACAAACTAGGTAACTTCTGGACTAACATAGTTCAATTTTTATTTCAATATTTCGCTTGAGTGTAGGGGTCTTTAGCAGTGGGAGGAAACCGGAGGACCTAGAGAAAACCCACGAAGTGGGACAGGTGACCCTACTTCTTGCCACGCCACTTGACTCAATGACAGATCTTGTCATTTCACGTGCTTGCGTTCAACACTAGACCATACAACCCCGCTCCATGTGATTAGGTCTGAATCTGGACTTGGGCACTGAGAAAAACCATCAGGATTTTTTAAGCGTGATTCTCACTTGTCAAGTGTGGCGTCTACACGGGTTAACAAGGAAACCTAAGTTCACCTATGTACACGATGGCATGGACTTAAAAGAACCCTTGGAGATTGGAATTTGAAGAAGAGTAGTCAGAAACCCTGCTGTTCGGGCAAAATCCCCCCCTTCGAAATAGAAGAGAGAATATAACAATATTACATACCTTTTGTTTAGCTGCATGTTCTGCTACCATATCACTTAAATCTTCTTTCTCCAACTGTGATTGTTGTTCTCTTACTGTCTGATCATACTTAGCCTGCATGGCCGCAGAATCAAGGTCAAGTTCCTCAGGGTTCAAGGACACTTCAATACCTTCAGGTGTAACCTTCTCTCCTGGTTTTTTACCCATCTATAAGAATAAACACAAATACTAGCTTATTAATTCTGGAAAAACTTTTAAAAATTCAGTTCATGTAATGCTACTTGACATTCTGATTAAAATACAGATCTACATTTCGTTTCGTTTTTATTACACTTTCGATGGCCTACACTACATGAAGATCTTACTGGTTGAACTGGAAGGTTGTGTCAGGGATCGTACAAGCGTTTATTTTTAGCCTATGACGTCAGACATTGATTAATCAATCAGTATTGATGTTTCTAGTGGTTTACCCACAGTTTCGTACATTGCATGCCTAGAACCCGCTGTAAGACTGTTTCATTGGCTAATCCCTCACTTAAACCAGAACCCCGGTAATATAACAACTCTTCCAGATCCTAGTGTAGTAAAGACAAATAACACAAAATTTTGAACTATAAAAACGAAATAGGATCTGTGTTTTAATCAGATTGGCTACTTGACTTTTAATTTGGTATACTATACAAAGCTTCAAATCCGCATTCTATTTAATTTGGTATTACAAATCTGACTTAAATATATGTATATATTTGTGACTTGTTTGTTTGTTTGTCTGTTTGGGGTTCGGGGTTGGCACTAGGGCTGGCCTGAGGCTGAAATTCGGAGTGTAAGGGAAGGTTTAGCCAGGGAGTTATGCTAGTTCAGGTGTCATGAAACTCCTAAGTAAGCGTCGCTGGACTGTACCTGTGCAATGCCAGGTAAACAGCTAGTTTAGTAAATATACATGTGATAATTAAACAGATCTTTACTTACAGCTGGTATTTCATAACCATGTGATGATCCCATCATGGCAGCACCAACAGATTGTTTTTTCTCAGGTAAAACTTGATATAAAGCTGGTGTATCTCCACCCTGGTCCATGGCATCTTCAATTCTTCTTTTACGTAATTCTATCATTTCTGGTGTTTCTACACCTATAGGTATAGATGTCATACCACTTGGTGTCACCAAACTAGAAAATAAAATTATAACAATACACAATCGTTGACAAACATTTATTACAGATCTATATTTCGTTTCGTTTTATTTTATACTTTCGTTTGCCTACACTACACGAAGATCTGACCGGATGTAGTGGAACGTTGCATCAGAGGTCATGCGAGCGATTTTTGACCCTATGACATCAGACATTTGATTAACCAATCAGCGTTGATATTTCTAGTGGGTTACCCACAGTTCCGTGAACCTCACACCAAAAACTCGCCGTAACAGATTGTTGCATTGGCTAATCCCTCACATCAACAGAATGCGGGTTCTATAAAAACTCTTCCAGATCCCAGCGTAGTAAAGACAAGTAAAACGAAATATTGAACTATAAAAAACGAAACTAAATAGGATCTGTGTTTTAATAAGACTGGATTACCGTAGTCATACTCACAACTGTGTTAAGAACCCTCAAAAAAGAATTCATTTCCATTTAGAATTAAATTGACTTTAATAGAGTATTAATTTTAGATAAACGTGATTACTGAAACAACCAAGCCAGACTATAGCAACCAAATTACATGCTTTTCAGATAAGCTTTGGCCTTTGGGAATTGGGTAAATCAAATTAAAGTTCATTTATATGACAAATATACTGGCAACATTTGTCTCATTAAGCCAGTGACAGTCAGTTATATGGTAAACAGCTTACCCTTCTGACGGTGTTATCAGACCAGTATCATCTTCGTCTTCAGACTCTTCTGATTCTTCTTCAGATTCAGACTCAGATTCCATTTCACCCCATAATGTTTTATCTATCTCATCTTCTTCTATTGGTGCCTGTTAAATATATCATAATTTAAATCATACTTTCACTTCGACGCTCAAAGTTTCTTTTTCTAATTCAGGTAATTATCCCCCTTGGCACATTAAGGGGAGACAATATTTGTAAAAAAAAAAACAATTTGGAACACTACCAATGTAAACTAAACAGACATGGGGGTGGGGTTGTTTTCTGTATTTGAATTCTCTTAATCCTGCAAAAAGTGTCAATCGAGTGGCAGGGCATGCAGCAACTGCATATGACTACATTCCCCATTCTGATCACACCACATATTATGTTCTCAGGGTTGGCATAGCTCGGACAGGATTTAATTATGTGACTCTTGATCACAACTCTGTCAAATTGAGCCCCCCACCACCATTATAATATAATACTTACCACTAAATCTATTGTCTGTGTACCTAATACATCACCCACCCACCATTATAATAAACTACTTATAACTAGATCTATTGTCTGTGTACCTAATACATCACCCTACCATCATTATAATAAAATACTTACAACTAGATCTATTGTCTGTGGCCAATTTAACCACCCCCTACCACCATTATAATACAATACTTACCACTAGATCTATTGTCTGTGTACCAAATACATCACCATATAATGGTTTACCATGTTCATCAACAGGTGGTTTACCCCAGCCTCCTGCATGATATCCAAATGTACAGCCCTAAAATTATAAACATAATCATATACAATCACAATATACCTGTATATTGTTGTATTCATTTTGCAGAGATCTACTTTGCAATACTTTTCATCACTAGCTGGAGTATGGTGTAGTTTGTTGGGATATAATACTTTACAGACCTTTATGATATAGTTTATACTGAAAGCCAATACGATTCTATAAATTGTTATTCTATGGCTATGAGAAATCTTACCTCAGGTATAGAAGCATTTAAACCTGGTACTTTTAAATTAGGATAAGATGGTGGTGGACCGTATCTCTGCATAGCTATTAACCATGGTGGTGGAACTTTATCTGCACTCTGTTAATATCAAAAATAATATAAGTTACACTAATTACATCAACAATTTAATATTATTTGAAATAAAGCTTATCTACTTAAATTCTTTAAAGACAGGTTCCCAGAAAAGTATTTATCGGGTGGTTATTTCCAATAAAAGTATGGCAATTTTGGTATATATTTAAAGTAGAGATATCCAATCTTACTAGAAAAATACTGGATTCCCTGAAAAACACTCATGGAGCGTATACAGGACAAAAATGTAAGGGTTCCCCTAATCGGCAGCCCGAGGATTAGGAATACCTGCACGCGTGACTTCGCAGGTTGCACGCGAAGATTGAGCGCTTGGTGTACATGTTGATAAACTTTATGAAGAGTTAGACGTACAACACTTTCTGAGATAAAAATCACGGAAAAAGACGGGGGCAATGGATAATCTGAGAATTTAATTAGGATTCGATATATTTGTGATAAATAGTCAGCGATTAAAGACAACATCGTCTTGTGTATACAATGAATTCTCCTCTGACTTCGCCCCCATTGCTATAGGTACCGAGCGAGGTAAGTCACGTGACATAAACATGAGCTCTTTTGATAGATTTTTATAGCAGGGTATTCCTTGTCAATTACAATGTTTTGAGAAGGATTTGAAGCAAAATTATGATAAATTAATTATTTTGAATATGTTTTTAGTCCAAATATATCATCAAATCACCAGTTTGTATGCAGGAATGTATCTTTAAGACAATCCTTTTTGATTTTGAATGAAAGTATTGAAAGATTGAATGATCTATATCAAGAATTATAAAAGAATTATGAAAACACGTACTCCACCAACAGGCATACCAAGTGCCATTCTTAAATCATCAGATATATTTCCTGGTTTCTTTTCTCTTAATCGTGTCTCAAATTCTTTTCCCTGAAATCAAAAATAAAATAAAATATTCAGATCTTTTTTTTTTTTCAACCTATGTAAACAAAACATTTTGATTTACTCCTAAAAAAACAAATCATAATCAATTAAATTACATATAAAGTAATCCATTTTATTTTTTGAAAGTTACACTTTGACTACTGGAACATCATGAAATTATACTTAGATACTGGAACATCATGAAATTAACTTACCTCATAATATAAATCACCATGTATCGTCATTTTAGGTTTAGTTTGATATCGGAAAAAGGCATCGTGTAATTTTTGATAATCGATATCAATTTTACCCATCTTAGGACGAACTCTTTCTCTCATCTTTGATTTCATTGTCTTCTGATCTTCCTGCAAATAGAATGTTTTTAAAAATATAAAGCAGTTACTTACTGAAGAAAATAAAGAGAGAGAGAGAAATGGGGTTTAACGTCCACTCGACACAAACTAGCTCATTTCGGGACCAACATATGATTCAATTTTATTTCAATAATTCGCTTGCGAGTAGGGGTCTTTAGCAGTGGGAGGAAACCAGAGGACCCCTAAAGAAACCCCACGAGGTTGGACAGGTGACCCTACTCCTTGTCACGTACAACAGGGTAATTGAAACCACACCAGTTGACTCAATGACAGACCTTATGATACAGCGCGCACATGCTAATCATTCGGCCATCCAACCCCCCTGAAGAAAATAAACATAATGATTAGATTTTCTATGCATCTATCGCCTACAGGTTTTGCAAATGAAATGGGGTTATTTTGGGTTATATGAATGACGGCATACCTTTTCTGCTAGAGCTGCTCGCATTTCCTCGATACCTGTTGATTTAATAAAATCTGGTAGTTCAAATGGTTGTTTCTCTATACCTCTTTTACCTTGTAAATATTTTCTTTTATAGGACCAATGTCTAGGTACAGGGACAGAATTTCTTGCAGCCTGAAAACAAAAAAATTTATGTGGAAACACAAGAACTCTACACACATAATGTTTAATTAGACTCTACACAATAAATGTATAATTAGACTCGATCATGACAAGATCCAATAATAAATGCAAGCATGAAAAGTATGTGTAATTAACTCATGACCAGAACTAAGTATAAATAGGAATAAAACGCAATAGAAGAAAACAAAAAAAGAAGAAGAATGTGCACATTTAGTGTATGCTTATACATTTAAATTGACCCGTTTAGGTCACACGAATTTCATGTCTAAATTACCAATTTATCCTTTTATCTTAATCTAAAAGTTTCTACCTTAAGAAGAACTAAAAGTCTTGGATCTCGAGCAGTAACATCCTGCATTTCAACCACATCTGGCCTCGTTACCAACTGAAATATTAACAATAAATTTAAACTGATTAAATATGTAAGATGAGAGAGAGAGAGAGAGAGAGAGAGAGAGAGAGAGATGGGGTTTAACGTCCACTCGACACAAACTAGGTCATTTCATGACTAACATATTGTTAAATTTTATTTCAATAATTTGCTTGCGCATAGGGGTCTTTAGCAGTGGGAGAAAACTTTAGGACCCAGAGAAAACCAACGAAGTTGGACTGGCGACAGACCTTATTATGCAACGTGCATGCATTAACAATTCGGCCACCCAACATAATTACGCAAAATGATAATGCTATTAAATCATTCTACTGCCTTCAAGTATAGCAGCCGGGCCTACAGAGATGACCCAATTTATATAATGTGGTAAACAAATTTAATTTTGACATAGGGTAAGTCAAAGGGTTGCCATGCTCAAGAGTCACTGTGACTCCCCTCGACATAAGGTGTTGGTTTAAGAATTAACACATAATGTACATATGTTGGAGGACCCTGTGGGAAGATGGAGGTAACTATGGTAGGATATATAACATTACCTGTTTTAACTGTGCAACACTTAATCTGGTCATTTTCTTTAATTTCTTCTTGGATATTTTAGCTTCTTCTTCTTTAGGTGGCATGTCATCCTAATAAAAACAAGACATTATCATATATTAAATGAATAAAAACATAGCATTATAATATATTCAAAATATACTATATGGAAATAACTAATTATAGAAAACTGGTTTCAGTCTACTAAAAGATGACATTAGAAACCAGTATGATAGTACTATATCTACCAGCAAACCGAGCATGATGTCATCACTGTCATCTTGGAATTGTGACGTCATATCAAAAATTGAAGGAACACGCATGACAAGTTTCATGTTGATCATACATGAATTAGCAGAGCCTTATTTTTTTTTCGAAGAGCTTCCTAGTTCAAAAAGCAAATTAAAATCTGGATGCTAAAACTAGAAGACAATAACAGTATAATTTGTGTTGTCTATGATCCGGAAAACGTTAAGCAGCAGTCTTATTTCCACATAGTGAAGTATTTGTATCTGCATTATTAGTTCTAAAGTAAATGAAATGAAATCGGGTTTAATGTCCTACTCCGACAGGGCTACTTAAGAAGGGCATACGTCATGCAGTGCGCTACATGGGAACTTTTGCCCGGGCAGCAGGGCTATGAAGTTTAAAGGGAGAGCAAACCATTTGATGAATAAATCAAACTGTTATGTTACCTCATCTTCATCATCATCATCATCACCATCTTCTTTATCTTTTTTCTTCTCACCATCTTTCTTATCATCTTTTTTCTGTGCATCAGGTTTTAATGCTTCTTTTGGTTTCTCTGGCTCAGATATCTGTCAACACGAAATATAATAAAACATGATCAATCTATGATCTTGTTAAACATGGGCTTCGACAAAACTCTGATGTTGAATACACTGAATATATGTGAACAAGGGTTTCATTATACTGCTCTGGAGCAATATTGACTAGCTTATCATACTGGTCTGGAGCAATACTGACTAGCACATCATACTGCTCTGGAGCAATTCTGACTAGCTTATCATACTGATCTGGAGCAATATTGACTAGCTTAACATAGTGCTCTGGAGCAATATTGACTAGCTTATCATACTGGTCTGGAGCAATACTGACTAACACATCATACTGGTCTGGAGCAATACTGACTAGCACATCATACTGCTCTGGAGCAATACTGACTAGCTTATCATACTGGTCTGGAGGAATATTGACTAGCTTAACATACTGGTCTGGAGCAATACTGACTAGCTTATCATACTGGTCTGGAGCAATACTGACTAACACATCATACTGGTCTGGATCAATACTGACTAGCACATCATACTGCTCTGGAGCAATACTGACTAGCTTATCATACTGGTCTGGAGCAATATTGACTAGCTTAACATACTGGTCTGGAGCAATACTGACTAGCTTATCATACTGGTCTGGAGCAATACTGACTAACACATCATACTGGTCTGGAGCAATACTGACTAGCACATCATACTGCTCTGGAGCAATACTGACTAGCTTATCATACTGGTCTGGAGCAATATTGACTAGCTTAACATACTGGTCTGGAGCAATACTGACTAGCACATTATAATGCTCTAGAGTTATTTATGAACTGTAGTGAAGTAAATGAAATGAAATGGGGTTTAACGTCCTAACTATAGTGAACTCTGGCTGGTTTTATTACAAGTTTAATGCATGTCAGCTAAAACTGAAACAAGAGCCTCAACAGAAACCAATCTTCAGGATCCACTGGTTGAGTGACGTAGTTGTCTGATAATTTACAGGACTGTGATGTTCATGTGTTTGCCTAACTAGTGTCTATAGGTTTTTCAACTATATTTATTATTATATATTTTAGAATATAAAAATAAAACAATTTACAGACAATAAAAATAAATTTACCTTGAAAGCCTCGAATATTTTAGAGAATGTGTAATAATTAGGATCGGATGGTTCTAGAATCAACTGTTCTTGTACATACCTAGAAAATAAAACATTAGTTTACATTATATACTTTGGCTAGAAAATAGTTTACATTATATACTTTGGCTAGAAAATAAAACAATAGTTTACATTATATACTTTGGCTAGAAAATAAAATAATAGTTTACATTATATACTTTGGCTAGAAAATAAAACAATAGTTTACATTATATACTTTGTAACCTTTGTTTACATTTACTATACAGATATTACTCCTATGGAACAGTACCGAGCTTATAAAGGAATGTTACGCTTGAAGTTAGAGCTTAATCCCCGCTAAAATGTACACAAACCAATTATTTAACATTAAGAAATCGACATATCAACGGTAGATAATCTTGCGGCTTGGATTCAATCAGATTAAAAAGAGGCCCATCAACAGATTTTATCAAACATTATAGGTAGTGCTGACTTGTTGATTGCAGAGAATAGACAAATTTTCAATTCGTCATATCTTTGTAAATACTGAATCTAACTGAACCATTTTTGGACTGATATTACTTTCTGAGATTTCAATTTCACAATATTGCAGTTTGCAATGGGAACAAAAATCCATTAAATGATCATAGACTTAACATTTCGTAAAAAAAACAAAATGAAATGAAATGGGGTTTAACGTTCTACTTTTCTGCTCCGACTGGGCTAATGATGACGGCATACGCCATACAGTACAATGAGTTTAATTTTGCCTGGGCAGCAGCACTATGGCCTACTCTTATATCGAATTTCAACTGCCAAGAGATCTTTTACTTGCACTCCAATGTATACACTGGACCTCGGTTTTTCGTCCTATCCGAACGACTAGACAGCTGTCCTTGTTAGGCCCTCTGTCCTGCACCACTGACTAGAGGAAACGTCAGAAAATCCTGAGGAACTTTCTCGGCCAATGCAGGGATCGAACACGCGACCTCCAGTCTAGCGAGCCAGTGACTTACCCACTTAGCCACCGTGGCTCCCGAAAACAAACAAACAAAGCCCTATACTTACTCTATCTGAACATCATCTTCAGGTTTATCCTCTTCTTCATCCTCTATATGTACTCTAGTTACCATCTGTCTATTCTTACGTGACTTCTTCTTCTTCTTCTTTCTTCTTTTATTCTTAGACTAAAGAAAATCACACACATTGAAAAACTCTAGTTTTAAGACAAGCATAATAACATTTGACCATTGTTTCAACTAATTTCATTCAGTTATAAATTCAAAAAAATATCATTTGAAGAAGTCAAAAATCCCATTACGACCTTGTCCTGTACCTTGTTCACAAGCTTATAATTCTAAAGTAATTGTGCAATTCACAGTTGGGGTATTTTTCTCCTGAAGAGTGTTTCCAACTCTTTTTACATTCTTATGAACTTATAAAGACACAGCCAGTTGACAATTTTTTTTTTTAAAAGTGACTAAAATAAACGAGGCAACACTGACCTCTTTCTTCGATGGTTGAACGGGTTTCTGTATTGGTTCATCCTCTTCTTCATCTTCATCCTCATCAGCATCATCTAATTGTCCATTAACTTCTTTTCTTGTTTCATCATCATCTTCTTCATCTTTATCTTCATTCTCTTCTTCTTCTGAACGAATAAAGTGATAGTAATGATGTTTAATAACAGGACAGGGTTATGAAATAGGGTTTAACATCCTACTTTTCGGCACTAATGACGATTGGCATAAGCCATGCATTGTATCATAAGAGAAATATTACCATGACATCATTACTATGGATTACTCTTATTTCTATTTCATACTGTTAGGGGATCTTTAGCACACTGCCAATGACATACAGTGTGCTATGAGGGAAATTTTGTCCACATAGCGTCACTATGGCCTACTCTTATATCGAATTCCAACTGTCAAGGGATCTATTACGTACACGCCAATGTATACATGGGACCTCGGTTTTGTGTCCCATCTGAACGCCTATATCTTGTCTCTTTCCAGGCCCTCCTGTCCTGCACCACTGACAAGGGGGAACTACGTCGAAAAATCCTGATGAACTTTCTAGGCCAATGCAGGGATCGAACACAGGACCCCCAGGTTAGCAAGCAAACATCCTACATGGTGAGCAACTGTGGCTCCCCTGGTTAGTAAGAAAGTTAAAGTTCAAATTTCTTTTCACCAGTTACTTGATCATCAAACCAACATGAGAGTGTTGCAACAGACTAGAATCTGACAATTCACCACATCCATGTGTGATCCGCCTAATACCAACGTTAGTAAAGCATTGACATTTGAGCATACTCTCTCTTTTTTGGAATACATTTTCATGGGTGAAACACAAGGTTCATAAATTCATAAAAAAAGAAATCTGAATCTCTTAAAACAAGAGACCTAGGTTTTATCTATTGTAATTAGTTATAAAATATAACATTTTTTTACCTTTTGGTTGTTCCAGTTCATCTAAACTAATTCCCACCTCCTCAGCTCGAACTGTTTTAAACTCCAACATCTTCTCTAAGGCTACAGGTAACTTCATCTCTTTCTGTTGAGGTGGACCTGGTCTTTCACTCTGAATATAAAAAGCATTTATAAACAACTTGCTGCTAATTTATTTTTCATGGCTGTAACTCTAAAGTTTGCATTTCATCTTTTCCTGGAGCTGATCAGGAAGCAGCAGTAGGAAACCGAACAGAAATCATCTCAATTTGATGAGAGAAGACAGAGACGCTGCTTTCCAGGCAAAATTTCCCTAATATCACAGTTGGTGCAGAAAATTATTATTATTATTATTTATAAGCGTTTATATAGCGCCATTTCCACAAAAGTGCTCAATGACGCTTAAAACCATAATTTGTTTGATTTCCAATTTTCCTAACCAGTGATCTTTGAACAAATTTCTCATATTTAATTTTATCATTAATCCAACCCAGCAGAAACATTCCCAATGTTTGTGATAACAGAACAAACAGTCTGCATTGACTAAATGAAACGACACTTACCGGTGGTGGTACAATCTTGTCCATTAAAGGTTGTGGTTGTCTTTGATTAGAACCTCCTGGAGGCCCTCGTGGTGGACCTTGATTCTGTGACGGTCCTCCAATGTTAGGAGGTGGACCTCCCATTCTTTGTTGTGGACCATCCATTCCTTGAGGTGGACCACCCATTCTTTGAGGTCCACCCATTCCTTGTGGAGGACCTTGTTGAGGTGGACCTCCCATTCCTGGTGGAGGACCTTGTTGAGGTGGACCTCCCATTCCTGGTGGGCCACCCATTCCTGGAGGGCCACTCATCCTTGGTGGACCAGGAGGTCCACTCATCATACCACTCATATTTTGTGGAGGGCCACCCATATTTTGTGGTGGGCCACCCATATTTTGTGGTGGGCCACCCATATTCTGTGGAGGACCACCCATATTTTGTGGAGGACCAGGGTGCATAGGACCTGACATCCCTGGTGGAGGTCCCATTTGTTGCATGCCCTGTGGTGGTCCCTGTGGTGGCATTCCCTGGGGCGGACCTTGAGGTGGCATTCCTTGTGGAGGCATGGGTCTCCCTGAAATGTTGAAAAGTGATAATTAATATAGTGATGACAGTATTAAAAAGGAACTTGCTTAGAATTTTACCATAGGGTTAAAAGTACATAATAAATGTGCATTGACTATTCCACTTGGTAACACTATGACTTGCTAAAACTTAAAGAACCATTAGTAGATCTTCTCCAATCAATACAAGCTAACAGTGATGCTGATGGCCCCCCTCTTAATCCCAAAGTTAAGTTCCATCACTCATACTCGATTGGATCCAAATTGATTATATCTACTTAGCTTAAGCAGAAAATACTCATAATCAATCACAGTCAAGATATTTGCCTGATGAACATAAATAATAATAATATATGAAAACTGCATATATTACCTTGTTGTTGCATCTGTTGTTGACTAGGGGCCATAACTCCTTGTGGCATCTGTCCAGGAGCTCCAGCAGACACCATCATGGATTGAGACTGAGCTTGAGACTGGGGAGGAAGAACAATCTGTGGATTCATGGACATTAATGGTGGGGGTTGAACTCCCATATTACCAGGTTGTGAGGGAGGTGGTGGAGCACCAGGAGGATTCATCTGACTTACTGGTGGTGGTTGCGGTGGTAGCACACCTGATGGTGGGTTTATTCCTGTAATTAGAAATAGAATTTATGTGTGAATCAGTTAGTATAACTCAAAAGTAATGAACTTTAATTTTTTCCCATATCAGTTATTGGGTAACTCAATATCCTAGTGAGACCTAAAAAGGGTTAGGGCCAGCATCTGCACATATAAAATAAATAGTAATATCTATACTAATATTTGTGACTGTCGTTTTCTGTTAGTCTGTTCAGGGTCGGCAGCTATATTAAGGCTGTCCCGAGGCTGAAATTTGATGTATAGGGGTATCTATGACTGGAGAGTAACATAGCCTAGACGGCGTTGGCCTTCTGCTTACAGTTTTGGAGTTACGGGCACAACCTGGGCAGCGCCAGGTGATCCGCTAGTATACATGTACATGTTAAAATATATCAGAAACAGTATTTCACTAGGAATTCATTCATGACTTAAACATACATTAAGCAAGAGCTAAATCTGCCTATTGCACTTGCAGGTCTTTCTTTAGGCCTTAAATGTTATATAAACTATTAATTAGACATTTATTAACATGAAAAGACCATAACGCTTGATGCCATCTTATATGTCAGATTTTCACTCATATTGATGATTAAATCCAAAAATGGATAATCGAGACTATTTTTTTTTTATCATACTGACTTTAGTAATGATGACATCTTGGTTCAAAGTGAAGCAATTTGACTGAAATTTTCAGCATATTCCCTTTACATTATCTAGTTTTTAACTATTATAGTGAGGGCTGCCAGCTCTATCTAATCTACCATAATGCTCCTTTAAGTAAACTGTTAAGTATGAAATAATCAAGGCTAAATATTATGTTTCTACAAAACAAGCTACATTTTAGTCAATATACTACAAGAACAGAAAAGTATCTAATTAAATACAGAGAAAAAAAATAACAAAAACAATGCCTAGTTGAACACTAATTATATATAAGAAATATTAGTTTTTATCATAAAATATGGAAAGTTTCTAAATCTTACCTGGGGGCAGGCGTGGAGGTGGTAACATTTGAGGGAGATCCATAGAGGACTGAAATCATAACAAGGGGAGAAGTTTAATAAATGTATTGAACGAGATCTTGGAAACAATGAGAGAGAGAGAGAGAGAGAGAGAGAGAGAGAGAGAGAGAGAGAGAGATGGGGTTTAACGTCCACTTGACACAAACTAGGTCATTTCAGGACTAACATAAGGTTCAATTTTATTTCAATAATTCGCTTGCGCGTAGGGGTCTGTAGCAGTAGGAGGAAATCGGAGGTCCTGGAGAAAACCCACGAGGTTGGACAGGTGACCGTACTCTTTGTATACAAATTTGAACTCAGCCATGAGGGTTGGGTGGCTGAATGGTGTAACACATGCACTTTAGGTCACAAGGTCTGTCATTGAGTGAAGTGGCATGGTTTTGATTCCCTACTTGTACCTAACAAGGAGTAATGTTACCTGTCCAATGTCCATCCTTGTGTGTTTTCTCCGGGTCCTACAGTTTGCTCCCACTGCTAAAAATCCCTACGAGCAAGGAAATTATTGAAATAAATACGTAAATACCGAATTCACCTAGTTTCTCTCCTTCTCTTCCAAGATCTCATTGAAATAAAAGTACATTGTACCATTGTACTAGTTTTCATTGAAACTGAATGTAAAATGTTGACTCGGATGCTTTCACAAACTATTTTGACAGATATGGTCAGTCCATGCGAAAGCCGTCGGACTGTCGGTCATTACCGATAAAATAGCCCTCGGTCCGGTATTTTCATCATGAATACCGGCCCAGTTGTCCGGAAAGATTCTGGACCCGGTTTACTGAATGCTGGTTGTATTAAATCATCGCCGTATTGGCACTGACTGACGACACTTCGTGCACGGACTGTTGAATTCTCATTTAATTTATTGTGTTAATTTCACTATTGTTTAAAATGTAAACAAAAACTTATCTCGAGTACGTAGTACCGTATATCGAGCTAGTCTAGTAAGTAGTAGGCTAGGTTAATCCAGACTAAAACGAAAGTCCTTTTATTGTATTAATAACATTGGCTTCTGGTAGACTCAATTGTCATCTAAGGGATTATATTTTCTTTGCGCAGTATATTTATTGTTATCATTAACACAAAATGACAATTAAGGAAGTGTGCGAAAAAGTCTTTATACAATAGATAATCTTTGTAATAAAGTAAAGTATTTTCCCCCTTATATATACTGTTTGTTGTTTTTCGAGTTTTAGGCCATTATTACTTATTTTATGCATATTTTTGGTATGAACTTTTTTGGACCAGTAAAATCTCATTCGGTCCAGTAATATTTGGAATAATACCTGCCCAAATGTCCAGTAAAAAAAATATCATTTCGCATACACTGGGTATGGTACATCATGATTATGGAATTAGACCTACCTGATGTATCTGTTCTATTTGTATCATTTGTTGTTGTTGAAAAACTTTCTGCATCAAATCTTCATCTTGTTTTTGTAATAAGGCTTGTTGTTGTAAACCCATGACTTCACGATTTCTATCTACTTCTTCCTGACGTTCAGCTTGAATCAACTGTTGTTGTAACTGAACTTTTGTATCAAAATCCAAATCCTGGAAAATATAAACATGGATGTGACAAAAATGTCTTAAATATATGTTCTACAAAAACAAAGGCAAAACAATTTGCTTTCAATTAAAGACGCAATGACAAATAAGGCCAATAAATTTATTCTTTATCAAAATTTAACAAATATGAGATCAGAAAGTGTTCTTTAGATATTAAGGCCTAAAAGTTTGCTTTAGATTATAATTTAAATGATTAAAACAAAATAAATACAAGTTAGATACCATCTTGGCCTCGATGTTCAGGAAAATAAATGAGCTATTGTTCAGAAGGCAAAAGAAATAATGATGGCAGTGTGAAAACAATAGAAAGTAATGTGAACTTTAGATGGCCATATCTTACAATCAGACTGATCAATTTTAATCATTTTTAGACCAATGTGCATTTGGGTAAGACTATTTTTTATTGTGTATGGTACAAAAGTCTATATATGTCGTTTAGTTTTGAATATTGCACCTTTACACAGAATTCTGTGGAATCAAAAACGAATGTCTGTTAATGTTAGTATTGTTACTGATTGCTTTAATTAATTTTACATCTTAAAACATTTTTTTTATTATTATGTTATGAGACATACTCCTTTCACCTAACAGATTAATATGTGAAATGCTTTTTTTCAATATAGTAAAACTTACATTTTCATCTGGGTCATATTCGTCGTCCATTCCTGTAACATAAATTATCATATAGTAACAATGATAAAGATTCAGAAAAACAATCAAAAGGTAGGGAAAAAAACCAGTAAGACACAAGATGTTGTCTCATGTCATTGTTGAACAGTTTATAAATTACATGAAATCATTTTAAAGCGAGAATTTCAAATTTTCTAAGAAAGTCAAAACATAATTATTTCTATGTCTTTTGCTCAATAGGTTATCAAATCACTATTATACGATCATGGGCATTATTTCCCACCCTTAAAAATCTATGACACAATTACACAATTACCTCCCCTGTTTTGCTATTGACAACATGGGGCAGCCATTTTCCAACGTTGGAATTTGAAGTTAAAAATGATATTTTTGCCAATTTCTCAGCTGGCAATAGCGAATTATAGGATTAATAGGATTATTCTTTAAGAAGGTAGAACTGTTTATGGATACCATCTATTTTAAGGCTTTATTTTAAAAATATAACTTAAAAATTTGCAATTGCAACTTTAAAAGATCTATTTTATACATGTACAATTGATAATAATTTATTACATTAGAAGAACTAATATACGTAAGCTTACTTTGGTCTGCCATGATTAACCAATTCTGCAATAGAAAGACAAAGATGAATTTTAAATCTTTACAGGAGCAGAAAATCAACCCTGATCTGATAGGAGTGTAACAGTTTTCTACAAATCTGATAAGTGTCAGGTGAACTTTTCATGTAAGCACTGTTTCAACAAATAGATTACTGAAGTAAAATAATAATGGCATTAGGTGCTAAATTGTCGGAGTATTAGGGTGGGGAAGACAATGAAGTCGATTCAAGTATTATAAGGATTTATAAGCCAATGTGTGTCATACATGAAAATAGGTGGTAGATGTTAAGGATTCAATCACAGTATATAACTTGGGAATTGAATTTGCTACGTGAAATGTGTCAATTTGTTGTCTAACAATTCCATATTTGGTTTTTGAGCACCAAGACAATAAGTAGATATGAAGACTTGTAAAATCATTGGTTTATTGGATGGTTTTGTTTATAACTACCATTTAGAGGTCTTTCATTTAGCCTTGTAAACTCGTTTTTCTCATTATGATTGTGTGTGGCTTCTTGGAAATGATAATTACAATAACACTGAAATAACCCAACTCGACCCGATGAACTGTCAAACATCACCCAATGTCTCAAATAACGTCCATTAACTAAGTCAGACACCGATTATTGGGACTAGACCACCATGACACACTGGACGCTTTTCAAAGCATCTGGCTTTAAAGTTTTCAGTAGGCCTACTGATCTAAATTCGATAAAGACCGAATTGATATCATTGTTTTAAGAAAAGCTGCAATACATTAAGCACAATTACAGTCAGACTAATTCACGGTGGCTGTGCCAGGTCCTTCAAATAGCCTCATTACACATATGATGTATCAATTCTGTCCGTGAAACGCAAACTGGGTATGATATTATTATATATATAATATGCCTATATGGTGTTCTCAGTTCTACAAGAGTCTAGAAATGACACAAAATTGACTTTTGTTATACAGTTAAAGAACCCAAACCTATCAAACTATAAGAAATTGCCATATACTCATGATATAGGCCCATATATAATGGCTATTATTAATACGAGATGAGTCCTATTTTGGCCCTGCATGATCCTGACAAACTGAAATTTATGCAGGTTTTCTACATTACCGCTACTTTATTCTTAAATAAGCAAAATATAAACGTCAATTTTACTTACAACGAAAATATAGATAAATTAAAAGTCTAATATCGGCAATAAAAACCAATAATTTAGAAATAAATATATTCTTCAAATAAATCGTGTGGACAACGCCATGACGTAGTCTTGAATTACAAGACGTACCTGATCATGAAAGGAAATGACTTTATTTTAATATTGATTTTAGTTTGATAATCAAAAGATTGAAACTTTTCATACTTCTAGTATTATATAGCTAAAAATTTATCTATCGTAATTTTTAAAAACAAAATGAGCTGCAATTATAATTCTTATTTATTGTTTCTTCTAAATTACAGTTATCTCCCCTGGCGAGTCTTCAATCAAAATGGTGGACAATATTTTGGAAGATTGAAAGTTTCACCTCTTTTCCCCAATTTAGTTGATTGTTAATTTGCAAGGTTCAAAATGTCCCTGCAAGAATTAGAACAGGTACATGAATGTCTATTTTACGATCAGTTAAACTTTGCGATAACAAAGTTGACGTTGCACGTAGAGTATAAAGTAATTCTAAAAAGGGAACCATCGCCATCGCCCATGGCCATTCATTGAATTCATAATATGTAACAAACAGGCCTTGCCTGAGTAGAGCGTAGCTGATGTGATTGTTGTCAAATAAAACCTTCATAATAAAGTTTCCCCAATTGAAAAAAGAACAAAAAGGTATGAGGATTTTCATTGACGTCAAAATTATCTGACGTCATTTATTCGACGCGTCATAGAAATATTTCTTAGAGACCCATAAAATCTCGCTTGGGCGAGATTTGGTAAGTTGACATGCGCTGACATGCGCATTGACAGACATGCGCATTGCCTGTTTTCCCCAGTGTATCCGGTTCCTGTCTGAATTTTTTTTTAATCAACAGTCTGTGGGTGACATTTTCAATTACGCTCCTGTGTTACCGGAAAAGAGCTTTGATAAAGCACCGCGCTTCGCGCGATGCTTTAGAGCTTCGCTCTATAATACTGGCCCCAGTGAGCCTGACTGATTAATTAGTTGATTAATTAGTTCTCACTACCTTCCATTGAAGAACCACATCCAATTGTCTGGGATGGCAATAAGCCTTTTAAATTAACTGTTTAGATATGATGATTAGTTGAAACTATGGCATGGGCCTAGTACGTTGACCCTGCTACTTTTGACTTCTAAATCTAAATCTAACCCAAACCCTAATTCTAACCAGAGTAGCCGAATGAACGTACTGCGCCAAACTATGTCAAAACGATTAAGAAGAGTCAATTTATTAATTGTTATCATGTTTATCAAATAAATTGAAAACAACCAAATGTTTTGGAGAGAGAGAAATGGGGTTTAACATCCACTCGACACAAACTAGATCATTTCGGGACTAACATACGGTTTAATTTTATTTCAATAATTCGATAGCGCGTAAGAGTTTTTAGCAGTGGGAGGAAACCGGAGGACCCGGAGAAAACCCACGAGGTTGGCAAATGTTTTGGTCAAAACAGCCAATTAAATATTTGTTATATATTATGAATCCAATATGTAAATGTTATGTATTAACATACATTTAGCATAACATAAAATATATACAGCACATTATTTACATGTTATTATCACAAATACCAACATATCAATCACATATTAATTGAATACATATTTAATATATACCGGTAATTTATGATGTTATTGTCTCTGCTTTTGCTGTGCAGATTTCTCTCCTATATGGCACATAATCTAATTTAAACATGCATAATAATTATCAAATAACATCAAATCTTTGATCTACCTTAATTAGCACATTAAGGTATACAACCACATTTATACATTCTTATTCAATATAACATAACAGTCTAACAATATCTGGGATTGTTAGGTTTTATAATACTGTTTGTTGTTGGCATAATGGATGTTTAGAGCTTAGACTCGGGAACATGAATTTTTATATTTCAACCATTTTTTTTTATGCAGGAGCCATTCAGTGTTCATGAATTTGTAGAGCGTCTGGCATGGAAGACAATGGGTTCAAAGGCTCGGAGTAATCCTGAAGAGTTTGATCCGATACTTCTACACACAGCTTTCGAAAAGATGATAAATGACCTTCAAAAAAAAAATGAAGAGACACAAAGAGAAATTGAACGTTTGGAAAGCTCATGTAAAGATGAGGAGAAAAAACACTGGCAAAATGTTGCTGAATTACAGAAAAAAAATCAGGTATTGAGATTTAGATAAAATTTTTGTGTACTGCTGTAATTCAGTTGATATTCTACAGTAGGTCATTTATACACGGTATACTGGTACTGCTGTTTGAAGTTGATATCGGTAATCGCCCAGTAATGGGTGGGTCACAAATGACTCAACAGTGAACAGCACACTTGTTTGCAATTATCGCAGTCGTATCCATTGTTCGAATTGTTAACTAGTAGGTTAGTCAATGTTGTAATATATCACTCAAAGGAGCATTTATTAACCAATTCTTTATTTTTGAAATTTTCTTTCAGGCGTTATATACCAATTTCCAGAAGTTAGATGAGAGAATTAGTTATGTGGCCACAAAAGTGGTTCACCTGGGTGATCAACTGGAAGGAGTGAACACACCTCGTGCCCGAGCTGTAGAAGCGCAAAGATTGATGAAGTATTTAGCAGAATTTTTATCAGGAGAGGCACTGAAATCAGCCATTTTGACTGATCCTTTTCAGGTAAATATAAAATAAAAGAATGCAGGTATATGCCAGAGAGTTTTTTTTTGACAACTGTACCAACTGAATATTACTCTTTAATAATACAATAAATACATAAATAATTCTTTCGATTTTTTAAATTTTTATTTAGTTATCAAAGGACATTTGAAATTAAAATTATATAAATTTTTGTGTATCCAGAATTTTCATTTTTCTTGTAATAGACTACATATACAATTATTATATCTTTCAGCTTCAACTTGCTGCTGATATCATACAGAAATTACATTTAATAGCCCTTGAATTACCTGTTGGTGGCAAGTAAGTATTTCACAGTAAATCACAGATTATCTCAGCTAGTAACTGCTGTTAACTGGGTTATCTTCTATCAAGTAGCTTTGATAGAATATCTCTAATTAGTAGTGGTGATGATTGTGCATAGGACAGAGCATGCTTATTCTTTTAGAATACCAGACACAACAACTGATCCTAAATGTCAATAATCAAATGGTCTGAACTTGTATTGTTTGTAATCTAAAGATATACTGACCACTACAAACATTGAATAATCTTTATTTGTGTACCCATATCATATAATATTCTGTTGTATTTTTTTATCTGTAGGTTTGATAGAGCAAGGCAAAAAATAGCAGGTTAGTATATTAAGTTTTGGATTGTATTTTCATATGTCCACATGTTAATGTGGTCATATACTGTAGACACTCCTTTCCTTCAGTCGATTCCCAGGTTGTATGTGACAAGGAGTAGGGTCGCCTGTCCAACCTTGTGGGTTTACTCCAGTTTCCTCCCACTGCTAAAGACACCTACACGCAAGCGAATTATTGAAATAAAATTGAACCATGTGTTAGTCCCGAAATGACCTAGTTTATGTCGAGTGGACGTTAAACCCCATTCCTCACTCTCTTTCCCTTTCCTTCAGTCTGTGTTGGTAGGAGTTAGAGATTTTTTTTTTTAAAACTCACTTGCATCAAAGACATATTTACTTGATATACACAATATTAAATACATTACCATTGACTGAAAAATGTTTTCAAACTACCGGAAAAAAAGTGTATTTGTTACCAAAAATATTATAACTTTCAAGATATGCCTACTTCAAGGGAAACTGTTGGGCAATCTATAGAATTGAACTTGGCTGCCATTATGCACCACACTTGCAAAATGATGAATGAATGTGCTCTAACAAAATTGAGAGTTACAAACCATTGTCATTGGAACCCTGTAACTAACTTATAATTAGCTATATTTTTAAATGGTTGTATAATTTGGTTTTAATGTTTGAAAGTATAAATAAAGAACTTATTGATTGGTTAATTTTAAGATGTTCATAAAAAAACAATCAAAAAAATGCACAAAAACTGTAAATATTCCTTTTCATCACTAACTAAGTGACATAAACATTAAAATTTAATGGGACAACTCAGATAGTTTCAATTGTGTACTGATATAGCTTTTCCAATGTTTTTTTTTTTTTTTTTACAGAAAAATATGATCATATAGAAAAAGAATTGATTGGAGAGTTTAAAAATGCTCACAGAGAAGGAGATATCAAAAGAATGAAGAAAATAGCATCAGTTATGACTAATTTCAAGGTAACCAAAACTTATCTCAGAACTGAAATTCTTAAAAATGTTAAAAATATTCCTATGACAATTGGAACTTTAAGTAATGTTACAATGAAAAATATATGTAACTAGTGGATATCCTGGCGCTGCCTGGGTTGTGCCCGTAACTCTGAAACCGGAAGTGGTAGTCTATCCCTACCAGGCCTGTGTCACTCCTTGGTCCGAGCTACCCCTATACACCAAATTTCAGCCTCGGGATAACCCTAGTGTAGCCACCAACCTTGAACAGACAAACAACAGTCACAAATATTAGTATAGATGTAAAGTACGGTAGCTGCACAATTGTGACTCTTGTCAACTGGAACTACAAGAATTTTTGCTGGACAGTTGTCACTTAAGAAAATTCAAAATGGTCTTGGGGAATGGTGAGTTTATTTTCAAAGAGCAGTCATTGATGATTTTGTTGTTTTTTGTTTATAGGGATATGGCGAGTGTATTAATGCCTTTATAGTTGAAAGTCAGAGGGTAAGAAATTGTTTTACTTTATCTTGTTTTTGTTCAAATTTTATAATGCTTATATGTGAAGTACGAATTGAAAAAATAGAACTTTTTATCATATTCTGAAAAATTCAGAGTGACCGACCTAGTAGATGATACTTGATCAGCCCACTTCCACTTCCATCTCAAAAGTGGGTAAGACGCTGGTTCGCTAGCCTGGAGGTCGGTTGTTCAATCCCTGCATTGGCTGAGAAAGTTGATCCAGATTTCCTGGCGTGATTCTCCCTTGTCAGTGATGCAGGACTGAGGGTCTGGCTAGAACAGCTGTCTAGTCGTTCGGATAGGATGGAAAACCAAGGTCCGGTGTACACATTGGTGTGCACGTAAAGAATCCCTTGACAGTTGGAATTTGATATAAGAGTAGGCCGTAGTGCCGCTGCACAGGCAAAATTTCCCTCAAAGCACACTGATGGCGTATGCCGTCTTCATTAGCAGAACAGTAGGACATTAAACCCCATTTCATTTCATTTCATTTCTCCCATGACAAATGTCTTAAAATGACTCAAATAATAATAAACAATTAATATTATTGTAAGTAGCGTGTAGAACGTCTTTACATGTTGATCTTATAGGAAATCATACTTTACACTACAGCCGTTATATAAGCATTTAAAATGTTTTCATCCAAATCAATTGCTAATAATACTTTTGTTTTAACATTTTCAGAATGCGTTTATAAAACCCAATGTTTTTGATGAAGTTTTACCACTATGTGAGAAAACCAATGAAATCATACATTCCGTATTCAATGCACCAGAAAATGTCATGGGTAAATTTGTACAGAATATCTTCCAGGAAAAGATAAAGGTAATTCACTTTAAATATGTAAATGTTTGGTGAATCACGACATTTTGATATTTTATTTGACATCTGGATGTGTTTTTTTTCAAATTTTACAAAGACATGGACCTCGCCAGTGAAACTTGTTTCAGTATAAGAAGGGTGTCAACATAGCTACCAGTTAATGGAATTTTTAATGTTATGTTTTATGACTGGCCCAACAAGCCTCTCTCTATATTGGAAATCCCTGTCTTCATTAGCCCAGTTGGTGCAGAAAAGTAGGACGCTAAACCCCAATTTAATTTCATCTATATTAGAAATCTTCAAATTAGATTTGTATATAAAATTTGAGACCAGCCTTTCAATCCATTGTCGACTGTCTAAGTTTCAGTCGCTGAATCATACACATCTATTAGTGGTTTTTAACGAGTTCAATGAATGTTCGTACAAACTACCTGTATGTATGTAGGTCAGCGATCAACACTTCAATTAAGCAAGTCATAGGTTATTTTGAATATGATATATTATTAAAGTTTGATTTATTTTCTTGGTGAGAGTGATAATGCCTCTTTGTATTTATTTTCTGATGTGATTTCCCCTTGTCAGTGGTGCAGGACGAAAGGCCTGACAAGGAAAGCTGTCTAGTCATTCGGATGGTACGAAAAACCGAGGTCCCGTGTATACACGGGAATGCACGTAAAAGATCCCTTGGCAGTTGGAATTCGATATAAGAGTAAGCCATAGTGCTGCTGCCTGGGTATAATTTTCCTCATAGCGGGCTGTAATGCATATAATGCCTGTCTTGATTAGCCCAGTCGGAGCAGAATAGTAGGACGTTAAACCCCATTTCATTTCATTTCTTTTGTATTTAAGTCATTATGTCAGATCTTAATTGAATTTTTATAATATTAAATTTTTTTGTAGAATCATATTGCCAAACAGTTAGGGAATCGATCTGAACCAGAACAATATTTAAAGAATCTCAACGATTTGTATAACAGGTAATAAACCATTTAGTTATTTCACTTAATAATCTTATCTTAGAAATGTTTCTATGGTAAACATTTAAAAGGGTTGGATTAAAGTTTCTGTGTTGATCTGCTTTGTGTGAGATGAAAATATGACTGTTTGAAGATAAAGTCAATGGTGAAATATAGTTGCTATAAGGAAGTATTGGCATAGCTAAAAAATGTCAGAATACTAACAAAAACAACTTCATTTAACATCATGGACAAACTTGTTTAAATTTAAACTGTTAATTCTTCTATTTTGTGAACAGCTCGCTAACCTGGAAGTCCTGTATTCGATCCCTGTGTTGGCCGAGAAAGTGCGTGGTTCCTCCTTGTCAGTGGTACAGGACCAAGGGTCTGGCAAGGGAAATGTATAGTTGTTAGGATGGGACAAAAAAATGAGGTCCAGTGTACACATTGAAGTGCTCGTAAAAGATCTCTTGGCAGTTGGAATTCGATATAAGAGTAGGCCGTAGCGACGATATCCAGGAAAAAGTTTCCTCATAGTCCGCTGTATGGCGTATCATGCCCATCTTCATTAGAACAGGAGGACGTTAAAACTGATTTCATTTCATTTTCTATTTTTGAACAAAGAAAAAGATACATACAATGTTCTTTTTGATTTTTAGTTTTTCAGGATCTGGATGAATAGACTCATGAGGGCTGTCCTTTTTTTCTTAATATAAAAATATAGACCTAAGAGCAACCAAATATTATTTTTTCTTTAAACTTCTAAGCAATAGAATTGAAAAAGAAATGATAGATCACCTTGAAGAACAATAATTCCGATTGGTGTAGCCTTATTGGTGATGGTTTTGGGTGATTTATCTCATGTAATTATATCTATATAATAATTATTTTACAGAACAACCAAGTTAACAAGTGAATTATCTGGTTTTAAGTTTGGTAGTGATAGTTCACTATTAAGTAAATTAACAAAAGGAATCTTTCAATCACATCTGGATAATTATATAGAGTAAGTAATATATAAGACTATTTAATTTAGCCACACATGCCGATTTATAGATTATTGAAATAAAATATTTCAGATTGAAAGTCAAATATTGACTTTTACACCATACATGCATGAGTCACGGTGGCTAAGTGGGTAAGACGCTGGATCGCTAGCCTGGAGGTCGAGGGTTTGCTCCCGGTGTTGGCCGAGAAAGTTCACTAAGATTTTCCCATGTGGTTTCCCCTTGTCAGTGAGGGTCTGGCAAGAGACAATGTATAGTTGTTCGGATGGGACAAAAAACAAAGTTTCTGTGTACACATTGAGTGTATTTAAAAGATCCCTTGGTAGTTGGAATTCGATAAAAGAGTAGGTCGTAGTGCCGCTGTCTGGGCAAAATATCCCTCGTAGCACACGGTATGGCGTATGCCCGTCTTTGTTAGCCCAGTTGGAGGAGAACAGTAGAACGTTAAACCCCATTTCATTTCACACTGCACACAAGAAAACGTTTCTTACCAGAAGGATCCAAAAATAATTGAAATTAGTGAATAGTTTGTAAAGTATGACCATTTTATATTTCTCATTACTTGATTTAATGCAGCTTTCTTTATTGTCTTAGAATTATCAGTCAGTGATTGAAGATTAACTCATTTCTATTCATGGATATATATAGGCCAAGTTGGTACATTCGTATCTAAAGCCCTGTTCATATGGCGAGAATTGCACATATCCTGCATGCAAATTTTCAGAAATCTGCACCCGGTCTGGACTATGTGCAAATTTACAACAACATATGAGTAAAGCATTTTTTCTTGCTACCTGAGCAAATCTGTCCGTATGTACAGAATGTCGCAGTATGAACAGGGCTTAACATAAGTTTTTATGTGGATCGTCTACACTACTTTTCAGCCCTTATTCTTTGTTCAATTTACATAAGCAAAATGTTTATTGGTGTACAGCCACATTTCAGCTTTAAGCTCTCACATATCACTGACTTGAAATAGTTCTTATTGAGATATATATGAGCCCATAATTTTTGTTGTCCTAATTTTTCAGTTTTGAAACTCGATATTTGCGAGATCGTTGCACCATTCTTCTACATAGATATTATGAAAGTAAAGAACATCAAAAGAAACAAATACAATCTGGAGGGTAAGCTATTATTAAAGATACATTATGTAAGATTTAGATAAAGAGCTAGCCATTCTTGCTATAATAGTTCGAAAATAGGTAATGTAAAATGAATAATTTGAAAATTTCATTCAAATTACTCTATTGGGAGCGAAGATATTACCCTTTAGTTTGAAGGTTTGACAAGACGTGTGCAATAATTTCAACCACCCTACTGGTTGTTCGAAGCTAAGTCTCGCTCTTCCATTTTTAGCTTAAATCAAAATATGGCTGAACTGTTCTAATCTATTTAATATCAGAGAAATCTGATGCCATCGAGAGTTGATTATGGCCTGGATAAGTTAATTGATGTCTAATTAATAATTTAGATAACATTTCAGGCCTAAAGAAAGACCTGCAATAGGCAGATTTAGCAAAATTGGCAAAACTATGTTAACATCTCAACAACCCACATCACTGACTTTATCTGGTTGTCAAAAATAAAAACAGTATTTATTGAACAGACTCTTAAAGATGCATTATGTAAAATTGGGATAAATAAGTGGTCATTCTTGCTATAATCGTTTAAAAATAGAAAATGAATATATTGAAAATTTCAGTCAGATTACTTCATTGTTGGCAAAGTTATCAGTGTTTGAAGTTTTGAAAAGATAAAGTGGTAATAGTCTTGATTGTCAAGTACTGTTGTTGCGCTTGTTTATCCAATTTAAAGTCCATTTATCTTTGATTATAGGCTTATCATGTTAATAAATGTCTGAATATTTTTTTTATTTAACATTTGAAGTGAGAAATAAGATCTGCAATGGAAAGATTTAGCTCTTACATAATGCATTTTTAACATCTCTCATTGATCTTCCCGATCTGCCATTCTCAAGCAGTAATCACAACAAATGGTGTTCTTGTTTATTTCAGTATACATGATTTCCGTCGTGATATACAGGCAAAGATAGGTAAAGCTAATATTAACATCGGACCAGCCATTGAAGATTATGGTGGAGAGATATTTCTCTCACAGGAAGTAGCCATCAATATTTTACAAGAAACTAAAATAGCTTTTAAACGATGCCAAGTAGTAAGTACTATTTGTTAAACAATCGGCAACTTTTAAACGATGCCAAGTAGCAAGTACTATTCGTTAAACAATCGGCAACTTTTAAATGATGCCAATTAGTAAGTACTATTCGTTAAACAATCGGCAACTTTTAAACATTCCAGTAATTTCTAGACTTGTTTGGAAGAAATCTCGAACACCAGACTTTTTCATTTTCAATTTCACATTCTGTCAAACATGGTGAATCAGGTATCTACATAGCTTGATGCTTGACTGAATATTGTATAGAATGTGTGTTAAAATATTAAACTATTATTGTCTGTGTCATTCCAAGAGGAAAGGTGTTTTCAATCCTTTAGAATAAAATTGTTGTCCTGTTACTTGTCTTTGATATCACTTCGGTACTAGAAGCAAACGTTAAATAAGCTATTTTACACACACTGTTACATTCACTGCTCGTTTCACATATAACTAACATCTTAAAATTACTGATCACTATTTTTATTTCCACGACTTAATCCATGCTAAAATGTACTCAAATTGATTCTTTAAAATTAAATTAAGAAAACAAAATCAATATATCTGGATTTGAAATCAATCAAATTAAAAAGAGGCCCACCAAATTTTTTACCAAACTCTTACATCTAACTTTAGTAATTGAACATATTAACATAAGGTAAAATTTTATGGATACACAATTAATACTATGCGATGTTCCGTTGTGGATAATCTTGTCTTTATCAAACAAATGATGACTTGTTTATATAACAGATGAGTTAAATTATTATTATTTTGATTGTAGCTATCAAGTACATCTGATTTAGGAAGTAATGCTGTAAAGATATTTGATGTATTATCACAGTATTTAGTTGTAGAACATATTGATTATGCTCTAGAGCTTGGTCTTCAAGGTAATTATTATTATTATAGAATTTTATATTTGTGCTGTCTGAATGTCTGTATTTAAGTATCAAAAATCAGTGAAAATAATAGACTAGTAGTTGTATGATGTTACTTGCCGGGAAATGAGATTGGATGCCCAAGTGAAAGAACTTCATGCTAAATGATTGGATGCCCAAGTGAAAGAACTTCATGCTAAATAACTGATATGTGTGTATGTATTCTAATAAAAATAGACAAGGAAGTTCGTTAGGATATGCCGCTGTGCGGGCAAAATTTCTCTCATAGCACACTGTGTGGCGTATGCCCGTCTTCATTAGCCCAGTCCAAATCTAGACACTGTTATTTAGAATATGCATATGGTGCTTTATAGGGAATTGGATTTTAAATTTATCCAGACATAATAAGTGATGTGCGCTTGCTTTTATCAAATGTAGCCTCACACAAGATTAACAACCATTTCTGAAACAGTGGAGACTGGTAAATTATTATGGATCTCCACTCATTAATAAAATTGGTTTGTCAACGTTTTTGATAATGAACATTTTGTTTACATTTCAACTGCAGATATACAAAATTGACAGGTTCCATTACGATTTAAACTATGTTCGTTATTAAAGTTGTCATGGCAACATCCAAGTAAAGGTACATGTATATGAACTAAGTCATGATCAAATATTTTTCATAATACATGTATTAATTAGATGTATGGTGACATTAATTTTTTTTTTTTTTAAGCTATTCCATTATCTGATCCCAAAACAGAACCAGTAGTTTATTTTTTTGATGTTGTCAATCAATCAAATACTTTATTTCACCTGGTAGAGAAACAGTTTATGGACAGTCTCTTGCCTTTAGTTTTGTAAGTATCACCGTCCAGCTCAGCTTGAATTTCTTTGATATCCCTTTTATACACTTACATTATAGTGAAGGCACTGTCCGTCAGTCATTTCTTGGGAATTACAGAATTATCTCCCTGTTTAGTTTCAGATTTATCAGTTATTGCCCTATAAATATCAAACACGTTTCGTATTGTTATCTGTTGATTCACATTTTGACTTTCAAAGCTTGTGAATATGATACAAGATGAGGTTCTCTGTGAGATTGATTTTAGTGCTAGCATGGACATTAGTGGATGTATGTTTGTATTGACTCTCAATGTATGAAATGTCATAATTCGCATTTCAGATCATCACCGAAACATGGAGTTTGTTTAAAAAGAAAGAGAGAATTAAAAGAACAGCTAGAAAATAAAATAGACCAGGGTATTGATAGAGCTCTTAATTCAATTATTGGCTGGGTTCGACAAATATTATCAACGGAACAAAAGAAGACAGATTTTAAACCAGATGATGATGCTACCATGTTGATGTTATCACCAGTAAGCTATTTCATATCTGTCCATCTATCAAAAGATTACTTGCAAATGCACTTCCATGTTAGACAGTTTGACGCAATATATCCTGGTTGGTGTTGACATGTTTATGGCAAAGAAACAATATTTTACTTAAGATATCTTTTATTTGGTCATTATTTTACCATTTTCCAGCTGATGTCAATGTGTATTGCAGAAAATCCAACTATTTTGCATAATAATACTAAAATCCTTTAAAGAGATATTGCCAGCGTAGATTAACATTTCAGTCACAGAGGGTCGTTCGTTCGTTCCTTCCTTGAGCTTCAACCTCGTGTGTTATCGCAGACAAACCACAGAGGTTAAATCGGAGTTAACCCTTGCTAATGGGAGATAACTCGTTAGGGTCAAAAACACTTTCAGGTCAAAATGTCGGTGGTCAAAACTGTATACAGTATCCATTTTGCCAATGGACAAAGATGATGTTGTAAGTCTTCAATGTCCCAATAATATTATGTCAAAAAAATATTGTTGGTGTTGTTTTGTGTTTGTATATGTAAAATTAAAGTGTATATATAATTATTTTTTTTTTTATTCAGGCCTGTGAGAAGGTTGTGAAGTTTGTAGCCAAGCAGGCTAGATTAATCAGTGAAAGTCTAGATGGCAAGAATGTAGAAATTATTATGATGGAACTAGGGAAAAGATTTCACCGATTAATTTATGAACATGTACAACAGTTTTATTATAATATTATAGGTATGTTAATCTACTTGTCTGTGTCGATATCACTTGAACAGCCGAAGTTATCATCTGATTAATTTTTACTGGTAAATGATTTGTATAATAAATATTATCACTAGGAGGAGAAAATGAAATGAAATGGGGTTTAACGTCCTACTGTTCTGCTCCTACTGGGCTAATGAAGATGGACATATGTCGTACAGTGTGCTATGAGGGAAATTTTGCTCGAGCAGCGGCACTATGGCCTACTCTTTTACGTGCATGCCAATGTATACACAGGTCCTTGTTTTTTTGTCGCATCCAAACGACTAGACAGCTGTCCTTGTCAGGCCCTCGGTCCTGCACCACTGATAAGGGGAAACACGTCGGAAATTAACTTTCTCGGCCAATGCAGGGATCGAACATGCGACCTCCGGGCTAGCGAGCCAGCGTCTTACCCACTTAGCCACTGTGGCTCCCCTTACTAGGATGAACTATAAGCCAATCAAATTTTAATTATGTCTGATAATTACTTCATGGGTTTTTACTCTTGATCAGTGTTTAATGTCTTGTAAATGCTCCCATTATCTATAAAAGAATAAATATGTGACAACCTTGTGGACTGCTGGGACGAATTAGCTTCTGTGGATGTATGGTTTGTTGAATGGCAACCTATCTTTTATTATATTAAAGGTGGTATGTTGGTTATTTGTGATGTTAATGAGTATCGTAAACTGGTAAAAGAAGAGTTCAAGGTGCCTCTATTATCCAGACTGTTTGAAGTGCTCCATAGTTTGTGTAATCTGTTAGTTGTTGTGCCAGAAAACTTAAAAACAGTCATCACAGGAGATCATTTGGTAAGTTAACGTTGGATGCCCATCCCTCTTTAAAATTTTTTAAAGTTTCAGTGAGTGAGTTCTGGTCTGAACTGAGTATAGTGCAAACTGTTTACATTACTGATGATATATAATACCAATAGGTTCAGACTTATAAACCTATCTGATCTTTGTAGGGTATATTGGATTAAAGGCATTGATCTGTGGATCATAGTTTGTTGGGTTTTATTGGGTTGTCAGAGAACCTGGCAGCCGGGAGGGTTGCTGAGAGGAGGCCTCCAAGTAATGTAGGTTGTGAGTTTTTGTTGGATTGTCAGAGACTTAGCAGCCGGGAGGAGGGGCTTCAGTCGTCCATGTAATGTAGGTTGTGGTTTTTGTTGGGTTGTCGGAGACTAGCAGTTGGGAGGTTTGGTGGGAGGAGAGGCTTCAGTCCTCCAAGTAATGTAGGTTGTGGGTTTTTGTTGGGTTTTCAGAGACCTAGTGGCTGGGAGGGTTGGTGGGAGGAGGGGCTTCAGTCCTCCCAAGTAATGTAGGTTGTGGGTTTTTGTTGGGTGGTCAGAGACCTAGCGGCCGGGAGGGTTGGTGGGTGGAGGGGCTTCAGTTCTGCCAAGTAATGTAGGTTGTGGGTTTTTGTTGGGTTGTCAGAGACCTAGCGGTCGGGAGGGTTGGTGGGAAGAGGGGCTTCAGTCCTCCAAGTAATTTGCTAATATGTATTCCTTAATTTGGCTCATTACGCTGACAGTCCCCTTGATTTAAAGTGTATTTTGTGTCACTTTTGATAAAGAGAAATATAACATTAACATAGCGTTTTAAAGTCTTATATTTTCGAATTTCAGGCTGAGCTAGATGAAGCAGTTGTTTCATCATTTCTACAACTACGATGTGATTATAAAACAGCCAAGATAGCCAATCAGGTTAAACGATAAAAGAAACATAACCAGACGTATTCTGCAAATAAACCAAAAGTTATTATTAGATCCTTTTATAAAACCTGACCCTATAGTCAATGGAGGTTAAGGAATGCTACCATGGTTGGGTTTTTATTTTACATTCCTACAGACTTAAATAAAATGTTAACTTTACTTGTCAATCTTTTATGAAATGTTTTATTTTCTTCACTGATTATTGAGTTTGAATGATTATGTTAAATTAACTAAAAACCAACATTAAGACTGAAAGGGAGGTTTTATAAAGAAATGAAATGAAATAGGGTTTAATGTGCTACTGTTCTAAGAGGTTTTATATACAGTCATTTGATAATGATGAATGATTTGTTAATTGATAGTAAATAGGTAAATTCTTACTTATCATAGCCCAACTCTGAGGTCATGTGACTTTTGAATATTCAGTACTAATTGATAGAGGAGATGTTATTATTTGACCACAACTTGTTATAATGTAGCACCAGCAACTTTCATTAGACAGTCACAGTATGCTTACTCAAATACCTTTATATTCAGACAAAAACACAACAGGCCAATAAAGTCATTATTTATAGGCAAGGAGATAGTTCCATTGTACTGAAATATCAATCAGATCACCAAATTCAGCAGTGGCCCATTAATAGATAAGGAGTATTATGAACACCAGTCAAATAATAATGTTGTCACCACACTGCACCATAATAATGAATGAAATAATTATATTCACTGAATACTTTTATGTTAAATTATAATATTAAGGTATAAAATTATTTTATTTCCATAAATTATGGTTTATGGTTGTTTTTTTTTTATAGTATTATAGGCTATATTATTTTGTTATATTTGTATCCAATGTTTTAAACATTGTATGGAAGTCCATTGAAGACATTATAAGTGCAATATTATCATATTACTTATATAAAAATAAATAATTCAAGAATATGTGTGGTGTTTTTTTGTTGAAATGACTTGTTTCTATTTTTCTACACCAATCAACCAAATGACGTGGGGCATACACAATGCAGTGTGCTATGAGCGAAAGTTTGCCCAACACTGTAACTAGTGGCTACTCTTATTGCTGATTTCAACTGCCAGTAGTTCTTTTACAAGCGCACCAATGTGTACATGGTACCTTGGTTCATTGTCCCATCTAAACACCTAGTGCACGGTTCCTTGCCATACCAGGCCCTTCCGTCCTAGTGGACCACTGGCATTGCTTACACTAAGGAAAATGAATAGGCACTAACTAAAGAACAAGGTTGGTTCTGCCAAACAGTTTGAAATTAACATTTTTAGCAACACTGACTGTTAGTGGGTTATCAGCCAAAAAAAACCAACAAAAAACAACAAAAAAACTCCATAAATACCCGACACAGGACTCAAAATTTCGATCGGACCTAGCGATCTTTTCGGCATTCGGCGGATCAAAGACGCTAATATAAATTGCTTAAAATTACTCACGTCTTCGTTCACAGATTATACCGTTGACCAAGTGTTAAAAATTCACTTGAAAAGACACTTGTAACTATAATGATAAAAAAGGTGGGGGGGGGCATACTGCACGCAGCGACCCATCTACGTCATACTTCCCAGTCAGCCGGAGCTAGCTGTAGATAGGCAGCCTAAGTTTGGGATGGGGGGGGGGGGTTGCTACAATTGTCGTAACGTTAAAGTGTGTTTAATTGGAGTAAGACGGAAGACATCAGTAGTGGAACCATTTCTAGTGAGGTGGGGGGGGGGGCTATTCTTCTTGTTTGTTTTCTTTTAAATATCATTTCCACAAGTAAGTGATTATATTAGACAATGTTTTTAAAACTAGTAATATAGTACCTATCTACTTTCACTTTCATCACGTGGTATTTATTTACACAGGAAGTGGAAATAAATCATGGTAACGTTCGGCCGGCTACCAAGTTCATGAAAGTTAGATTTATTTACATGTGTATACTGTTATAATCTTTGGCTAACTTTAATTATAATGCCCATCTTACTTTGTGATAAGTTCTCTTACACTAACAAATTAAAATATGAGGTTTCATTTTTTGTTGTGATTTTGTATTTTACTTCTAGCTATTAAACGCCCGAATATTTCCAATGCGCATGACTAATGTTACAAGTATGTCTGACAGCGGTCACTTCGAAAAAATTATCATGTTTTTATTTTAATATTTAACCACTTGGTTGTATTCTGAAGTTCTATTATTACTTTATCAAGATTTCTGAATTGTTTTGGACAGTATCCCATCAGTGAAATAAGGTAATAGTGATATGTGGACCTGTAAATCACAACATTAACCAACAAATGATTTGTCAATGAAACGGTAACAAGTTTAGACGCGAATTTTGACAGTCTGTAAACAAGGCAAGTCATGTGTTCTCGGTTTTGTGGTAATAAACAATCAAAGATAGGCTCGTTAAAAATAATTTTGTTATCTTTTCTTTTCGTAATTAAATTCAACTATTATATGGTCTTGTAATTAAATGTGTTGTAGTTGGTGCACAACCACTCAAGCCAACGGGATACGTACACCAGCTGAGGCAGTAGGCCTACCATTGAGAACCATTATTAAAACTACAAGGCACAGGCCTCACAGGGCAGCCTCTCTACATTATACAAGTCATTGTTGATTTTTTTTTAACTGGCATAAATATAATCTTAATATTAAAGTAGCTAAGTCTCTAACTTAGTAACATCCAAAGTCTTACACGTTGAAAACGCGAATTATTTGTCAATTCAAATCAACATTGATCTTTTCTTCTTAGATCTACCGGGAAAAGGTAGGCTTCTCATATCAAATATTTAAGACAAAATAAACATTTTACCATTGGTACACGAATCGTGTACCATTAGTGCGTTTCCATCATTTGTAGCAAGTGACCAGAAAGAACGAGGCTAGACATATTCCACAATTCATGTCAAACGATGACGCTATGAGAGCATGCGCAATAGACTGGAAAAACCAGACGCTAGAAATTGACATTCGGTTGAGACTCATGCCGTATTTCGCTGGACATAACTGATTTGAAGTTAAGTGTCAAAACGGAAACAATTGAATGTAAATCAGTTTATATACAATTAGATTACATTATATATATGCGTTGCGACCCATTTGTTTCAATTTCTAGGTCCCAAATATTAGCGATTTAGCTCCTTTAAACATGTTTTCAAACAGGAGTTTTCTGATTGGGTAACGTTTGTAACTGTCTTGACCGATCTGATCAGCACGATCAATCAAATTTCAAATCTATAGCACTTTTTAAATGAATGCACGTTGTATTGTTTATTAATGTTATCAGTTTTAGATACAGACATTGCGGAAAGTACCTTCATCAAAATCTTGACATTTTTGTTTGGTAGGAGGTATCAAAATTCTCAAAAAATACAGAATGGGTGATGGCCTTAAAAACAACTTGACAAATACAGTTGAGCCTAGTATATACTGTAGCCAGTCATAAGTCTAGGGAAAAGGGCAGACATTTTGGTCTATGTTGTTAAACCACTCAAGCCAGGAGTTAGATAAAAACAGTGAAAATAAAAAGCGATTACTGGTCTGGTAGCGTAATCAATTGTCATCTGTACAGTGTTTTAAAAAAGGTGTGTAAGGAAGAACCAAATAGATACAGAACTGATGAAATTTCACTTGAAGCTCATGTGCGGGGAATCAAGCTAAACTGGGTACGGTACTCAGTTAAAATTGTGTATAATGAAGTTTGATGACAGCAAACCGACCTGATGCTATATTGATATCTACTTCATTTCTTACTTTTCATCTTTATAGGTTAAAAATCAACTCCAGAGGACTGCCTCCTTGCTGCCATGATGGAGTCCCCAACAGATATAAAAGTTACATCCTCTTGTTTATTTAGAGGATCAGAATATATTGTAACAATGGAAGTAAAAGATGGAGAAGAATTATTTATAGAAGTAGAAGATAGACTTACATCTGATCAGTGGAAGGCTTCTTTTGATGCAACTTGTAAGATCAGATTCTAATATTAATTACTTTCATTGATTTAAAACAATTGTTATCGATGGCAAGAAAATAAATTGGTTCATATTTACACATGAACTTGATATTTCAATCTGAAAAAAATACATGTTTAACCCTGGACCGTAATACTGTCTATTTAAACATATGAAATGAAATGAAATGGGGTTTAAACGTCCTGCTGTTCTGCTCCTAAACTGGGCTAATGAAGACTGACATACGCCATACAGTGTGCTATGAGGGAAATTTTGCCCGGGCAGCGGCACTACGGCCTACTCTTATATCGAATTCCAACAGCCAAGGGATCTTTTACGTGTACGCCAATATGTACACGGGACCTCGGTTTTTCATACCATCCGAACGACTAGACAGCTGTCCTTGTCAGGCCCCCCGTCCTGCATCGCTGACAAGGGGAAACCACGCCGGAAAATCTGGATGAACTTTCTCGACCAATGCAGGGATCGAACACCCGACCTCCAGGCTAGCGAGCCAGCGTCTTACCCACTTAGCCACGTGATCCCCTTAAACATATGAAAAGACAGCAACCTGCACTAAAGTTGATAATAGATAGTCTCATATATTTGTACCATCTAACCAAAACAGTTATGAGTAAAAGAATTGCATTTGTCTTCTCTTTAGCATTAATAGTTTTGTCATTTTAGAGTATTAAATATAATATGTCAATCCTAAATCTTTTATTTTTTCAGATGTACAAGATTTAACACATAAAACTGGTAATTTTAAACAGTTCCATATATTTACAAGTATGTTGGAATCAGCATTAAATAAAGTAAGGAATCACATTTACTACGCTTTTGATTTTGTATGTATAAAAAGTTATTACATGATGCCATATTATAGAATAAGTTTTGGTCTAAATTGGTGTTATGATACTATTGTAATCCTGTCTTATCTCATTTATATAATGAAATTTTGTTTATATACTATCATCTTCCCTATCTGTCATCCATATTCCACCATTGTTTTGTATGCTCCAGTGGCTTATGTTATCACCCAACGAGGCCTATTGTTTTTTTTTAAAACAATTTCCATTAGCTAAATAATTACGTCAAAGTGTGACAATTGTTATTGACTGCTCGATGACTAAGGTGCAGTGACAGTATGTTTTGTATCCTGGCAACCCACCTTTATGTATCAAGACATTGCTGATATTTGAAAAATTTAATCTATAGGATAGATAAGTTCATTTGTGTAATGGAATGAGACTGATCTTTTATTTGTGCCTTGAGACTAGAGGTTCTGTTTTACCTTTGATGGACCCTTAGACTTGTGAATATATCTGTTTGTTGACAACTATAACAATAGCTTTTAATGTTTTATATATTCTTTCAGAATAGTGATACAGTCTCGTTAGATTTATTAACCTTTGCTGACCTGGAATCTTTACGAGCTAGAAAATCTGGAACTACATCCCAATCAATACCTGGATCACGACACTCAACATTAAACTCTAAGCGTTATCTTATACTCACATATACAGTAGAATTTGACAGGTAAATTATAAAATATAAATTTTAAACAATCATAATTTTCGTTAGAATAAATGATTTGAAGTGCAATTAGAATATTGGTGATTCAGTTTAACAGACATAGCTGTATGTCCTGGATACTCTTAGTCGTAATTGGGGATTATACCAATAATTTTAACAGATATATAATCAATATGTCCTAGATACTCGTAGTCGTAATATGGTATATTAAATATCATATAAGTTTAACAGATATAGAAGTATATTCTAGATACTTGTAGTCATAATATGGGATAATTATACTCTCTATACTCTATCATGTTCATTTCATATTATTATATTATAAACGTCCATTCGAATCATGTATTTCTGATATTTAAATAGATAGTTTTAATTACCAACATTGTACATTTGTTGTTTTTAGAATCCATTATCCTCTACCTCTACCTTATGTTGGTAAACCAGATCCTAGGACATTGCAAGAATCTCTCCGCCATTTACAGACTGAAAATAGACGTCTTAAAGATACAGTAAGTACTGGAAACATGATATCCCCTAATAGACTAGCCCCCAACCCTACCTCAAAAGTGAAGGGCTGATGAATTATTAGTTATTGGATGGCAATGATAGAATATTTTTGTATATTCTCTGATTATTGATATTTATCATTAAACAGACTACTAGCTTCACCACTTTCTGTTAATATAGTAATAATCCAACACATCTAAACATATTTATTTATGAAAGTGATATTTTTCAGAGACCATCTGATTACAGATCAAAAGATTATGATAAACTTCAAAGAGAGTAAGTAGATTGTTGATTGATTGTGGGGGGTGGGGGGTGGATGGCCGAATGGTTAGCATGTGGGCGCTGTATACGTAAGGTCTGTCATTGAGTCAACTGGCGTTGGGTCGCCTGTCCATCCTCGTGGGTTTTCTTCGGGTCCTCCAGTTTACTCCCACTGCTAAAGACCAATACGCGTAAGTCAATTATTGAAATAAAATTGAACCATGTGTTAGTCCCGAAATGATCTAGTTTGTGTCGAGTGGACATTAAACCCATTTCTCTCTCTTTCTTATTGATTGTAATATTGAGATATACTGCCATCATTTAAAATGGGCAAAACTATAAATTAAACAGGTTCTTGTTTCTAACTAAAGTTTATTGTTTTTATTTGTCACCTGTCTTATTCAGAAAGGAGGGGACTATTGAAATTTGTCTGCCTGTCACATCTTTTGGAACACTATAACTCTGCTTCATATTGAGGTAGAATGTTCAAATTTGGTGTAAGTCAATGATTTGAACGAGTTCAATGACAAGCATTCTCTGCTTTACTGAGTGTCATCCATCTATCTATTTTGTGATTAAGGTAACGGACATCAGTGGTTTGTTATTTTTTACGATTCTCCGAAATAGTTTCACTCTGTCAGTTGTACAGGACAAAGGGTCTGGCAAGGGATGTGTAGTTGTTTGGATGGGATGAAAAACCTTGGCCTGGATGTAAAGAACCCTTGACAGTTGGAATTTAATATAAGAGTAGGCCGTAGTCCCGCTCTCTGAGCAAAATCTCCCTCATAGCACACTGTATAGCATATGACCGTAGACCGTCTTTATTAGCCCAGAGTCGGTGTAAAACAGTAGGACGTTAAACTTCTAATTAATGGTTAAATGAACACTGTGTTTATAATACTGATAATAGGCCAAATAATGTGATTGTAATTCTGTCAATTCAGAACATTTCTCGACTGACAATCAAGAATTACAAGTGTAATTTACATCTGATTTGAATGAGATTGGTATAATCTTATGTAGTTAATCTTTATTGTCATTTCCTTGATAAAGACGAGAGTATCCTCGTCGAAATGTCGCTTAGTATTAAACTCAGTAATTGTTTATCCATAAAATTGTACCTTATGTTAATATGTTCATGTACTAAATGCCTATCAGGGTCAAAAAATTGTTTATATCTTTATGTATTTTAGTTATAATAAATTATTAAAAGAAAAAGAAAACATAGAAGAAGAATTGTTTGAAATGAAAAGACAGATGAAAGTAACGTCGAATGGTAGTACAGCTAAAGATGTCAGAATGTTAAAAGGTATTGTCCGTAATCTGGAGGAAGAACTTATGAAGGAAAAAAATAAATATCAAAGATCGACAAGTAAACGTGGTCAGGAATATAGAGAACTTTTAGGAGAGGTATGTTAATAGTTACAGTAATCCCAGGCATGATTTTAAACCATATAAAGATAATTAGACAAAACTTTTATTTAACATCTTAAACTTGACTAATCTTCATTTTTGACTAGTCTTCATTTTGTAAATGTATTGAAAAGAGGTGACAAATGTCATGCTCAATTAATAGCCTGGAAGTTCCAAATAGACAGAATTGCATAAAGTGACAAGGTGACAAATGTAATGCCTGATTAATAGTCTGGAAGTTCCAAATAGACAGAACTGCTTAAAGTGATGTAGAATTGTAATGTGACTTATGTAATGTGAGAAGAATTGTGATCATGACAATAGCTGCTTATTCAGTATTGTGGTCTAAGGGGAGATAATAGGTTATGGAATGGTTACCTCCCCTTAACAAATTTGATGTGAAGTAGAGTTGTCATATTTATTTCCTTGTGTCTGTGCCCAGTTTATCTTCATTTTATTTCTACTGGTTAAAAAATTGTCTTATAAGTAAATGAATTGAATATTATTGTTTGTTTTTTTCTATAAGTTAAAGAATTGAAAATCTTTGTTTGTTTTTTTCTGTAGGTAGAAGAATTAAGAGCATCAGAGAGAAATTTACGTGTTCGTGTTAAAAGTTTAACAAATGAGTTAGCAATATATAAAAGGTATGCTATTAAAAGTTTAACTAATGAGTTAGCAATGTATAAAAGGTATGCTATTAAAAGTTTAACTAATGAGTTAGCAATGTATAAAAGGTATGCTATTAAAAGTTTAACTTATGAGTTAGCAATATATAAAAGGTATGCTATTAAAAGTTTAACTAATGAGTTAGCAATATATAAAAGGTATGCTATTAAAAGTTTAAGTAATGAGTTAGCAATATATAAAAGGTATGCTATTAAAAATTTAACTAATGAGTTAGCAATATATAAAAGGTATGCTAGTAAATAATTGACAAGAAATATATCTTTCGCCATCTATCTATATAATACTCAGACAGATAGAGATAGACATATTTAATAATGTATAAATTGTGTTAGTTAGGCCTTATAAAAACATATATTCTTGTTCTCTATGAATTTGGAAGTGTCCAGTAGTCTCAGTTTTCAGTACACAACCCTGAGAAATGTTATTGTTGATTGTTATCAGGAAATGGAAACCATTTTTTAATCTGCTAAATTCTTAAAGACCTTTTAAGTCAGTTCTTTTGTGGATGATAATTTATCCTTTGAACTACATCTAGCAATGACAAAGACACCCATGAAATAATACTCTATGGAGATTCCCATTAGAACTGTAAAGCGGTTGTGTATGGCCTTGGGAGAATTTTGAGTTTAACTGTCCTAGTCAGCATCTGTCTTATTTTACAGAGGCCTGGAGGTCGGGTGTTTGATCCCTGCATTGGCCGAGAAAGTTCATCCAGATTTTTCCGGCGTGGTTCTCCCTTGTCAGTGATGCAGGACGGAGGGCCTGACAGTCACATGGACAGCTGTCTAGTCGTTTGGGTGGGACGAAAAACCGGGATCCCGTGTACACATTGGCATGCACGTACAATATCCCTTCACAGTTGGAATTCGATATAAGAGTAGGCCATGGTGCTGCTGTCCGGGAAAAATTTCCCTTATAGTACACTGTATGGCGTATGCCTGTCTTCATTAGCCCAGTTCGGAGCAGAATAGTAGGACATTAAACCCCATTTCATTTCATACTATTTTACAGAGATAGAGCCAAGGTAGGTCAACGATCGTTTCGACCAGCATCAAGAGAAAGATCGGGAGAGCGATTTCCATCTATAGGAACTAACAGATCGTTGTCACGGGAACGACCTCCAGCTAGGGGTAGGTCAACGTCTAGAGATAGACCATCATCAGCTCCCAATAGAAGTCGATTAAGTGACAGATCTCCAGGAAATAGCTTTATGTCCAGCAGAAGTCGTATCAGTGATAAATCACCTGTTAGTCAAAGAAATTATAGAAGTCGTACTCCATCTCCAGCAGGTAATTCATCATTTCTTTAACAGTTTTGTCTTTGTGAACAGTTGATAAAAGATAGTTTGTTTACAGTATTTCAGCACACTGATCAGCAGTGAATATTCGCTAGTCTGCTACAATCACTGATGGGGATGACATCGATGCGGCTTAATAAGTCCCCAATATTTACTTTTTTCCTTTTGCAAATTAAATTCTAGGACATTTTTTTCCTATTGAGTGTAAATGGGTATTTGAAATGAGTAAAAGGCACCATTCTGCCCGGGCCAGTAACATCTTATGTAAACAATGCACACGCATTAAGCCAGTGATTGACACCGTGTGATGTGACATCACATGCTCAAAGCAGTCATCTTTTACAGAGCTATTAGTCTTTGCAATACCTCTGTGAAATAGACTGGTATTTCAGTAGTTGCTACAAATATCTTGATTTAAATCCATGTATATTACACATCATTGTTTTGTGTTCTCACCCACATATTTATCGTAAATGTCCTGAAATTACCTATACTTTGCTGTAAAGATTAAAACTTTTTTCTAATTACTGTCTGGATGTTTTAACTTAAATGCAAAATCTTGATCATTGAACTACGTGATGGTTATAATGTATAATGGAGATAATTCTGATTTCAAAATGATCAGATCAGATGTGTAAATATTTATTTATAGGTAGTAGAGGTTCAAGATTTGATCCATCAGCATATGTGAAGGAAAAGGAAAGGTTAATGAAAGAAGCAAAATTAAAAGCGTAAGTGTACTGTTTTATTTTAATTTTTGAGAAACTTGTATAAATTCAATATCCTAGTGTATTCTTCATAAAATCTACCATAAAACTCATGTTGCCATTGCACTTGTCATTAGAGTCAAGTTTAGATCATTAAGTAGTTAAAGATCCATGCAAATTTTATGGACAGCAACTTCATTCACCTGTTGTCTTCCCTTAGACAACTGATTGATACCCAGCATAAACTATATTTAAATAAAGATATGGTATATCATGAAGAGTTTTCAATAGATAGTTATTTTAATATTTTAGGGCTCGTCAGAATCGTTCTAATATATCTGGAGGTTCGGCTAGATTAAGACCATCACCCAACAGAAATAATAACAGTCAATCATCAGGTAGGTTTTTATCTGTTTTGTAAAGTATTATTTATTTGGTGTATTTAATTATAATTTGTTTAATACAAACCCTGTGTAGTATCATGGGTAACTATTTATCGCATTCCTAGCTGTGTTGGTTTTCTCCTTTTTTCCTCCCATAGCGAAGGACCCCTGCTTGCAAGCAAATTATTAGAAATTAAATTGTACCATATGTTAGTCCCAATATTACTATCTGTCTGTTTCAGTCTCTCTTATCTTTCACCTGATAGTGGAAACCTTGTTGACTTATATTTGAATCATCATTAACTTTATTTTGTGCATGATTTTAATCTTTAAAGAACTGTTAAATGTGTTATAAAATTAATGTATTTTAATCTTTTGTTGTCTTCTTTCAGTAACAGGTAGAAATAGATCCAGAAATTCATCATGTACGTTCTTCTATTATAAATTTGCTTCATCAAGTTGTAGACATTTCATCATAAACTAGTCAATATATTATTCTTATTTTTTGTGATCCAACTTTAATTTTGTATTAACAATACCAAAACAACAGTTTAAATACAGATCTTGATTATTCCTGGTCCACTAAGTGATTCAGATACTAGACTCTCAATCAGAGCGCCCCGGTTTAAAATTCTGGCGTAGGCCAAGAAGAATGTCTATATTTATTAAGTATATTTGTTAGTAAATTTTAAAGTCCATTCTCTTCACTTTTAGTCTCACATTTATTTTATAATTTATTTAGTAGGTAGTCAAGGTGATTTTAGTGATACAGGTGCCACATCAGATTCTTCCACACAAAGATATAGGTACAAACTTTTTTTGAAAATAACAAGACATATTTCATAGCATGGTTCATTCGACACAAGTGAACAATAAATGTTAAAAATAATATGATATCATATCTTTATAGAAAGTTTATGATTCAGGAAAAGTCCTGATGACTTCCAGTCATTTAGATAATTTACATTTTATACAATCTATTCTTTTTAGTAAACGCAGCAATTCAAGATCTAAAACCAGAACTAGTCGAACAAGCACATATTTAACTAGTCCAAATATGGTAAGTAGTGATTATTTGTTGAAAATTATCTTTAATAAATACTTTTCTCATAACTTCAGTTTATTTTAAATTTGTCTGTTGAGACTTATTCTGTAATTTATTTATTTTTTAGGGACGAAGTAATAAAGAAAGGCATACAACTTCCAGAAAACCAAGAGTATATCCTTTAGTTGGTTATTTTCCCCAACATAAAACTAAACTTGTTTATATAACCATATATTTATAGCGGTCGATTTGGGTATTATTTGGCCTTTTTCTTGTATCATTGAAAGTTTATTTTTAGAATAATCCAAATCGGAAAGATCAAGGGAGATAACTCTTCATTTACCTATTGTCTCCCCTTAGACCACATAAAGCTTCCTTTTCTTTGTCAAAGTGCTTTAGATTTAATTTATATATGAACCTAAGTGTGTATTACATTGATACTGATCAGTTCATCATCATTGGAGTTTATGCACTTTGTAATTTTATTATCACATCGTTGATTAAGCTGAATATTTTGATCTTTGTCTTAAATTTGATTTTAAAATGGAACCATATTGTTTAACCTTAACGATGTTACTCTAGCTAGTACACCAGAATCTGATTGTGGTCGAACTAAATCCGTTAGAAACAAAGACATACCAGACAAAGAATATGGTCGAAGACGAACAACTAGGAAAAAGGGGGATTATACAGATAGTACATCAGATAAAGGTAGGGAGGGGGGTTTATTTTCATATTAAAATGAAGTGTAGCTTAACTACCACAACATTTCTCTCTGATGAAAGCAGGTGTATAACTGACTAATGAGGGCTGTGTTTGGAAAAGGATAAATTAAAGCTATTATTATGAGTTGAGGAAAATTTGCATTGTTTCTGATATGTTGACCAACAGTTATTGACATATACAAATGCAACAAAAAGCCGATTTCTTAACAGATTGAATTTCTTTATGGTACTGGCACAATTCTAGGCCGACATTACTCTTGTAAAAAATAGAATATTAAATAAAACAAAATCATTTCTTTTCAGAAGATGATGATTTGAATTGTTCAGATGAAATTAGTGAAATAGATGACCGGTTAAATCGTTTACAAGAATTAATGAAAACAAGTTTAGGTTGATGGAGAAACAGTAATCTGTCAAAATATTACATTCACATTTATACTGACTATTAGAAGTCTTAAAACATTTTCTAGACATTTTAGAAGTTGTTAATGGCAAAAATACTTCTTCTCAGACATTACTGGTGATGCAGACATCCATTAAAGAGATAATCACACATGTGTGCATGCATTTGGTTAATTAATCAAATTATTATTTGTAAGTTGAATACCAAGTTGAATTTTGAGTTTTTAAAATATATAAGTTTGAAAACATTTGTTCGATTTACATTGGCATTCTCTGAACTGTAATTTTACTACTGGTAGAATGAAGATATATATATTATATATATATATATATAATTGAAATTAAAGATGGCAAAATAAAACTACATTTTTATGCTAACGTTTTATTTTGCCATCTTTAATTTCAATTATATATCTCCAAAGAGCAGCTTTAATTAATAATTTCCTTCTTGACCTTTTATCATTAACAAATGTAAATAATATTTATAGAATGTTGATATGTATTATAATCTGTTATTGTCAATGTTTGTATATTGTTGTTAAATTTATATTTTTATTCTGTAAATAAACTCGTTTATCTTTGATTTAACAATAATTCTAGTTCACCACATCAGTCAGAAAGGGTATGGCTGCATCTTTCCAAATTCTTCAGTCCCCTAATAGGACACATTATCTCAATTTATGTTCTGGATGTGGAAATGAAAGCACACAGTGAGAGTTTTAACGTCCACTTGATAAAAAAAATAGGTGATTTGGGGACTAACTCGTGGTATAATTTGTTTGTGGGATGTCTTTAGTTTCTTACAAACGTCTCTGATGGGAGAGAGAGTGAGCTGATGGGAGAGAGATATTTAGTTTCTTACTAAGGTCTTAAGCAGTGGGAGGAAACCGGTGAAAACCCACAAGGTTGGACAGGCGACCCTACTTGTCACGTACAACCGGGGAATCAAAACCACGCCAGTTGACTCAATGATACAGCGCGCACATGCTAACCATTCAGCCATCCAACCCCCGCTAATGGATGCATTACCCACTGCATTTGCAGGATCTTCTGTATCAGTAAATGATATATGGACCCATATTAAAACTAATACCCATCTCCTTTGAGATAAATGTAAAATTAAATTTGATTGGATGGACTTATGAAATAAAATGGGCTTTAACGTCATATGTTTATGCATGGACTGGGCTAATGAATACATATGCCATCCAGTGTGATATGAGGGAAAATTTGCTTTTCGCATTCCAACTGTCAGTTGTTCTTTTTCATTCAGTCCAATATAAACAAGGGACCTTGGTTTTTCGTCCTCACCGAATGACTAGACACTTCCTTGTCACCACTGACGAAAACAATTATATTACGTTAAGTTAAGTTTCCTTCAAGGGTCTCTGGTTGGTCAGCATTAAACAAGTGTTGTTTGTTTTCTGCATGTACATGTATACATTGTCTGAATATATTTTATAATTGCTCAATACCGACTAGAGAAGCCTATTCGAAACATAGCAGTATTTGTATTCCATAGAATTGCGACCTGTGTATAGGAGGATATCCTGGTTATTGAGCCAGTACCTTATTCACTGAGCCACCACTGCTTCCATGAACTTATGAAGTATACTGTGTTTGCGAGATAAAAACACAGATCATTTATACTGTTGAACATATTTTAATATATCCTATTATTATTGTATAATAAATCTGTTAATAATATACAAAACTTTTTCCTGTACATTGTGTTAATGATATATCCAGAAAAAAATTAACATCTATTGTTATTGGTCCTTTTATAGCCAGCCTTTTAAATACATAATATAATGTAAATAATTATAGAAAAATTAAAAGCAAAAGCTAATGAGTTTTGGTCCCAAATATTGCATATAACTATCAGACTCTTACGATCTGACTTTAACTTTGGTCTAAGTAACCAACTGCATGAGATAAATGATTTGTTCGGTCAATCAAATGATTGACTTGATTTAGCAAAATATATGAAAACCAATCACAATTTGGTACAAAAAAGCTATAAATGCATTAAATAAATAAAAATATTTCTAACATGTTCTTTAGCACTGTTTAATAGCTTTTCTCTAATTAGATAAATTCTGTAACAAACTATGAAATTTAACAAATATTAATTTGTTCAAATCTAATTAAATATTTTCTTAAAATTAATGAATACAAATGCAGCACCAACTTCCATACTATACAATAATAGTAAAAATATCACTGATATTATTTTTGTGTTACAACTATTGAATTTTACATTTATTCTTATCCTTAATATAAACCATGATGTATCATCTATTGTAACTCACTTGATGAACTTGTCCGTAAAATCTTCAAAGATTATAACAGTAAAATACTTGTTCACAATTAAAAATCTGTTCTACAATTTGTCAAGGAATGTATATGCTATGTGTGGACGGTGTACAAATTTGTAAATTGTATCAAAAACTATTTCTTAATAACGGCTAGAAAAAAACAAATCTAATTGACAAATTTGTTATATTTAAAGAAGATGTTAGGCTCCCTTATTTGTTTAACAATGGCATACGTCAGCTGTCAGTCAAAGTATACCCTTAGCAAAAAGTACAATAGAATACCAGTTTAGTTTTCTTTAGAATTCTATAAAATATTTTAGAGTTGGAGGGAAGTGGGGCCTATCATTGGGGGCCTGTCGGAAATTCGTTAAAATAACCGAGTTTTCAACAACCGACTCTAGATAGAAAAAATATAAAGGATGGCATGAACTGAATAAGTGCACTTTTGTGATGCCCAGTGTTCATATGAAATACATTTTTCTACTGTGCTGGACAATTCATGTTCGGGATACATTTAATTATGGAATAGCTTTTAAGTGAAATAAATGTCAAGTTTCTACACATAATAATATAACTACTAGTTATAACAATTACACCTATAACAGTGAAAGCACTAAACACAACCATTTTGTTCATCATAGATTTGAAACGCCCTTCAAAAGCCAAACTTAATAATCAAGTCTTTGAAAGAGTGATTTAGATAAGCTATCAAAGGGGGTATGGTAACCCTAACTATTTATATACTAACTATATTCCTGTGATCAATATAGAATTGTATACAAAAACAAGTGATCAAGTGCCATATTAATCGTATTGCTTAATTTACAATTAGAGACATATATATCTGACAACAAAAGCTTATAATGGACAAATTTATAACAAAACTACAAAAATAAAAGTATGTAAATAATATACTATATCAGAAATCTACAATTTTATCTTGAGCTACATTATACAACGTAATATATAAAGTGATGAAAAAAAATTATGCTAATATTTTGTACAGTGACATAAATGCGGTGTATGACCTTTTAGCGAAAGTCAAAATTCGATTCACTATCACATGATATGTGTCTATTAAGTGTGTGTTTGGTATTATTATTGTTGAATGATGGACATACACCATAGCAATCGAAACCAGTTAACCAAAATATTTATCTTCTAGATTGTCCTACTCATATTTACTGTATATATGACCTCTGAATCTGTATGAAAATAATTTCTATTGCTACTGAATTAACCTAGTTCAGGTCATACATGTTCATTATCCATACCGATTTCTTAATACCTAATAATTACTTTTGTAAATATCTACTGTTTATTCTAAACTCTATCTTTTTTCAAATCTTTATATGCATCTTTGGAATCTTTCTCCTTCTTTTTCTTTAAAAATCCAAACACGGAATGACTTTTCTTTTTATCGGATTTACCATCATCAGCAAATTGTCCGACTGGTTCTGACACTGGTCTAATGGAAGCACCTCCTTTCGATCGCATCTATAAAACAGAATGAAAATTATTTTATGTTGTGTTATATATTAAAACTATTGCTGCAGAAGGCAGGATATTATTATTCCAAACTGTTTTTTGTTCCAATTTTTTAATTTAGCTTTGTAAACATAATGATTTTACGGTTGGTACTAGACTAATTTACTAGATTCATATATACTTACTTGAACATCATCACCATTCTGACCTATAAAAAAATAAATAAATTTAATTATAAAGAAATATGTTATAGTAATCCAGTTACCGGTATATGTATACAGTTACAGAGGGATCAACGTGCGTGTGTTAGGTCACAGTATCTGTCATTGAGTATGTGACAACCTCGTGGTTTTTCTCTAGGTCCGATAGTTTGCACCTATTGCTAAACACCCCTACGTGTCAGCGAATTATTGAAATAAATTTTACCATATTATGTTAGTCAGAAAATGACTTAGTTTGTATCGAGTGGACTTTAAATCCCATTTATCATTCCCATATTCTGGTCAAAGGCATGAGAATTTACTATTCACAGCCCATAATTGAATTGTTGAAAGGATAATGTTATTAAAGAAATATCTTACCATCTGATATATATGATTGTGAAGATGGACTGGTGACTGGTAATGAAGAATCATCTGAAAATATTAATTATAATGAGAGATAAAAGAAACACTGGCAATATTTGGCTTAGCTGGTATCCATTTTGTATATTACATTATAAAGGATTGGCTCTATATAATTTTGACTTACTCCATCTCTAAATTGCAGATTAATTGGATTAATAATTTTAACAAAAGTTCTACTTCAAAATATTTTGTTAACTACTCAGGCCACACCAATTTGAATTTTTGTTCTTCCAGGAACACTTATTCATGCAAGTTGTCCTTCTTTATTCTTCTGAGAAGAAACAAATTTAAGAACAGAAAATACATGGTTGCTCTTGTCTCAAAGCCTTTTAGTTTCAAAGTTTTTAAATAATAATAAACAAAAAAAAATTGAGTGGTTATTTTTGTACCAAGACCCAGGAGAACTTAAATTAAATTGGTTTTGTTCTAGCTCTTTACCTGATTTAGAACTAACAGCACCAGGTGATGTCACTGGTGTTTTCTTTCCATCTGTTACATCTTTCTGTTGTTCAGATTCTTTAACACCATCTTCAGGTACTATTGACATTCTATTTTGTTGTTTTTCATCTCGCTGTGGACTCGTCGTTCGTTGTGGGCTTACACTGCGCTGTGGACTAGCGGATTCCCCTTCAAATTTAGTAAACTGTTCTGAAGGTTCCAATGCTATGGGATAAAAATTATAAATTAAAATGCCGTAAAAATTTGATATGTCGTTTTTTAAAAAATCTAATAAACAGAGTTACAACAAACTACACAAAGACTAGGGATTGTTAGAAATTATTTCAAACTATGATACATTTAACTCGACTAAAAGCTCTTTACAAAGCCAAAATCTAATACTACAAAATTAGGTCTATGATACACAATGCAACAAATAAGACAGCTGGGTTATATCATGCTGTTTGTGATTTAAATAAGATATCCATTCTGGTACAACCATACATAGAATTTGTTCACTACAAACTTAATATTAAATAGCTATTTTATAACTCAGAACAATTTTACAAGTCTAGACAATTGTTTCTTATACTCATTGACATTCCAATATCAAACCACAATATATAAATCTACTATCTAATCATATTCCTGATATCAAATATTTAACGTAAGAGACAAATCTGTAATATCAAAATATTCTAAATCAGCTATAAATCTTATAATTTTCATATTTATTCCTTAGGTTAAAGCTGGAAGCATTTTGAGTTAGTTGACAAATCAAGTTTGTCTACTAAAACAGACAGAATATTAATTGACGATAAAAGCAACATATATTTTTTTTTTTTTAAATAAGAGAAATTTTCTTGAAATTTGATTTTTCAATGGTTATAAATAACTGTACAAGAATTCCACAGAATTATTCCAGGCTAAAAACTTTGTTACTGAAGAGTTTTGCCGTTTCCATTTTCAAGATTATATAATCTTCCATTTTAATTAAACGATTTTCTAATAAGAAAATATAATTCATTATGCAATCTCTAGTCTGTTAATGCTCAGGAGTAGTGTCAGTATGTTTGTGTCTAGGTTTTGTGTTTGTTGATTATTGTGTGTGGTGCTGTCCTCCCAATCATTCTACTTGATTAAGGTCATAAGGAGGAAAGATAATGATCCTATTCTCTAAGCATTTCTATATATTTCCATCCTAGATATCATGCATAAATTAATGCATTTAATCTACAAGTATATCTTTCAAACCAAACTATGAAAAAATACTGTAAACCAAGAATAAAACGCCCTTAACCATATAGCAATCTGCGTAATAAAGCTTAAATAAAAGCTTGCAAAATAAAACTGGTTTCAAACTGCTAACAATATATATCAAAGATGCCTTCCCATGTACAAACTGGGTGATTTGATGATATATTTGCTTCAAATCCCTCTCAAAATATTGTATTTGCGAGGAAATAACGCAAGCTATGAAAATTATATTTAAAGAAATCGGGTTTGTCACGTGACTTCGCGGTTGCGGTATCTAGCAAATCCAAGGGAGAATACATCACTGTTCATCACCATAAATATCAAAGCCTAAGTAAATTCTAGGATTATCCCCGCAGTTTAGTCTCAGTGTTGTACGTTTAAGTCTCTCACCTTTTCCACCTCCGCTCGACATCATGTTTATCAATATATACATTAATCGCTCCCTAATGCAAAGAGGTCAGACAATCTATGCGTGTAACATTTGATGTCACTTAGTGACACCCTCTAATTTTTGTCCTGTGCGGGCTCCATGGGTGATTTTCAGGGAATCCAGTATTTTTGTAGCAAGATTGGGCGTCTATACTTTCCATATATACCAAAATTGCCATACTTTTATTAGAAATAACCACTTGATAAATACTTTTGTGGGAATGCATCTTTAAAGCCCTAATCTTATCATTATGTACCAATTACCCATCTATGCGATAAGAACAATTGCAATAATTTGTAAATTGAGGTGCTGTGTAGTCAAACTGTGTGCAAAAGGAAAAGAAGAGACACGACAAGGAAAAACAACAAACCAATTAGGAAAATAAAAGACAAAAGCAGTGAACAAAAAATAATCAAAAAAAAAGAAAAAAAAAAAAAAATCAAAAATGCACAAAAATTGTGTCTAAATTCTAAGTGCCCTTCAACATGTAACAGCAAGCAATGTTTGTAAAAAAAAAAGACTTTGTTCAAGACTTCACCTGCATCTCCAACACTTTCATCCAGTTCCGAGCTATTTTGATATAATTCCAATGCTGGAAACATTGGAGGCTGTTCTGGAATCGAAGAGCGAGTTAGTGTTATAAGGTAGGGAATGAAGAATTGGTTATTTTCCGTGAGGATTTAGATGGACTTTTAAAAGTATTCTAGATTAGTAAGTGCATCTCAAAAAATATTGTACATTAAAAATAGGTGAAATATGACAGACCAGTAATGGAGTAAAGTGTAGAAAAATATTCCTTTAACATTCACATCCCATTATAATGAATTAGTCCAAAACTTATTTTAATAACAGTGTTAATAAAAGATATTTGAAATTTAAAATGGTGCACAGCATAAATGTCTACATTGTGATGCTATTATCAAAACACACAAAAATATTCTGCTATTCAAAAAAAAAAAAAACCCAATTAATGTCATAAAATACAAACTGTATTTTAGAACCCACAATCTGTGCATTTATAACATATATAATGCTGATAAAAATACGTATCTGTTGACATCAAAAACATAAAAGATGAATTATATAATTTATATCTTTATAAATTCCAATTGATGACCTGCTCTCATCTTATAGATATGAAAATTAAAAAGTTGAAGAAAGAAACACTATTCGTTTCTTATTCAGTATAATGAATATCAACAGTTTCCTATTCATTAATTTAAAAAAATTATACAATCAACATTATAATAGTGCTTGTTAATAAGTATTTTCATTAATAATATCAGTGTAAAGACATTTAAATATATTCAATTATTATTTACATGTTCATAATAATATTATAAGACTTAGAAGATTTGAAAGAGACCAATTAACGAGTTTCACAGTGTCAAGAATTTGCCAAGATGGCAGCTTGCAATTGGTCCATGATCTCCAATCAGTACATCCCTAAACACCCTATGAGAGAACAATAGTTTGATGATATATTGTTTATTATCTTTATCACTTTAGGGTTTACTTGAAATAATCCATTTTGTTACATATGGACAATCTATTTAAAGACTACAAAATATATATGGATTTATACATCACAGTTTTATCTGTAGGCTAATTGGAGATAGAAAAAATTCATGCCACAAACCTATTTCCCACTTCAACTCTTTAACCCCCCACCCCACCCCACACAACCCCCTCTCGCCATGCACCACTATCGTTTTCTGTATCTTTTGTATCACAAAACTGAAAATTTACAATTCAAGGACGTCAGACATATTATGTGAATAGTTGTTATATATTACCTGCATGATAAGTTATTTTATTTAACCAATCATTTAATTCTTCTTCATTGTGAATCTCCAATAAAAATTCAGCACCATCCGCAGTTTTAACTCGTAGTACATTTTTCTTTTTGGTATAGTCTTTAGCTATTTCACATGATGCTTGATGTATATTAACTGGTGGTGCTGCTGCCTGTTTACTTTCACTAATTGCTAAAATCAAATTAAAAATAACTATTATTCATACATTTTCATGAGATTTGAATAAGTAATGTTTTTATTCCCTGATTAAAAGTTTGAACATATGACATTGGTAAGCTTTTTACGCATTATATATTTCTGTATCCGTTTTTCTTCTAAACTTTCTTCGGTCTTCCTACAGACTCATTAGTTGGATAACTAAATTTATCACCCAATAATACATTCTACAGTAGATATCGCTTGTGTGATAAAGTTCATATTTTTTTTATTAACTTCTTTCTTATTAAAAAGGAACTATTTTTATTTTAATTGACCTTGATGGAAACACTGAGTCAATATAAAGGACTTTGCAATGGTTGAATTGCTGTCAAAAAATGATGTATCACTACGCCGTAATGTAATCAGGTTCAGTAAAAGTGAAATCTATAGCAAAGAATTATATTTATTTATTTGTGCATGTAAGAAGGGATTGGGTGATAAATTAAATCTCCTACTCGTCTTTTTGATTTAAAAAAATATCAACACTCGTCGACTTGTGTTTATATTTTTTGATATCAAAAAAGACTTGTAGGAGATTCTCTATATACAATCTGATTAAAATAGGCCCTATAGATCTATATTGGTTTCATTTTTTTTATACTTTCGATGGTCTACACTACATGAAGATCTGACCGGTTGTTGTGGAAGGTTGCATCAGGGGGCATACGAGTGGCTTTTGACCTTTTGACGTCAGACATTGATTAATCAATCAGCGTTGACGTTTCTAGTGGTTTACCCAAAGTTCTTTGTACCTCACGCCAAAAACTCGCCGTAACAGAGTTTCATTGGCTAATCTCTCATATCATCCAGAATGTGGGTTATATAACAACTCTTCTAGATCCTAGTGTAGTAAAGACGAATAAAACGAAATTTTGAAATATAAAAAACAAAACGAAATAGGATCTGTGTTTTAATCAGATTGCTAAATACATTTAAAGGACTAAAATTCCACAGATCGTCATTCAAAATGGAGAGTCTAACTGGATATCATAGTATGTTATTTGAGAGGTAAGAACAGAAATGGATATAATTGGCCATAGAATAATAAGATTTTATCTGTTTGTACACCATAAAGGCTCCTTACCTTCTTTATCCTTAAAGAAACACAGAAGTTGACCAAACATCACTGTGTAGAATTGTTTCCAGGAACGTATCGTGGCTTTTTTACCTCCACTCTGTAATTCTAGTTTCCTGTCCAGCGTACCCTCCATAGCAACAGGTGGTAAAGTTTCCGGTAATTTATATTCCTTTTTAAAGCTTCTAGTCTTTCTCCGAATATTAAAGCTGGGCGTTCGTTTTGATTTCTTTTCGTCTTTCAAATTATCTACACGTTTTTGTTTTGGACTCAGGGGTGGTGAAGTAAGCTTTTCTTTTTTAGAAATTCCTGGCGATGCAGGGGAAGGAGTGTTGTTGATCATTTCAGAACTTGTGTTTAGGTCATCTCTCTGATTTGTTGACTTGGGTGGAGGAGGTAACGATGGAAGACTTGGCACATCACCCTCTTCTTCAACACTAGCATCATGAGGTTTCTGGATGTCCAAATCTTCATCGTCTACTGATCCTGAGAATGTAAATTCTGTAGCCTTGGTTAAAGGTGATAATGATTGATCTTGTCGAACACTCATATTGTTTTCTGGTCTTCCTGCCATTTTGATACTTTGTGACCTAGCAACTATAAGATTTTTAACAACAGATCTATCCAATTGTCCATCATCTTGTCTGAAAGAAATACAAAATTTAATCATACTTTTTAAATGTACATCATAAGAACATTGATCAGCATTCATCCAACAAAAACTCTAATAGTAAAAAAACAAAATTTTTAATTCAAAATTTTTTTTATTCGAATGTGATAAAACCAAAATAGGTTAGAGAGAGAGTGTTTTTTGAAAAAGATCTTCTGTGGACATTCAACCAATGATCTGATCTGGTAAAGATCTTCTGTGGACATAAACCAATGATCTGATCTGGTAACGATCTTCTGTGGACATACAACCAATGATCTGATCTGGTAACGATCTTCTGTGGACATACAACCAATGATAGTAAAACAATTTTTCCTGTTACAAGATTAATCCATGCACCAGTTTTCTTCACTATTATCCTTGCACATTGCAAATCCCTAAACAACCTGCTGTATTGGATTGGATGGAGGGAGAGAGAGAAAGAGGGGGTTTAACCTCCACTCAACACAATTTATGGTTCAATTTTATTTCAATAATTCGCTTGCTCAGATAGGGGTCTTTGAGCAGTGGGAGGAAACCAAAGGGCAAAGAGAAAACCCACGAGGTTGTCAATTACAAGCAGAGAATCGAAACCATGCCGCTTAATTCAATGACAGATCTTATGATCCAAGTTAACAATTTGGACACCCAATCCCCCTAGTATTGGATGGGCTTTCACTTATCAAATGTTTTTTTCCAAATAAAATCAGTAATAATTACCCCCTGTCTTCTTCATTTTCTGAACTGCCTTCACGCTGCCGACGAAGACTGATTTCACGAGCTTTACGTTGATCTTCTTCTTTCTTTCGTTCCTGTATTGGATACAATCAGATAAATATCAAATAAGATATATTTATAGAATTATACATCTAATAGTTTACCTGTTCTCATTGTTATGTTTTACAACAGAATGGGTGAATTTGTTACTAGTTATTTACATGTATTTTTCTACTGCGTAAAATCAAAAATAAAAAGCATTTCATGCAAAATAAGCCTTGTTATAAGCTTATTATATAGTTCCCTTGTCAATGTTCTAAATAAACAGCATATTATATTAATTTAGCAATTTAAGCCTTTTCTAAATAACATATATATAATATTCATAAATAATTCTTGATATCAAATTGATCCTATTAGTTCCATTAATTAAAATTTGATTATTTTTATTCTGTTTTTCTATTAGTTTTGTTTCAAAACATATAAAAGTAACTAGCTCTAGCCAGAAACAGGCTTAATGATATCGACCTAAACATACTATGCAAAACAAAAAAAAAATTTACATGCAAAGAGAGAAAATTGATTTAAAGATCTTGGGATTGAAGGTTTAATGTAGGGAAATATAAACCTAAGGTTGGGGACGAAATTTCAACCACTCATGTTAAGATCAGATTTCTTAACGAAAACTATTTAATTATTACATGTAATTTAATTTGATATTAAGGTAATATCAGTTGGATTAGAGGTGCCCACATTTTATGAATAAATACCAGTATACTTGATATGCTACGAACATCTTCCACATTTACGAAACAAAATAAGCGGTACACGTAACACAAGTTAGACATAATTACTTTTAGGCTATTATTAAGTGAAAATAATTTTAAATGTGCAAGTTATAAAAGCAAGTTATTATTGTCAATTACAGCATATTTTTATTTTAGTAAAATATCAAAAATTAACCAAAAATATGACACAGTGATTTTACAGCTTAACACAGCTGGTAAAAGATAACACACAAGACATTTACAAATACCCCACTGGCCCTGTTTCTTAACACACTCTCCCACTGATGAACATATAAACAAATGAAATGAAATGGAGTTTAACGTCCTACTGTTCTGCTCCTAACCTGGGCTAATGAAGACGGGCATACGCCATACAGTGTGCTATGAGGGAAATTTTGCCCGGGCAGCGGCGCTACGGCCTACTCTTATATCGAATTCCAACTGCCAAGGGATCTTTTACGTGCACGCCAATGTGTACACGGGACCTCGGTTTTTCGTCCCATCCGAACGACTAGACAGCTGTCCTTGTCAGGCCCTCCATCCTGCATCACTGACAAGAGGAAACCACGCCGGAAAATCTGGGTGAACTTTCTTGGTCAATGCAGGGATCTAACACCCGACCTTCAGGCTAGCGAGCCAGCGTCTTACCCACTTGATCCCCTGATCAATGATGAACATATAAACAAATGAAATGGAGTTTAACGTCCTAATGTTCTGCTTCAACTGGGCTAATAACATATAAACAGATGAATGGTATGACTGCTGTATGAAGATATATATAGTGATTAAGTATGAAAAATGATAGGATTTTAAAATAAGGAATGCAAATCTTTCATTTGCAAAGCGTATCGGGATATGTCTGGGATGATTTGACTGAAGGAAAGGTAAATATATGGATTGGTATATAAAAGGTTTGATAGAAAATGGTGCAAAATGAAAGTTGAAAAAATTATATAAATCTAATATTTATCACTTTCTTTGGTTATAGTCATTTTCATACTGTAATTGGTTATGTTAACAAAAATGAAGATATCTCTTCTTTTAAAAGCTATGTTGACTTCCACTATTTTTATTTAAAAAATTATATATTTTTAAAATCATTTAATGAATTTTTATTTTAAAAGTTTTATTTTGTGCAATATTATATTGAGCAGGGGAGAAGTTTCACACATTAGGAAATGCTGAGATTTTCACACATTATATAAGGTTGATGGCTTAATTTCAAAGATATTTAAATTTTACCATATAGGATGATAATCCCACTGACTGCAAAACCATTAGATATATTTAAAAAAAAAATTTCTTTCAAAGAGTGTAAATAAAATGGACGAAAAATAGCTGGATCAAAAAAAAGATAAGCCCTATTAGTATTATTATGTTTCAAGACTTAAAGGAACAAAATGGGAGTTGGAAATTTCAAAATAAAGATTATCTTTTGATGAATACAAAAAAAAATAAATAAAAATAAAGAACAATAAAATCAAGGCACTATAATAATCTAACAGGCCATGCTAATATTTAAAATAAATGTCTTCAGGCAATCCTCGAAAAATAAAATGTACCGGTACCTCTTGCTTATATAATACATCATGCATGAATAGGATTATAACAATTGTAATAACTGTGCAAAATGTTTATACAATGTGATGCGTCCTGGTATCACCTACAACACATCCATAAATCCAAAATGTAAAACTTTGTCACACATGAATATTTTCACAAACACTGGTGCACACCTTGACAACGCTAATTTTTTGCATGTGGGATATATTCAACACTTTTTGCATGTGGGATATATTCACCACTTTTTGCATACAGGATATATTCAACACTTTTTGAATGTGGGATATATTCACCACTTTTTGCATGTGGGATAATTTCACCATTTTTTGCCTGTGGGATTCACTACTTTTTGTATGTGGGATATATTCACCATTTTTTGCATGTGGGATTCACCACTTTTTGCATGTGGGATATATTCAACACTTTTTGCATGTGGGATATATTCACCTATCGGAACTAGATGAAGCAATCTTTATACATTGAATATTTTATTCTCTGTATATTTCTTGCAACAATTAATATATGATAAATCAATGTCCAAGTCAACACTTTGATTTTAAATCAATAGGATTACTTCCCCTGTCAGTCCATCGCATTTTGCACAATTACGATCACAAACAATTATCTGAAAATGATGTAATATTAATTACATCTATACCAACAATCATACAACACAACAAACATACATAGATACCATGTCTAATTACTTCTTGTTTAATATTATTACAGGTTTTTTTTTCATTAATGTGATATTTCTTTTCAAAAGTTGAGCCTTAAATCATGTGAGAGAGAGAGAGAGAGAAATGGGGTTTAACGTCCACTCGACACAAACAAGGTCATTTTGGGACTAACATATGGTTTAATTTTATTTCAATAATCCACTTGCGCGTAGTGGTGTTTAGCAGTGGGAGGAAACCGGAGGACACAGAGAAAACCCACAATAGCACAAAATCATTTCCATTAAGGATTTTCTCTTCATTGAGAACCGTTGTCTTAACAAGAAATAAAGTGACTGGTATTCTCCTGAACTCTATATATATATATATAAAACACAACACACAAGATGAAGCAAAACAACTTCATACCATACCACCAATAAAACGCTTCAAAATATGGCAATTTTCAAAAGCAAATTAAAATACCATTACAAAGACTAATGGTATGGGAGAAACTTGCTATTAAATATGACCTTAAGAGTGATGTGGCTACAACAATTTACACATCGATGAAGGATTACAAGCATTGTGAATAAGCTCTTGAATTATAAAGACACATCTGTTTACTAAATATCTGTGCAAGAACAAATAGTAGACCTCAATGTGAAGCGCTTAGAAATGACCAGCGAACATAATTTAGCGCTAAATAAGACAATTTATTATTATTATATATTATCATTTGCGATGATTATAGTAGCCACAGCACAAATTAAATCAAATACATTTATATACAATACACACACAATTCTAGAAATATTTCTATATGTTTGGAATTTATATCTATGATTTAAAATAATGATCAAAAAGAGATATTTAAAATTCAAAATAAAAACATTTTGAGAAATATTTCTTTAACTGTTAACTCTGAATAGCAACATGCATTAGTGAGTTAGAATCAAGCAATTTTTAATGAAAATGCTGTAAATGACGTTAAATCATAACCAACACGTACATTTCTGTGAGGCTGTAATGAAAATATGATGTCAAGCTTTTTAATTCAGCAATTCTACAATTTCTACCACAAAGCACAATATTTGAAAAAACTCAATAATTCAATAACAGAATCTTGTTACATGTTTAAATTAATGTCATAAATACTCATAAATATCTGATAAAATATTTTAATTGAAGTTTTCAAGAAATTGTGCTCTGTATTTGATATGGTATATGATTAAACATTATAAAACAAAATGGCTTAGTTCTTGGGTATGATAGCCTTTTCATATCACTTTGTTTAGATTTTATATTTTCACTATAAAGATTCATTTCAAATTTTATCGCTTTCAATAAATCTTTGAATTTAATTTTAGTCACAAGACTAAATATTCAGAAAAATGGAGATAAGAACAAAAGATTTATTTAAAATCCTACCCAAGAATCATATATTATGGAAATAACAATGAACATGCTATAGCCAATTATTAACATTCATATTAGACTAAAGTAACAGCTTGAAAATCTTCTCTCCAATAAATAAAAAAGTATGCTCGAATTTCATTTGTGTGTATTAAAAGAAATAGAAAAACACCAAACTCCCCAAATTTTACCAGTGATATGTCCACATTTCAGGGGTAAGACTTAATAATGATAATATGATATATTATATATTCTTTTCCACATTTCAGGGATAAGACTTAATAATGAAAATATATATCATTTATTCTTAACTAAATTTGAAATATTTCCTAAGTGGAGTGAAAGTTATAGAGAGAAATGGGGTTTAACGTCCACTTGACACAAACTAGGATATTTCTGGACTAACACATGGTTCAATTTTATTTCAATAATTTGCTTGCACGTAGGGGTCTTTAGCAGTGGGAGGAAACCGGAGGACCCGGAGAAAACCGAGGTTGGAAAGGCGACCCTACTCCTTATCAAGTACAACCAGGGAATCGAAACCACACCAGTTGACTCAATGACAGACCGTATGATACAGCGCATACATGCTAACCATTTGGCCATCCAACCTCCCGGCGAAAATTATAAATCTGGGACAACTAAAACTATGGAAGGGTAAGGCCATTCTTTTGAGAAAAACTGATATCACTATTAGTGTATTTTACAGCTCATAGAGCTTATAATCTGTACTAGAAAACATTAATTGATCTATTGATTTTTCCGATATAAAATAGTAATTAATTTCAATTTGTTGATCAGCAGCCTGCAAAGTTCTTGGTACATGCATAATAACAATAGTTTGGTTACGACAATAACAATATGTTACTTAGCAATGGGTTATTCACTTAAAGCTTCACATCATGCGATTACTTAATGGCCAATACAAAAATCATGCAAAATAAAAGTATTTATTATTTACAGTCAATTTTATAATCAGTTGTTGTCCTACTGTAAATACACAAGAATGAACAGTAAGACTCAACAATTATTAAACTTACGTCAAGAATACGGTCCTGTTCTTTACGTCTCAAGTCATCCAGACGTTCTCGTTCTCTTTTAGCTTCATCCTGAACTTGTTGTTGCTGTTCTTGTAGTCGATGCTGAGCAAATGCCTTCTCAACCTAAAATATGGGGTAAAATCATTGCTTATGAATGGTCATGACAACTTCTAAATTTCAAAACTTGTTAATTCTCTACTGTATAAAAGATTTTCTTTTTTTTTTTTTAAAATGGGGTTTAACGTCCACTTGACACAAAGTAGATTATTTCGGGGCAAACATATGATTCAATCTTATTTCAATAATACACTTGCGCGTAGGGGTCTTTCGCAGCGGGGGGAAACCAATGGACCCAGAGAAAATCCACAACGTTGAAAGCAACCCTACTCCTTGTCACGTACAACCGGGGAATCGAAATCACGCCACATGACTCAATGACAGACCTTATGATACAACGTACACAAGCTAACCATTCAGCCATCCAACTCCCCTACAGAGACATTTCAAATTATAATTCAAATGTTTATCTCTTCCAGCAGGAGATTTCAAGATAAAGAATTCTATAAAATATAAAATACCTCAGAAGGTTTATCCAAAGCCTGAAATTTGGGTTCTTGGGCATCAACTGTTTTTTCAAAATCTGCATGGCGTCTGAGAAGTTCTTCTACACCTTGTATAGAATCACCGTAATTCTTTCCTCTAAGATGTGGTTCACGTAACGACATCCATGCATCTAACTGTTCCATGTAATATTTCAATTTCTGAAATAAACAAAACATATTTTACATAATTGGTCCACATACAATCTGATTAAAATACAGATATATATTTCATTTTCGTTTTTTATACTTCCGATGACCTCCACTACATGAAGATCTGACCAGTTGTAGTTGGAGGTCGCATCAGGGGTCATACGAGTGGCTTTGGACCCCATGACATCAGACATTTGGTTAACCAACCACAGTTCTGTGCACTGTATGCCAAGAACTCTTCGCAACAGACCATTTCATTGGCTAATCCCTCACATCAACTATAACGTGGGTTATCTAACAAGTCTTCAAGATCCTAGTGTAGTAAAGACAAGTAAAACGAAATTCTGAACTAGAAAAAAAATAAAACGAAATAGGATCTATGTTTTAATCAGATTCTAAATACCATATAATGGTGTTCATAGTTTGGTATAAAAGATGTTAGGATAAGATAATAATAATTACCTGTGCTTCAAGATTTTGTTCATGTAAACTTCTACGATGATTCATGGTTCGGATCAGACCTTCCCTAGATCCATTAAGTTGAGTTATCTTCTCCTGGATCTATAATTTAAAAGTAAAACAATTAAATAATAAAACATAACAGAGCAATCCTGATAAAAGACAAAAAATTTCCAGACAACAAATAAAATGTCCAAGATTATGGAGACAGATGCTGTATACCAGATTGAGCTATAATATAAATGTACCAGATAAAATAAATAAATAGTATTTACACTGATTGGGTAATTTAAAAATGGATGAAATTAAAATGGTCTGTACTTACTTCTTCTGATAAGAAATGACCATTTTTGATGAGAAGTTCTCCAGTATGTTGGAACTTGGTAAAAGCCTCAGCTCTACTGTCAACTTCTACTTTATGTTCTTTATATCTGGTTATCATGGATTCTGCACCTGGTAAATCTCTAGCTAATTCATCTGATGTTATTATAGCTATCATTTCACTGATCCATGCACTGTGTAAATAGTACCAATATTTAATTAACAAATATGAAATGAAATGTGGTTTAACATCCTACTGTTCTGCTCCGACTGGTCTATTGAAGATGGACATAAGCCATACAGTGTGCTATGAGGAAAATTTTGCCCGAGCAGCGGAAGTTCGACCTTCTCTTATCGAATTCCAATTGCAAAGGGAGCTTTTACGTGCACGCCAATGTGTACACTGGACCTGTTTTTCATCCCATCCGAACGACTAGACTTGTCAGGCCTTCCTCCCTGCACAACCGACAAGGGCAAACCACGTTGAAAAATCCCGATGAACTTTCTCGGCCAACATAATGTATAAAATATAAATGAATTGGATTAAATAATTGTGAATGAAACAATGTGAACTCTTTTCATTTCTTCATGTTTGATATTCCACACAAATTTATCATTTTAAAAATAATACTTACGTTAATTCTCTATAATCGTTGAAGTACATCTGTAATTGGAGGGCAGATTGTAATTTCTCTTTACGTTGAGATGATTTTTCGACCAATGTGTTCCAAGCATGGACCATCTCTTCATGTTTTCTAGCTATGTGTTCCTGGGCATCAGGATATAACACCATCAACCTCTCAGCTTCTTTTGTTATTATTTCAACCTGTTCACTGATAGCAGCCAAATCACGCTACAATCAAAATCACATTCAAAATAAATTTTTAAAACATGGATGTATTGTTACGAAACACTACACTTTAATAGTCATTTGACTGGGAATTATTCAACTGCAAAAATTAGGTTTGGGGTTGTTGTTCTTCATATTGTTTAAAATAGAAATGAAATTGAATTTAAAGTCCTACTGTTCTGCTCCTATAATAGGCTAATGAAGATGGGCATACGCCATACAGTGTGCCATGACGAAAATTTTGCCTGGACAGTGGCACTAAGGCCTACTCTTATATCAAATTCCAACTGCCAAGAGATCCATAACGTGCACAGCAGTGTATACACAGAACCTTGGTTTTCAGTCCCATCCGAACAACTAAATAGCTGTCCTTGTCAGCCCCCCCCCCCCATCCTGACCACTGAACTTTCTTGGCCAATGCACCTTAAAATAGAAGTTTATATATTAATTGATCATATTTATTTACCTCTAACCCTTCATGACGACTAATAAGTGACTGAACACTTTCTAGATCATGACCAAAATCATCACTACTAACAATCAGATCTTTTTCTTGTATCCATTCCAGAGTATCATCTGCTTCCCTACCATACATGTGGACTTCTTTAGCTCCGACTAATGACTAAGTTCAAAATAGAAAATAACGTCTTTATATAATACCAGTCTCTCTACATATCCATAGATCTTATATGTGTAAATATATACATTTCATAACCTTGTCCATGGAATCTTTGTATTTTATTGATCAGTATACAAGACAACAGGCATTAGATCTTTCATTAGTTATAGCCCTGTAATCACTGGATCATCAAACAATACTTCCTATGTAGCACCCACTTACTCGATCCCATTTTATTATCAGAATACCCTATCATACAAATGAGCAGAGTAAGCTGATTTCTAGCATCCCATACAAGCACTCAATGGAATGGAAAAATTCTGCATACTCCATCAATCTCAACCCCAGAGATAAGTTTACCCTTTGTTTACCTCTGGTAAAACTCACCGGCCATTAATCAGCGTGAAATCGGTTGCTAAGCATCGCCCCCCCCCCCCCAGTGGCTACTGATTAGCAGGATTTGTTAGAATGAAATGCTGCCGATTAGTCATCGTTTCGTTGCATGAGTTACATATTAATGATCCTTGGAACATTTTCTACATCTTAACATCAAAAGTTTTTTCGAAAACAGTCGATTTGATGAATTACCGGGAACTATTTTTAGCGCACATGTGAGTGATTTGGCTAAATATGTGATGAAATTTCGGAAGAAATGCACATTTGAGCCGCCATCTTGGATCCGTGTGAAGTGACCGATGGAAGAATACATTATGTGACATTCTAAATGGCCGGCGAGTTTTACCAGACATAAGGAAAGGATAAACTTATCTCTGGAATCAAGATTGATACTCCATGTGACTGTCAGCTTATCAAATCCAAAGAATCTCTCTGCACATAGGTCAAATATTCAAACACTAAAACCATATTAATTTCCCTTATTACCGGTACCATGATTCCAGATCAGCCCAATGTGTCCATACATGAGATCACTATAAATATTGTAGAAAATATAATATTGTTTTACCTCTTGTCTAGCTTGAGCCACTTCTTTGAGTTCATTCCACATCTGTGTAATCTCATCAGATCGTTTCTGGATTTTTGTCTTTTCAAAATGGTTGTTGTCAATCATTGTCTTTCCCATAGTAACCACCTTCGTTACACGATCCTCTTTAGAATTGAGGTCATGAATAAAATCTTCAAACTTTTGTTGCAAGATCTGTGAACATACCAAATACAATTACAGCAAAATGTGTTTAACATATACTAAAAGCATCATTCTAAGTTATTTTGAAACGTAAATGTTCTAGTTTTCTGAAAACAAGATTTGTAATACCAATGTTTCTTTCTTAGGTTGTCAAGAGAGAGAGAGCGAGAGAGAAATTGAGTTTAACCTCCACTCGACACAATCTAGGTCATTTCGGAACATGGTTCAATTTTAATTCAATAATTTTCTTGCGCAGAGGGGTCTTTAGCAGTGGAAGGGAACACAAGGTTGGACAGGCAGCCCTACTACTTGCCACATTCAAGCGGGGAATAGAAACCACACCAGTTGACTCAATGACAGACCACTAGACCAACCAACCCCCAGGTTGTCAAAAGGAAGTCATACGATTCTTGTAATTATGTAGGTTTTAAGTATTATTTAAATTGTTAGCTATAGAAAGGACAATAGTTACCTCAATATGTTCTAAATCTTGACCATAATCTTCTGAACCAGCAATAACACTTTTATCTTCTATCCAATCACTGACCTCATCAGCTTCACGATAAAATTCAAATAATTTCTTGCTATCATTTAACTTAACTCTTCTTTGATTGGTTAAATCTTGTAATTGACTATATCTCTGTTCAATATCGGCCTGGAAAAATTATTCAAATTGTTTATGGTTATGCAAATATTCACAAAAATTATTAGACCAACTATTTATAATATACATTTTATGTGAAAAATATTGTTAACGTAAATTTGAAGAACCCATTTTAATAGTCCGCAGGGGACAAAAAATCAAACAAATACCTACCTGTTTTTGTTTTATATTTTCACTATCATAATGTCCTTTATCTGTTAAACTACGACTAAGAGCAGATAACTCTCCAATACTATTACTAAAATTATCTACATCTCTTTCTAATGCATCAAGTTTCTTCATCAAAGCCTGAAATTAAAAAACAACAGGAATTTGTTTTTAAACAAAGGGATTAACAAGATAAGGTTTCTGTAGTTTCACACTGAAATCAAGGGCTTAATAAATTGTAGATATTATCAACCAAGTATTGTTTGATTAATTTGAACAACTGACTTATCTGACACAGAAGCTTTTAGGAACAGCACAGCAGATACTTCCAGCAACACCAGAGGTTTTTGACTGAGGTACACCAATGTTTCATAGAGAATAATCGAGACTGATGCTTTAATGGGCCACATCAACATTGTTTCACTTTTGTTCAAGATATCCCCTTTAAACAAGATGAAATCCATGTAATATAGTTAAAAACACCTACCTGAACAGAATCTTCATCTTTACCTAAATCAGAACTTGTAAGCTGAGGTATTTTCTCATTCATCCAGGATTCAGTTTCTGCTACTTCAGTATAGAACTAAAGTATAAAAACATAACTTCAACAATCTACATTTTTTAATGTATGTACATATTTCAAAGCTTTTGTTTATATACTCACAAAATATTTTAGGTTCTGAAACCTCAAATAACTTAAGCTTTTTAGAAGTTATTTTATCTATTCTTAGATAAATAGAAACAAATGTTGGAGGACTTCTTCTCCCCTACCTTCTGTGCCTCTAAGGAAGCTTGCAGTTTTAGTTTACGACTGGATGTTGTTTGTTTCAGTTCCTGTAGCTGTTTATGAAGATTATCAAGACGATTTTGTATATCTTGACTTGCGAAATGTTTACTGCGAACCATCATCTGTGCCGAGCTAGCTACTGCATCTATCAATGGTTCATGTGCAATGATTTCGGATTCCAAAGCCTGATAAAAAAAAAACTTAATGTTAGTTCTATAATGAAATACAGGAAATATTTTGTATTCGACTATATCTAAATAGTAACTTCATGGAGATGTTCCAACCACTTAAATAAAAAATATATAGAAAACGATGACAGCTACTAGATTCAACTCTTAAAAACTCCTCCATTCAAATGACAAATTGGTAGAGTCAGAACGAGCAATTGTCCATGGCAAAGACTTAGTGTAGAAATACGACCAAACGTAAACAAATTTGCACGATTTACTACAACTTCACCATTATTAAACCTTATTGAAATATCAGGCAGCATTGATGACGTTGGCAAAGAAATCTGTAATTAAGGGTAGCATTTTGACGTGGAGGAACTTGAAATTTTCTAGAAATTGTTGGAGATTATGGTTAAAATTAAAACAATAGCCTATGGAAAGAGAGAGAGAAATGGGGTTTAACATCCACTCGACACAAACCAGGTCATTTCGGGAATAACATGGTTCAATTTTATTTCAATAACTCACTTGCGCATAACGGGCATTTTAGCAGTGGGATGAAACCCACATGGTTGGACAGGTGATCCTACTCCTTGCCACGTACAACCGGGGAATCGAAACCACGCCAAATAGTCTATGAAAATTAACAATCTAATCTGGAGACAAAAACAAATTTCAAAGTATGTTCTTCTAACTTTCCATACCTGATGTTTCTTCATTAGGTTTTGAACTCCAGTCAATGAATTACCAAGGTCGGTATTACTTGCGGTTGGTTGTTTATCTTGTATCCATGACAACTCATCATCCACATCCCGATAAAACTGATACATTCGTAAAGCCTCCTCCAGATTATCTCGTCGGATGTGACAAGGTTCATTCAATGATTGATACCTTGAAAATAAAATAAAATTAATACAAGCCTATCTTTTCAGTTTCAAGTTTAAACAAGGACAAAGGTTTGTCAGGTCCCCTATATGCCCACTAGGAGTCAAGTAGTCCATGCTAAATCTACAATCAGCAAATCTATCATAGTAACATTATGAACTCTTAAAGGTAAAAATGTGAACAAAAAAATAATTGCATCATGCTTACAAGCTTTTTAAGTTAACAGTCAAATTGTTATTTATTATATAAAATCAAGCCTGGACATAATGTACCTGACCAGTCAAATTGTTATCTTTTATATAAAATCAAGCCTGGACATAAGGTACCTGACCAGTCAAATTGTTATCTTTCATATAAAATCAAGCCTGGACATAATGTGCCTGACCAGACAAATTGTTATCTATTATATAAAATCAAGCCTGGACATAATGTACCTGACCAGTCAAATTGTTATTTATTATATAAAATCAAACCTCCTATATTATACTGGGCAAGAAAATAATAGATTGCAAAAAAAAACAAAACAAGGAATTTGTCATCTCTATGATTGTGATTTTATAACCATTCAGCATACAGACTGTAGTATATATACCTTTCAGAGACTTCCTTAGATCTAGCTTGTAAATCAATCTTCAAGAAATGTTTGGCTTCTTTAAAAACTTGAACAGCATCAAGAATATCTTGTATTTTCTCTTGATGATTAGATATATCTTGTTCTAATTGCTGAGAAAAAAAAACATGTTCAAGAATAAATATTATTTCATAACAATTATTTTATTCAAACATAATTTACTTGTATTTCAAGGCAATAATAAAGTTTTTGATTACAAAATCAACCCAATTCAATATAATACAAAGATTGTACATACAGGGCTGAGTTTGTTCTCATATTCCTGTCGCAAAAACTGATTAAATACTGTTACAAAAAAAAAATTAGCAGACAGTGTGCTCCAGGCCGGTTTGATGATGCTTTTGCTTTCACATTCACTATTGTTAAACAATTTCTATTGTTAAAAATCAACTATTTACTAACTTAATAACAGACAGCTTTATGAATAGCTTCGGCTTCAAATTATTAATTAGTTTATTGCTATCCATTTGTATATTTCTGTAATATATTTGATTGTGTCATTGCTTGATAACAGTGAGAGTATCCTCAATGAAACGTTGCAGTTAATAAACCTAGTGAATGTTATCCATAAAGCTGTCAGTTTATTATATATCGCTTTCACTAAATGCCTTTTAAAGATGTTATTTACTAACTTGATGTTTTTTAAGTAGATTATTAACTGATGATAAATCTTTTCCATGATCTTCAGACATCAGCTGATTCTCAACTTCATCCATCCATGACATCAAGTCATCAGCTGCACGATTAAATAACAACGCCTGAAAAATAAACATACATATTTCTTAAATAAAATAGTTAATGCAGGGAATATTCAAAACAAATGGTTAAATATAGAACAGAAAATACAAATTAAGTACTAGGTCAGCCAAAACATGTCACAATTTTAATATATCGTGGCAAGTAGTTATAATGCAATACAGTTTTCAACTCGGCCCTTGTAGTTACACATTCTCAGAATGAATCATGAACCTGAAATGAGTAAAAATATCTAATGCAAAATATCTAACGTAAAGATCTACATTAAGAATTTCCTTACAGAAAGAGTATAATATGAGAATTTGTATTAAGGTTTAAGAAATGAATTTGTTATATACCTGGTAAGCATCTTGAAGTTTATCCTTTTTATCTCCACTAGCTGCTATCAACGCCTGCCAACTTCTCTCTAATTCTTCTAATCGTTTCTTAATATCTGTTTGAGAATAGTGATTACCATCCAGTAAGCCTTGACCTTCCTATAATCAAATTAAATAATGAATTCAACGCTGAATAAAAGAACTCGGTTACCGTATTATCAGGTAATTAAATGATCACAATGAGGAACATTTTCAAAAAATATATATTAATACATTTGAGACAAACCTGCACGACTGCATCAACTCTATTTCTATTGGCTGCGAGTTCAGCTTCAAATGCCTGATGTTTTTGTAATTTAGCTTGGAGATTTGTTGGATCCCGGTATGATTCATCTAATGCTACTTGTAACTTCTCATTGATCCAACCAGATACCTACAAAAAACATACAAAATATTAATCCACAAACTTTAAAATTTCTACCTTTAGAAACATTCTTCATGATTTGAAATGGAAAGAATAGATTTCATCTTTAAGCACCTCCGTGGTTCAAAATGATGTCTCTAAAGACAAGTTTTTATATACCATATTACTAAAAATGCTTTATGCAAGAGGTAAATCTTCCTTTAGGCCTGAAATGTTATCTAAATTGTTATTTAGACATTTATTAACTTATCCAGACCATAATCAACTCTTTATGCATTATATAGTTAGTCTGCGATATTTAGTAGATTTGAATACATTTTGTGATGGATAATTAAATGTTAAAATGGATAATCGAGACTTTGTTGATCATAAAACCAACTTTAGTAATGGTGATCGAGGTTAGCCTAAAATTGAATCACTAATATCTCGGTTCAGAGTGAAGCAATTTGACTGAAAATTTCAGCATATTCTGTTTACATTATCTATTTTATAACCACCATAGCGAGAACTGTCAGCTCTTTATCTAATGCCCCTTAAGAATTATTCAAATAATATTTCATTTACCTCATATAAATTACGGAGGAAAATTTGATAATTATGAGATTCTTGTAATTTCTTTCTTCTTTGGGTGGAAAGTTCCCACATGTGAACACGTCTTGATAAAACAGACTGACATCGTTTTTTAATTTCATCCTTGGCATAATGTTCTTTCTCACATAAATCATCACCAAATTGTTTTAAATCTTCTATTCTATCTTCTTGGGCTTTCGTTGTCTTTTCAAATCCTTCGTGTTTCTTGATTAAACCTTCCACACTGTAAAGTGTATTCTAGAAAAAAAATATTTTTTTTTCAATAAATAACTGTCATGATCACATCTTTATTTGGTTTTCTTTTACTTAAAATTAACAGAAAACTTGTGATAATGCTGTTTTTTGTTTATTGATATTGTCTATGTATTTATATTGTAAATCTAAATAGTAAAGATCCCTACTGGTTATTGCAACATTTATTCAGATGATCTAAAGAACTTACTCCCAAGTCCTCATTTGCTAAGAAGGCTTCTTTTGTTCCTAACCAAGTATCACATTGTTCAGCAGTTTCTTTAAATACCTAAAACAAAGATAAAATACATAATTTACAGCCATTTGGTGCATCTGAACAATTAAAATAACATAATGGTCCTAATACTGATCCTTGGGGGAGACCAACTGTAACAAAACCCCAACACCCCATCATTCATACATCTAAACAAAACTGAATAAAAACTTTAACAATGAGAATAAATTGAATTGATATACTGAATGGTGGTAGTCAACAAAATATTGCAGGAATTCGTAGAATAATCAGTTATATTTTTCATTACATATTTAGATCTCTTGTGGTGATCTATAACTTACCATTAAGTCATGACATTGTGTAAGTAAATTATTATGTTTATCCCAAGTTCCATTAAGTGAGAGCTTTGTCTTGTCTAGTTGAGAGATCATTTTCTGTATTTCCTCACTAGCATAATGTTTATTGTTGATGAGGTTCATGCCACATTCTCTAATAGATGAGAAGTGAGATTTTCTTCCATTTATTTCTGCCTATAAAAACAGAAGAAAAGAAAACTTAAATAAAAAAAATATTTACTTACAATCATTTTGATTTAGTTTAATTTAATAAAAAAACATTATAGAATGTGAATTGAAAAATTCAGAATTGGGAACAAAAAACCATGTAAACTGAGTAATAATTTAATTCTAAGATTTCTTCAAAAATGAATATGAAAAGAGTAGGATGTAAAACCCTATTTCATTTCATTTATTTTTACCTTTCTTTCGTGATGCATTTGGAGACAGTTTTCAGCTTCTGCAACATCTTTGGCAAGTTCTCCACCATTCATTCTAGCGATCATCTCATTAGACCAGGATGACTGGAAAATAAAAATAACATGACATTTAACTTCAGAAAATTGATCAAAGTTTCAGTACAATTAAATTGTTTGTAAAAATGTTCCATCCTTATATATGAAACTTATGTTTAAAAACTTACCAGTTCCCTAGCATCAGATAAGAACTTCTGAAGTTGATACGATTCTGCTAATTTAGCTTTCCTGAAAAAGTATGATGAAAAATATTAGGGAAAGCAAGCCATAGTACACGATGTTACAGTTTTACACTTTTTAAATACAAAATACGATAAAAAAAAATCTTCTTAATTATTTCCATGAACTGTAAGCCACTGACCGCTGGATTTGTACATGTAGTTCCATTACAATTTAAAAATTATTTGTTACTCTCATAACAGTTTTCAGAATTCAGTCAGGTCAACCTCCAATAAATCAAATGATCAACCCATACATGTATTCATACCGTAAAATCATACATGAAAATTTCAATATCAAAAACACGTACCTTTGGTCTGACAGATCTTCCAGTCTCTCCCAATTATCATCTACTTCCTGTTTTTTCTGGTTTATCATATCAGTTTTATCCCGATATCTGTTACATAATTTACCCGCTTGTACCTCTACTTTCTGTAAATAATAAATTTTCAAACATTTAAAATGATCTTAAGTAGAAGTTTACCTCATCTTTGAACAAATGATAGAAGTAATTCATTTACATTTCAATAAACTGGGAGTATTTTGTTTGACTCAACTTCATGAAGAAAGCCAGTGGAATTGGAAAAATGAATTTTCCATCACTTGTTAAACAGAATATAACCACCATTTTTAACATAATAAATGAGCTACATGCATACATTTTCATACAAAAAGCAACAGTAAAGGAAAATAAATGAAATGAAATAAAATGGGGGTTTAACGTCCTACGGTTCTGCTCCTATACTGGGCTAATGAAAACGGGCATACGCCATACAGTGTGCTATGAGGTAAATTTTGCCCGGGCAGCGGCACTATCGCCTACTCTTATATCGAATTCCAACTGCCAAGGGATCTTTTACGTGCTTTCCAATGTATACACGGGACCTCGGTTTTTCGTCGCATCTGAAGGACTAGACAGCTGTCCTTGTCAGGTCGTCCGTTCAGCACCACTGACAAGGGGAAACCACGTCGGAAAAAGGAAAATAAGATTGGTTAATAACTAAATAAACTTTAGTTTGTTCATCCCATCCAAACAACTAGACACTTTCCTTGTCATCCCCAAGGCTGTTTTTAGCTCATGTCAGACATCTAATAAGGGCATTCTAGTGAGTCTGGTTACAAACTTACCTCTAGTTGATTTTGTAAAGCTGTCATATCTCTTTCTATATCTTCTTGTTTACGTTGTAAGGCTTCAACACCAGCTAAATCTTTACCCAGATCTTCAACTGATAGTAGTATAGCCTTCTCATTGATTCTCTCGTTAATATCATTAATATCACGATTAAATGAATGTATTTCTAGAGATGTAGACAATTGTTGTTTATATTTAGTAAGATTTCCTTGTAATGCCTTCCATCTGAAAATATAATATTAATAACGTATTACAATCATAAACGATAAATAAAATAAAACTAGGAACCTTTTCATTTGACTTTTAACATCAATTCATGATAGACAAGGATTGAAAAAATACATAAAAGACATAAAACTTTAAAAATGTATCGAAATTATTTTTATTTCAACTTGAAAACTATATCTAACAAAATTATCTTACGCTTTGTTCATTTCATCTCGTTTTCTTTTGACAGTTTCTGTATCTGTGCGTCCCTGAGATATCAGACGATCAGCTAAATCATTGATTGATTTGATTCGAGATTCATCGACGGTAATTCCCTGAAAAATAAATTCACCAATTAATTCAAGACATTAGCAAAATAAGGGAACCATAATGAAATATGATACATGGAGCTTTTAAATATTCATATAAAAAAAAAAACTTTGATTACTTACAGCTGATTCAATATTATTTGCTTTCTTTTGTAATTCTAAACAATGTTCATAATCTCTACCAAGTTCACCAGCATTCACTAATAATTCCTAAAATATACAAATAAATACACATGATGAATACACATGATAAAAATATGCACTTTAAATACACATACACATGTAAATACCTACTGTAAATACACATGGTGAATATGCATGATAAATACACATCATGAATATATGATAAATACACATCATGAATATATGATAAATACACATTTTGAATATACATGATAAATATAACACTATGAATATACAAGATAAATACAAATATACATATAAATACCTATTGCATATACACATAATGAATATACATGATAAATACACATAATACATGTAATACCCACTGTAAATACATAATATTAAGAATATACACAAGTCACTATTAAATTCTTTTTTATTTTGATCTGTGACTAATATTTTTTCCTTTTTTAATTCTCAATATTTATTTTTCCATAATTAACAAAATATTTACCTTGTCTCTTATCCAGGCTTCTACTTTCTGCACCTGTTCATTAAATTCAAGGATATCCTTAGCCTCTTCAAGTCCACGACCTCTATTAGATGATGCTTTAAGCAATTCACCCCATTTAGATCCCAAGCGATCGCCAACTTTCTTAATCTCTGGACTAGCAGAATGCTTTTTCTTAATTAACAATTCACCATTCTGAAATTTGACAATGTTATTAATCATATTAGTCTAAAAATGTTTTTGATTCAATATAAAAGATTCAGCCATTTGACAGCAAATTAATCTTGAAAACATGCCTAAGTATTTCCTTTCACAACTCCTTGAGACAAAAGAAAGAGTAACAGGGTTTAAAGTCCACTGAACACAAAACTAGGTCACTTTGGGACTAACATACAAGTATGGTTCAATTTTTTCCATTAATTGCATGCACATAGGGGTCTTTAGCAGTGGGAGGAAACCGAAGAAAACTCATGAGGTTGGACAAGCAACCCTACTCCTTGTCACGTACAAGAGGGGAATCAAAACCATGGCACTTGACTCTATGACAGACCTTATGATGTAACGTGCATTGGCTAACCATTCGGTCACCCAAAACCCGACAAAAGAAAAGCTACAGATATTATGATGTGGACAATTTTAAATGTCATCCGAGTGAAATTCCCAATTTAAATTTGGAGCCTCTAACATTGTACCTTATTATTTCCATTGAACACTAAGTTTTATGGGACAAGTGTAAAATTAGAAACTTTAATGTTATGATCAGGACAGGAATAATTATAATATATTTCTTCATGATTAAAATGTGTACACACCTGTTTAATTTTGTTTATTCTGTCTTTATTAGCAACAATTTCTGACTCAAATGCCTGATGTTTCTGTAACTTCTTCATCTTATCATGTAGATCTGTAGAATTCTGGAAATCATCTTCGTAAGCTACTTTCAATTTGTCATCAATCCAACCTTCAGCCTGTAATAAAATAATGTTATATAATACCCTTTAGTTACATCAAACTATTGAACAACCTAACCTACAAAAAAGCAAAGGATATGTATAAGGTATACAGAAATATATTTGGCATACATTTTCGAAGAGGAGGCATAGTTCCCTCTTTTAGAACTGTTCAACACTCCAATAAAACTGGACAAACATTTCATTCTTATATTAAATAATAAATGACTTTCAACACTGCTACTGTGTTAACATCAATTTATTATGTAAACAAAGAGGGTGGGGACCCTTTGGAACTAAATTTTATTGTTGAGCCATCTATTGCGGAAGTTTTTTTGATTCAAATACTTTCCAAATGATTAAACATGCATTATGCAAGAGCTAAATCTGCCTATTGCAGGTCTTTCTTTAGGCCTGAAATGTTTTCTAAAGTATTAATTAGACATTAATTAACTGATCCAGGCCGTAATCAACTCTCGATGGCATCAGATTTCTCCGATATTAAATAGATTAGAATGGTTCAGCGATACTTTGATTTAATCAAATATGGAGGACCGAGACTTGGCTTCGATCAACCAGTACCGTTGTTGAAGTTATTGCACACGTCTGTCAAACCTTCAAAGGCTTTATCTAAATCTTACATAATGTATCTTTAAATATTTAGCAAGAAACCCATCAAACCTTTAATAATATTGTAAATTAATCTACCATCTGTACCCAAATCTTACCTCAGCAGCATCTTGGTTAAATTTAGCATAAAGTAAATTATCAGCTAATTGTTGTTTACGTTGTTCACTACGATTCTTAACTTGACTTCTTCTATCTTTAACAGCAGCCATTGTTTTCTGTACTGTTTCAGATTGAATGTGATTCTCTTTTACAAGTTGGGTTCCATGATCAGTTAAAGCTGCGAGCTAAACAAAACAAAATTCCATTTTAAATGCACAAACTTCAGTTGAAATAAATTTTGATATGTTCAGTTACAAAAAGACTATTGCCTATATCCTATATTTAACAAAGTTGGGAGCCACATTGGCTCAGTGAGTTTGGCACTGGCCCGCTAGCCTGAAGTCCCAGGTTCACCCCCAGTGGTGACCAAGAAGGTTAGTCAGGATTTTCCAGTCATTCTAGTCATTCGGATGGGATGAAAAACGTAAGTCCTGTGTAGACATTGGCATGTGTGTAAAAAAATCATTGACAGTTGGAATTTGAAATAAAGAGTAAGCCATAGTGCAGCTGGACGGGTAAAAGTTCGCTTACAGCACGCTGCCCGGTGGAGCAGAAAAGTAGGATATTAAACCCCATTTCATTTCCCTTTGCAGTTTAATGGGTTCAAATGCTAAATGCCACTACAAGATTAACAATTCATCTGGAGATATCTTTGTAGAATTTTTGTAGACTAATGAATAGAACGATTTAAACTTTTAAGTTTTAATTCAGCAATTTATCTTAAAATAAGAAACTACTAACCTTTTCATCTTGAGCCTCGATAACTTTCTCAAAAGCATCATGTTTACGTTTAAGAGATTCCACTTGATAAATATCAGCACCAAGATCAGCATTAGTTAAATATGCCTACAATATAAAATACATGCAATATATAATGTTGAATTATAAAAAAAAAAAAAAATTACATTTAATGGCCAACAGGTTCAAAACATGAAACACCTTAATTGTTTGGAGACAGAGAGAGAGAGAGAGAGAGAGAGGGAGAGGTCATTTTGGGACTAACTTATGTTTCAATTTTAGTTTATGAATTTGCTAGCACGTAGGGGTCTTTATCAGTGGGAGGAAACTAGACAACCCAGATAAAAAACCCAAGGTTGGACAGAAAACCCTACTCCTTGTCATGTACAAGCTGGGAATCAAAACCATGCCACTTGACTCAATGACAGGCCGTCTGATCCAATGCCCATTAACCATTCCGCCACCCAATCCCCCTAGATGGATGGGACAATAATCAATCCATAATGCAACATTCAAATGGCTAAAAGATAATAACTAACCTCTTGTGAGGAACTAATGGTTTCAAGTTGATTGGCATCACGTAAGAAGATATGTAGATCACAGAGTTGATCATAATAAGCTTTACGTTCCATCCATGTAGATAATAACCTATCTTTTACATCACCTACTTGTTCAATCTTCTCTTTGATCTAAAAAAAAAATAAAATCAAAATAATTTGAAATATAAATGGAGTTTAACATCCTACTTCTCTGTTCAGGCTGGCATATGCCATACAGTGTGCTATCAGGGAAATTCCAATAACCTTGCAACATATCAAATTCCAATAACCTTGCAACATATCAAATGCCAATAACCTTGCAACATATCAAATGCCAATAACCTATATGAAAGCCAAATCAAATTTAATATGAATTTAACATGAAACTGTGCAAATTGGATATTATTTTTTTCAACTGTGAATTATAATAAAGAGTGCACAGAACAAATTATATTTATTTCTAACAGTGAGGTGAATTGAAATGTACTCGTATCAAATCTTACCTCTGGACTAGCATAATGTTTATGTTGAATCATGTCATTTCCAGTTTTAATAATATCATCGAAAGTATCTCCTCGAGCCTCTATTTCAGCTCGTATCTGGTCATGACGATTTCTCAACATATCAACACTATGAACGTCACGAATTGTGTGCTCTGTTTTCATTTCATCTTCAATTTCCTTGGCCCAGCCTACAAGGTCACGAACCTGAAAAAAAACAGTTATAACTTTAACTGTTATCCAATATCTAAGACAAAATAAACGTTCTACCATTGGTACACGAATCGTGTACCAGAAAGCGTTTCAGTGTCATTTGTAACAAGGGATTCAAAGAACGAGGCTAGACATATTCCACAAGTCATGTCAAATGGTGACGCTATATTCTTATCTGGAGAGCATGAGCAATAAATACCATCGGGGTAGACTGGAATAACCAGACACTAGAGATTGCCATGCGATTGAGACTTCACATGTATTTCGCCAAACATAACTGATTTGAAATTAGAGTAGAAACAAAAACGATTGAATGTAAATCAGTTTATATACATTCATATTACATTATTATATGCATTGCGACCCATTTGTGTCAATTTCTAGGTCTCAAATATTAGCGATTTAGCTCCTTTAAAATAATTTAATTTGTATTAACCTTCTTCCATGCTGTCATTACAAATTCTTGTTAAAATCTTACTTTATGCAACAAAGTAAATCAAATCAGTACTTACAGAAGCTCTAAATTTATGAAGGTCAGCTGCAGCTAAAAGTTGACCTTTACGTTGTTCAGATCGTTCTTGTAACTGACCCCAACGATCAACAACAGTGGCTTGGAATTGTTCAATTTGTTCTGCATTTTCTCCAGGGTAAGCTACCTGTAATCTACCTGAGTCATCTATCAATACTTGAAGCTAAATAAACAAATAGAAATAAAATTAATATCAAATGTATAATGTTAATTCATTCATTCCAATTCTACCATTTTTAAAAGATATCTTAAGACATTATTCTTTGCAACAACACTAATTGCAATGATTCCTACCATTTTTACTTGAAATATTGCTAGTAATATGTAATATCATTACTTTTGTCTAAATCAAACTATGTTAAAGATGGGTTCCCACGTACAAACTGGGTGATTTAATGGTATATATATGGACTAAAAACATATTCAAACTAATTAATTTGTCATAACTTTGCTTCAAATCCTTCTCAAACATTGTAATTGCGAAGGAATGTCTTTCTATAAAAATTCGATCAAACCAGGTCATGTTTACCTCTCTTGGAATTCATTGCATACATAAGACGATGTTGTCTTTAATCGCTTACTATTTATTACAAATATTGAATCCTAAATTAAATTTCGATCATTTTTATCTCAGAAAGTGTTGTACGTCTAACTCTTCATGAAGTTTATCAACTTGTACATCAAGCGCTCAATCTCTGCGTGGAACCTTTGACATCAAGCGTGCAGAAATTCCTAATCGTCGGGCTGTTGATTAGGGGAACCCTTACATTTTTATCCTGTATACGCTCCATGAGTGTATTTCGGGGAATCCAGTATTTTTCTAGTAAGATTGGATATCTCTACTTTCCATATATACCAAAATTACCATACTTTTATTGGAAATAACCACCCGATAAATACTTTTCTGGGAACCCATCATTAAGAGTTGTTTTGTACTTAATATTATATTGCATATTTATTTTTTTCTTGCAATTGTTATTTTAAAGCCCTACAGAGAAGTTAAATTAACTGAATGTTTAAAGCACCACAGAGAAGTCAAATTAACTGAATGTTTAAAGCACTACTGAGAAGTCAAATTAACTGAATATTTAGTGCTGTAGAAAAATGATTATTGCATCATTTTCATTATTGACATGTTGCCTGGCAATGAACAGGGTTTAGTCATTTGGATGGGACGAAAAAAACTTTGGTCCTGTGTAAGCCTGCACCTTGGCGTGCACATAAAAGATCTGGAAGTTGGTTTTCGAAATAATAAAAATTAGGCTGTAGAGCTGCTGTCTGGGCAACCTAATAGCATGGTGCCATGTCTGCATTAGTCGGGTTAATGCCGCAATATTAAGACATTAAAGTCCATTTTATTCATTTCAATAGCCAACTTAACACAATTAAGTCAGTCTATAAGCTGTAAGTCATTTCAACTTTGTGTAGTATATTTATTACAACAGAGCTCAATAATTAAATACCAGTGAATGATTACTCTTCTGGTGAACCTAATACCGTTTAATTATTTCTAAGTGGTCATCAAAGTCGAAATTGTCTCTACTTGACTCAGTTAACTGGAAATTGAAATAACGTTTATAAAATATTAATAGATTACCTGTGCTTCTAATGCAACTAATTCATTCTCAAAAGCTTCATGTTTCTTTAAATAGGCTGAAGTAGCATTAAAATCACGACCAACATCATCTGGTATACTGTCATGTTTTTCCTGAAGAAATAAAATACAAAAAGTTTTAACTATAATCAGTTATCGATCTCCAGAATCAAACTTCAAATTCTTTTTTTTTCCTTTTAAATTTAAATTATTCAAAATCAGACAATCTATTTACATAAATGGTTATTACTGTTTACAGTTTTATTAGAAAGTTGATAAAATATTAAAACATCCAACCTGAATACGTGATAAGGCATCTTCTACATCTCGATTAAATCTATGAATTTCTTCAGCTCCTTTTAATTTCTGATTACGAGATCTGATTTGTTCCATTAAGGCATTCCACGAGTCTCTAAAATAAGAGAAATATGAGATTTAAACCTTCCACTTAAAGATACATTATGGGAGGTAAGATAAAGAAATGGCAGTTCTCGCTATAATAGTTAAAAACTAGATAGTGTAAAGGTAATTTGCTGAAAATTTCAGTCAAATTGATCCACTATGAGCCGAGAAAGAAGCCAGTGAAATTTTTGCATAGTCTCGGTTATCATTACTAAAATCATTAATATAAACAGCATAGTCTCGATTATCCACTTTTTCTGATTTAATTATCTTTGGCCGTTAGCGGCATATTGGAATCTAATCCAGCCTACATCGAAGGCTAGCCTTGACATCGAGAGTTTATTATGGTCTGGATAAGTTAATTAATGTCTAATTGATAATTTAGATAACATTTCAGGCCTAAAGAAAGACTTGTAATAAGCAGATTTTGCTCTTGCATAATGCATGTTTAAATAAAACAATCAGATCATTTGGGACGATATCATTTATTCACATATAAATATGTCTATCAAGTTCATCACAACCAAGTGCATCTTAGAAATGAAATAAGATTTATAGTCCGACTTTTCTGCACCAACAGGATTAATGAAGACGTAAATAAAATGAAATAGGGTTTAATATCCTACTCTTCAGCTCTGACTGGTTTAATGAAGACGGGTTTACGCCATACAGTGTGCTATGAGTGACATTTTGCCCAGACAGCGGCACTATGGCTTACTCTTATATCAAATGCTGAGGGATCTTTTATGTGCACACCAATGAATGTCAGGCAACTCTCTCAGCCAACACTAATGACGACAGACAATTGCCATGCAGTGTGCTATAAGATGGAATTCTGTCAAAACAGCGATGCAAAAACCTATTGTTATTTCAATTTCCAATTTTCTTTAACATGCTGCCAATAGTATACACCGTACCTAAATTTGTCCATCCCATTTGAACAAATGAAATCAAATGAAATGGGGTTTAACGTCTTACTGTTCTGCTCCATACAGTGTGCTATGAGAGAAATTTTGCCTGGACAGCGGCACTACGGCCTACTCTTATATCGAATTCCAACAGTCAAGGGATCTTTAACGTGCACGCCAATGCGTACACAGGACCTCGTTTTTTCATCCCATCCGAACAACTAGACAGCTGTCCTTGCCAGGCCCTCTGTCCTGCATCACTGACAAGGGGGAACCACGCCGGAAAATCTGGATGAACTTTCTCGACCAATGCAGGGATCGAACACCCGATCTCCAGGCTAGCGAGCCAGCGTCTTACCCACTTAGCCACCGTGACCCCCAAGGGTATAACTCTACAAAATCAATAAGTTGAATAATCTCAATCATTCTGTAAACAACGAAAGCAGCGTCTTACCCACCTGGCCATCGTGATCCCCCCATTTGAACAACCAGACATTTTTTTCTTGCCAGGTTCTTCAGAGATCCTCCAACTAAGAGAATCATACACTGAACATTTGGTGCCAAAAAATCTGGCAATCCTAATAATTAGTTCATCAATTCCTTTGAAAGTGATTAGTGAATTAAAAGATTTGAATTCTGAACTTACTTGAGTTGTTCTTGACGTTGTTGTACTTGTATTGTATGAGGTCCTTTATCTTCTAATAAAGCTTTAGATAATCTTTCACATCGTTTTATTCTCTCACCACCAGTCTCTATTCTTAGTTTAAACTCATCAAATTTACCTCGTAATATCTGCAGGATAAAACATAAACTAATGAGTACTTGTGAAATTACAACATCTATAAGAAATGACCAGATTAATTCAAACTTTAGACAATTATTGAGTAGAATTAAAAGTCATTTAGAAAAATTTGTTCATTTCTCAGATACTGCTGTGTCACATAAATTTTTTTACATGACCCTAATTATTTCAACAAATAAAATGTTAAAGCATTGTTATTAATAACTATAAACGATATCCATAAACTGATGGTAAGATAAATGTAGAACATTGGAATGTGATGTTTACAAGAAGTCATTTACCACATTGATCCTTTGACAAATTAGAAACAAATAAAAAACCTCTCCGACATTAGACCGTTTTGGATTGAATGCTACAGAACCAGTATATTTTGACTCTATGGCCTAACATACAATAAAATGAGATACATTCCTGTATAAAGTCTGTAAGTCCTTTTATAATATTTTGTATGATGTCTGCTTATATAGATGGGTATACAAATTGATCACTTTCACAATATAATGGATCAAAAAATCAAATTCTATCTACAAGATAAATACCTCAAAATGTTCAAAATCTTGTCCATATTCTTCTGAACTAGCTGTTTGTATTTGTTCTCCAATCCAATCCTCTAGATCATCTGCTTCTCTCATATATTCATGAAGATGTACAGATCTCTCTAAATTCTTTGTTCGTTCAGTTACTAATCTCTTTAATTTGTTCAAACTTTCTTGTAATTGATCCTAACAAACAAATAGATTGACTGTTATTCTAATGAAACTTTTTAATATAAAATATTGTATAATTTCTTTGAGTGGCATTTACAATTGAACAGTAACACATTAAAAACTATTTATGTAATAACTGGTTTATTCACATGCAACGTAATTCATAATTGATGTCCATGAAAGATATGTTCCCTCGACAGTTAAGAGTCTAACTTCATAACCATTGATTGGAAAATATATTCAAACTACCTAGAAAAAATATATATCTTATAAGATATTTGAAGCCAAGCACATTTTAAAAAAAATCATAAACAAAACATTGGTGTGTCATTTTGACCGACATGTTGCTAAAAACCAACATGTGGATGACTGTATTAATATGAAAGGGGTTGATGATATTCAAATTGTGGTTGACAAGTTTATGAATTCATTGTGGGCTTATTATGCAAATTTCATACTTTCAGGAAAAAATAAGCTTGTCAGTCAAAGATATTACCAAGGGAACATATCCTTAAAACAAGACAAAACCAAAACATCATGCCGAGCATGATTGTAGTGCTTGGACACCTTGGGTCATAAACCAACACTAAAGACTACATAAAGATCATAATGAATAGATTACCTGAGTTTTCTTAATAAAGGAAGGATCAGCACAACCCATTTTAAACAATCTGGATGATTCTTTTCCTAATCCATTTACTATACCCTGATAAGTCTGGATGTCCGTTTCTAAAACCTGATGATAAAAAAACAAAAACAACCATAACTAACATTATTACCGGTAAATATATTTAGCTACTATAAAATCTTTCTTGTAACTTATTAATAGATACTTTACATATTTTATGGCCAACTTTGCAAATAATATTTGATAATGGTAAACCAACCTTATTTTTAGCAAGCAGTTTATCAGCAGCATCCTCATCTTTTCCATAATCTGTACTAGATGCCAACAGTGTTTTCTCTGATATCCAGCTATCAACTTCAGCCACCTCGGACAGATACTGAAACAAAGACAAAATAATAAAAGTAGATGTTGAGTGGACAAGTAATAGATATTGAGTACAGGAGTAATAGAAGAGAAGCACCTGCAGATACTGAGGTGTGATAGAAACAAATTCAGATGCCGAGTAGAGAAGTAATGGAGAAGCACCTGCAGACATTGGGAAGGAAGGTTATTAATAGAAGAGAAGCACCTGTAGATACTGAGGAGTAAGGAGAGAAGTAAAAGAAGCACCTGTAGGTACTAAGGAGCAAGGAGAGAAGTAATAGAAGCACCAGAAGATGATGGTAGTCAAGTCATAAAAGATAAGCACCCACAGATACTGAGGATTAGTAAGAACCTACAATACCAAGGAGTAAGTAATAGAATCACCTACAGATGTTGAGTAGAGAAGTCACATAGAAGCACCTGCAGATGTTAAGTAGGGAAGTAATAGAAGAGAAGCACCTGTAGACATTGAGTAGGGAAGCAATAGAAGATAAACACCTACAGTATAGAGAGAATCAAAAGAAGAGAGGCAACTATAGATGTTGAGTAAAAGAAGAGAAGCATGTATAGATGGGGAGAACGGGAAGTAAATGTGTACTGGGATGTAGATGATGAGTTCATTAAAAGGAACATGACAGTAGATCATAAGCATACCTTTTGTTGTTGAACAGAAATATCCAGATTCTTTTTACGAAGTTTTGATTTTTTAAGGAGATCATCCCATGACAGTTGTAGTTCCTGAGATTTATCTTTGATTTTCTTTGAGTCCACATGTTTATCTTCTAATAGTTTCTCACCAGTAGCTAAAACCCGCTCAATGTTAGGTTGATGACCTTGAATTTCACGATCCAAGTCCTGGAAAGACAATCAAAAAAGACTTAAAATTACTAACCATAAACTACCGAAAAACACCTTGCCAACAATATACCTTGAAAATTTTGACACTAACAAGTTTATTTTTTCAAAACTGCCTCAATCTATCTATTTCATTACAAAGTTATCAAATGTTAAGATACAGGTACCATGGTAATTTACCTGATGTTTTTTGTGTAGTTTCTGGGCATCGATGAGATTTTTACCATAATCAACAGACGAGGCAGCTGGTAAGTGCTCTTTTATCCATGATAACTCATTTTCTACATCAAAATTAAACTGATGTCTTTGTAACGATTCCTGTAACTGAGATTTACGTTCTTCCACTTCTGGTTTTAATTTGTTAAATCTGAAAATTAAAAGAATTATAAATACAATTGATAAATATTACTTTATCCAGATGGTCACCAGGCACTTTAGCTAGCATAATGAGAATGATAGTTAACGATACTTTCATGAATAACCATGACCTCCTCCATTTTCATGTGGTAACTGTCCAGGGCATGTTTTCTGTCTGCTATCAAGGAAACATGCAGTTATAACATAAAGAAATGAAATGGGGTTTAACGTCCTACTCTGAACTGGGCTAATGAAGACGGGCATACGCCATACAGTATGCTATGAGGGAAATTTTACCTGGACAGTGACACTACGTCAGATTTATGTCCCATCCAAACGACTAGACAGCTGTCCTTGTCAGGCCCTCCATCCTGCATCACTGACAAGGGGAAACCACGCAGGAAAATAAAACATAAAGAAACCATCTATATCTGTAAATATGTCTAAAGAAATCATGAACCATCCAAATTAGGAGAAAAAGTACCAACAACTAAATGATATAAACTATCATGTTCCTACTCACCTACTATTAAATCCATCTACAGATTTCATAATATTAGCAGAATTAAAATGTCCTTTGTCAGCCATTTCTTTACCCTCTTTGTTCAAACCTTGTATAGTCTTTGACAATCCAGACAAATCATTCTCCAGATTCTGAAAAAAGAAATCCACAAAAAATAAAATGCTGATAGCTATCCATTATAGGCATACATGATGTGATATTTTCTCCTATAATTAACACTCACCCACACTTCAAAAGCATTTTCTGGCAATAAGGTGACCAATCTTATTAAAATACAGATCTCCTACACTACATAAAGATCTAACCATTTGTACTGGGAGGTCGCGTTGGGGGTCATGCAAGCGGTTTTGACCCTATGATGTCAGACATTGATTTATCAATCAGTGTTGGCGTTTCTAGTAGTTTACCCATAGGCTAATTCCTCACATCAACTAGAATGCCTGTTATATAACAACTCTTCCAGATCCTAGTGTTGTGGAGACAAGTAAAACAAAATTTTGAACTATAAAAACAAAACGAAATAGGATCTGTGTTTTAATCAGATTGAAAGGTGACAGTCTCTAAAAAAAACCAAAAAAACATTCATTTTTGTTATCTTACCTGATGTTTTTTCAATAATTCTTTTACACCCCTTAAATCAGAACCTAAATCTTTATTGGCATTAGATTTCTCCATTTCATTTAATTTATCCTAAATTTAAAAATAAACATCATTTAATTTATCCTGAATATAAAAACATCATAAATTAGACATTCTTGAATTTATCCTGAATTGTTAAATGAACATAATGTAGACATCATTTAAAGTTTCAGACAATAAATAACTGGTTATATTTCAATTTTTCTGTTCATTTAATGATCTACACAAATGTTACAAATAAAAAAAAAAAGATTTTTCTTTTTGCACCTGAGCATCTTCTAGGGCTTGATTTAGAGCTTGTTGTTGACCAGCTTCTCGTAATTTATTTCCTTTCTCTGCAGCCTTGGATGATAAATCATCCCATTCAGAGTTGAGTTTACCCATGATAGTCTTTATTTCTGGTGATGCATAATGTTTATCTTTAATCATACCATCGCCAGACTTAAAAAAAAAAAAATACAACATAATTATTTTGCAGTCTTTTTTTTAATATCACACAATGACTACATTTAATTTGGTCAGAGCATTATAGAAAAACTCCGGTGTTTTGGACACTTACTCTTCCTAGCATTCTATTCACGTAAAAACCAATAGACTTAACCTTTCATTAAGCGGCCAAGTCATAAATTTCCAATAGACATTACTTTTCATTAAGGGGCCAAGTCATAAATTTCCTGTGGTACCCTGTAACAGGCCACATATAAGACCAAGAATACAATAGCAACAACTACACAGTAAGCTAACAAATTGTCATTTTATAAAGCTTGGTCACCAGGGTATTACACACTACTTAAAAGTTACTGTAGGAACAGGTTAAAATTAAGAGAATTGCGCACAATAAGCTGGTGGCCAGTAATGAAAGGTGTAAATCTATAAAAACCAGGAATCAAATTTCCTGCAAGCCCAATACCAGGCAATCTGTGAATCATCAGTAATTTTGTTGAACCTACCTGATTTAATGACTGTAATCTGTCACTATTAGCCTTTAATTCGGCTTCAAAAGCTTGATGTTTCTGTAATTTCTTCTGTAGATTCGATAGATCACGATACGATTCATCTGTAGCTGTCTTATATTTATCTTTCATCCAATCAGATAACTACAACAAATATCAAGAATACATGCACTCAACACAGGCTAGGTCATTTTGGGACTAACATATGGTTTAATTTTATTTCAATTATTCGCTTGCGCGTAGGGGTCTTTAGCAGGTGGAGGAAACCGGAGGACCCGGAGAAAACACACGAGGTTGGACAGGCAACCCTACTCCTTGTCACGTACAACCGGGGATTCGAAACCACGCCAGTTGACTCAATGACAGGCCTTATGATACAGAGCGCGCACGTGCTAACCATTCGGCCATCCACCCCCCTGAATACATGCAGAGATCATCATATGCAACAGAACTGCAAAGGGATCACTTATATACACTAAGGTACCTCCATGTTTTGACTCCCCTCCAAAAAAGGTTGATTAAATCCGAGATATTTCTAATCAGCAAAAGACCTAACTGTGTATAAATTTTCATAGAGCTAGTCTCCAAAACTCAAATAAGGCTTATCTCAATATCCCTCTTATAACATCATTTGGTATTGGATAATAAATGAAATGAAATGAAATGGGGTTTAACGTCCTACTGTTCTGCTCCTAACCTGGGCTAATGAAGACGGGCATACGCCATACAGTGTGCTATGAGGGAAATTTTGCCCGGACAGCGGCACTACGGCCTACTCTTATATCGAATTCCAACTGCCAAGGGATCTTTTACGTGCACGCCAATGTGTACACGAGACCTCGGTTTTTCGTCCCATCCGAACGACTAGACAGCTTTCCTTGTCAGGCCCTCCATCCTGCATCACTGACAAGAGGAAACCACGCCGGAAAATCTGGGTGAACTTTCTTGGTCAATGCAGGGATCTAACACCCGACCTTCAGGCTAGCGAGCCAGCGTCTTACCCACTTGATCCCCTGATCAATGATGAACATATAAACAAATGAAATGGAGTTTAACGTCCTAATGTTCTGCTTCAACTGGGCTAATAACATATAAACAGATGTATGGTATGACTGCTGTATGAAGATATTTATGAAGAGATATATATAGTGATTAAGTATGAAAAATGATAGGATCACTGACAAGGGAGAACCACGCCGGAAAATCTAGATGAACTTTCTCGGCCAATGCAGGGATCGATCACCCGACCTCCAGTCTAGCGAGCTAGCGTCTTACCCACGTGATCCCCTAAAGTCCACGAAACTTACCTCTTGTGAACCTCGTTTGAATTGATGGAAAGCAAGAGCATCAAGTAAAGCTTTCCTTCTGTCAGCTGCTTTAACTTTTACACCTTCTCTCCTATTTTTTACTTCTTTATTTCTATCCTTAATACTATAATTAAACAAAAACAACAAAATTTGTAAAATATTGAATTAATTTCAAACAAAAACAAGTTACACTTTTAAGTAACATTTCAACATCTATAATATACCCTGATTTCACAAGCATTTTCTTAACTTTGTGTGACTGTAAAACTCATGATGGCTACATTCTTAATATGAGAGAGAGAGAGAAATGGGGTTGAGTGTCCACTCGACACAGACTAGGTCATTTTGGGACTAACATATGGTTTAATTTTATTTCAATAATTCACTTGCGCGTAGGGGTCTTTAGCAGTGGGAGGAAACCGGAGGACTCTGAGAAAACCCACGAGGTTGGGCAGGCGACCCTACTCCTTGTCACATACAACCGGGGATTCGAAACCACACCAGTTGACTCAATAAGCATTCGACCATCCAACCCCCAATTTTTATATGAACTAAGAACTTACTGTTGTTGATTGGGGTGTTTTTCTGCTATGAGTTTTTCAGCCATATCATTTAATCCTCGAACCTTCTCATCCTGAGCCTGAAGTTTGTTCTCAAATTCTTCATGTCTTCTCAATAAGCCTTCAACATCATCAACTGTACTCTAATCAAAAATAATGATAAAAACACACATTAAATAACAACGAAAATCTACTTTAACACTTCAATTTTATTTGGTTAACTAATTTATTTTCTATACTATTGTCTACACTACCTTTATGAAATGAAATGAGGTTCAACGTCCTACTTATCTGCACCAATCAATCAAATGAAAACGGTACAGAATAATACACAGTAATTAGTGAATAAAATGAATGTATTGTAATATATAAATCTAAGAAATAAACTTACTCCAAGATCGTTAAAGTCTAGGAAAGCCTCATGTCCTCTAGTGATGGCATCTATCTTATCAGCATCTCTATTAAACACCTAAATATTGATCAAAATATAAAATAAATATAACTGATAAAACAGTCTCCTGACTAAAATTCTTTTTTTTTAAAACTTTTTCCAAGATTGCAATTCAATTGTAATTACACTGTTATCTAAGACAACTGCATATTTATGAAGCAATGACCCGAGAAATCCCTCTCTGGCCATTGCTGGATTGGCTTATGATACTTGAGCTTTTGAGGGAGTGTGTCTCTTCGTTTAATCTGGGGTCTTCCCTAACACTTTTGACACTGATTTAAGGTTTTAAAAACAGCAAAAGTATTGTTCGTCTCCAAACAGTATTGTTTACATTGAGCCATTTTGATAGCCTCATTTTTCTCGCAATTGGTTTTTAATCGTACTCTTGACCAGTCATAATTTGGAACAGAAATTTGCTTTCGTTACAGCAGTGTTTGAGTGGGATTAGGTCTAATCAAACGAAACACTGCAAGGAATATGGGACAATTGCTGATTTGGAAAATTGCCACCCAGAACAGTTCAATTGCCATTTAAAACAACTGTCAACAGCCCTTTTGGAAAATGGCTGTCGTGGACAATTTATCATCAAAACAGCAAACAAACCTGTTGATCATAAGCATCTTGTAATTGCTTTTGTCTTTGTTTCCACAGGTCATTGATTAATCTTTCTTCTGCAGCAAGTCTTTCCATCTTCTCCTTCACATCCCGAGCATTTGGATCTTTTGCTAAAACTTCATTACCCAAAACACGGATCTTTGCAAATCTAAAATAATGGAGGGAAAAAGGTAATTATACATTTCAATCTAATAGGGGATTTTTATTCAAAATAATGTCTTGTTTTGATTTAAATTTGTTTCAAGATCACTTGATATAAAAATAATCAAGATGAACAGATCAACTACTTCATGGAAATCATCAATTTTGAAATGACAAGCCATGACGTTATTTCGTTCAACAAAGCTGGGAGACCATTTGAAATCATAAACCATACAGTTATATAAAGTAAAACATTTGATGCCTCCAAAGAAAATGTCTTCTCTTACTTGTCTTTATAGGCAGCAATATCATCTGCTAACTCTCCATTCTCCTTCAGCATTCTTTCAGCACTCTTGATATCATGTGGCATCTCAGCACTAGCAAGACGAGCTCGTACAGCTCCAGACCAAGATAACTACAAAGAAAGTTACCAGTTTGGATAATTGGTTTTAAACTTTAAAGAAATAAAGTAAAATATGTCACAGAATTAAAAATAAATGTGAAATGTGAATACATTAATAAATTTCTACTCACTAAGTCTTTCGCTTCTTCAGCAAATTTCAGTTGATTTTGAGCTTCATTAAGTTTCTTCTTTCTAGCCTTTTCCTTTTCCTGAAATAAAAAAAATACAACCAAAACTATAATTTCATTCAGTTTAGAGTTAGAGAGAGAAATGGGGTTTAACGTCCACTAGACACAAACTAGGTCATTTTGGGAATAACACATGGTTCAATTTTATTTCAACAATTCGATTGCATGTAGGGGTCTTTAGCAGTGGGAGGAAACCGGAGGATCCGGAGAAAACACACGAGGTTGGACAGGCAACCCTACTCCTTATCACGTACAACCGGGGAATCGAAAACACGCCAGTTGAAACAATGACAGACCTTATGATACAACACGCACGTGCTAACCATTCGGCCATCCAACCACCCATTTTAGAGATAATTTTAAATAAAGTATACAGATATTCATAATAAAGCATGCAGACTATCAATATATGGAATCCTTCACAATGAGAACAAAACCATACATAGGATCCCCTTGAATAATCAATATGCATGAACATAAATATGAAATACCTTTAATCCCCTCCATAAGGCTGTCAAATCTTTGAGGCGTTGATCAACATATTTTCCTTCAGCTGGATATGTTGTTTTCACACTGTAATAGGTAAATTTTAAATTAAACAAAAATGGCAAGAAATTCTTTGATATGCAATACTAATTACAATTTTTTCAGAAAAAAAAACCTTACGTGTCTCCTAAAGAACATACTGTATTCATCTGACTCTCCATAGAAGCAAGTTCTCTTTCCAAATTCTGTAATAAAACAACAAACCTCATTAAAATGTCAATCTGTAAGTATGTTTTTTAAATAAAAATGCATTCACAAAATATAACGTTTCTACTTTTTTGGTCACCTTAAGTTTTCTATAAAAGAGAGGTAGAGAGAGAGAGAGAGAGAGAGAAATAGGGTTTAACGTGCACTTGACACAAACGAGGTCATTTCAGGACTAACACAATTTTGTTTCAATAATTCGCTTGCAAGTAGGGGTCTTTAGCAGGGGGGGGACCCAGAGAAAACCTGCAACACTGGACATGCAACCCTACTCCTTGTCACGTCAACCGGGGAATCGAAGCCACGCCAGTTGACTCAATGACAGGCCTTATGATACAGCACCCAGGTGCTAACCATTCGGCCATCCAACCCCCTGTTTTCTATAAAAGAAAAAGAGAAGATGTTTTCTATTTAAATGCATTAGATGAAATCTTATCTTCAGTCTGTTATTTACAAGCGAGTTAAAAGTTAAAACAAAACGAAAACTTACGGCATGTCTTCGTTGTTGTGCTTCTATAGACCTTAAATCTTTACCAATATCATCAGTACTTATAGCATAGTCTTTTTCTTTAATCCATTCTTGTAATTCATCACATGTTGAATTAAACAACTCAATACTACAATAGACAGTTCATCACATGTTGAATTAAACAACTCAATACTACAATAAACAGTTAATCGCATGTTGAATTAAACAACTCAATACTACAATAAACAGTTCATCACATGTTGAATTAAACAACTCAATACTACAATAAACAGTTCATCACATGTTGAATTAAACAACTCAATACTACAATAAACAGTTCATCGCATGTTGAATTAAACAACTCAATACTACAATAAACAATGCATCACATGTTGAATTAAACAACTCAAATACTACAATAAATAGTATTACTTGTTACCGTATTTACTGACATACTTACCTAGAGGCACCTTGCAAAGATTTTTCCTTTTCCTGTTTAAGTTTATTAAGTTGTGCCCATCTGTAATAAATATAACATAAATAAATAAATATATCTCATTTGGCAACAGATAATTCCCCAAATCACTGATTGGTGGTTTGGATTAAACTATAATAATATATCAACATGGATAAACACAATAATTCTAAAGTTTCTGATGCGATGCTGGTTCCTTGGTTATCACTAATTATTTGGTTCACAACAAAAATGTTTTGAGCTTTGTTTTGAAGGTTAATTTGGATTTTAATAATTTATCTATGGGACATGTCTGTATTTCCATATTCTCGCAGCCAAGCATTAACAAAGGTATCTAAAAGTCAACTTTCCTGCAAAATGTAGTTGAAATGGTGATTAGAAACTGTCTAAATTTGCCCAATTAAGGCTGCCCTACTCAATGCTGCCTCATCTGGCTGGTGAACTTCATTTGGAGGTATGATCTGAATAAGCATCAATCAAGCCTGATCACTTCCAAATTTGGATGAAATGGACAAGGAAAAGGTACAATTTCCTTTTCATGTTGCTATCGAGCCCTGATAACCCATCCCTGCCCCCATCCCATTACCTGGGCCCGAGAAAGGGAGAGAAGTGGGATTAAATGTCCACTTACCACAAACTAGGTCATATCAAGACTAAGATTTGGTACAATTTTATTTTAATCTTCTGCTTGCACAGTGAGGTCTTTAGCAGTGGGATGAAACTTGAGAACAAGAGAAAACCCATGAGGTTGTACACAACCCTACTCCTTGTCATGTACAGGTGTGGTATCAAAGTCATGGCACTTGACTCAATAACAGACCGGATGACCTAAAGCACACACGCTATATTCGTCCACCCGTTCTCCTACATGAATTCTATCTTGATAGTACCACCCAAGGAACATATCTATCAAATTTGGTCAAAGTGGGATGGATAAAGTTGTCCAAAATGTGTGAAATTGTTTAAATGTATCCTTTTTTAAGGTAAATGAAATGAAATGAATTGGGGTTTAACGTCCTACTTTTCTGCTCCTATGCTGGGCTAATGAAGACGGGCATACTATGAGGGAAATTTTGCCAGGGCAGTGGCACTATCGCCTACTCTTATATCGAATTCCAACTGCCAAGGGATCTTTTACGTGCATTCCAATGTATACACGGGACCTCGGTTTTTCGTTTCATCCGAAGGACAAGACAGCTGTCCTTGTCAGGCCCTCCGTCCTGCATCACTGACAAGGGGGAACCACGATGGAAAATCTGGATGAACTCTCTCAGCCAATCTTTTTTAAGGTATCTCACCCCTTATGGTACCCAAGTTATACCAAATCTAAATGAGCAAAACGCAAGCAAGTTCTTCAGAAAAAGTAAAAATAGTACGAAATTTTTTAACTTTGTCCCGTGAAGTATCTCACTCCCCCACAAATCTGAATAAGAAACAACCAAGCAGCAACCTACGTATATAGCAGCAATAAAAATCCTCAAGACAGATCATACCAACAGATCATATTACTGAATACTCCATCTGAAACATGGCTTATTCAGGAAGGATAATATTTGTTCCTTTGGGTAAAGAAAAGGGGTTCAAATTACAACAATTAGTACCAGAAGTCAGACAATACAGTCATTATTTTATGATTTATATTTCATGTAGTGTTTTATCAATATACCATTCAGAGAGAAAAATTGACATGACATGAAGTGGAGTTTTAACTTTCCTGCACCAACCAGACTAATAAAGATGGGAATACACCATCCACTGTGTTATGAGGGAAATTTTACCCTATTCTTTTACATGTAGGCCAACATATACATAGGACATCATTTTTGCCCTTCATCCTGCACCACTGAGAAGGGGAAGTCACCCTGGAAAATCCTGAGGAAATTTCTTAGTAAGAGAGAGAGAGAGAAATGGGGTTTAACATCCACTCGACACAAACTAGGTCATTTAGGAACTAACTTATGGTTCAATTTTATTTCAATAATTCGCTTGCGCGTAGGTGTCTTTAGCAGTGGGAGGAAACCGGAGGACCTGGAAAAACCCCACAAGGTTGGACAGGCGACCCTACTCCTTGTCACATACAACTGGGGAATCGAAACGACGCCATTTGACTCAATGACAGACCTTATGATACAGCGCATGTGATAACCATTCGGCCATCCAACCCCCCAAATTTCTTTGTAAACACTGGGATCAAACCATTGGTGTCCTTGTTAGTGAGCAAGCACCTTACTCACTAAGCCACTATGGCTCCCTAGTGAGGTAAACAAGAATGGGATACTGTTTTAATGATTTTACTTTATAAGTATTACATCATTATGTTTCTTCTTTTGTCCAATTTTTTATTCTTCCATGTTTATAGCAATTGAGAGAGATGGGGAAGTAGGGTTTTACAGTCCACTTAACACAAACTTGTTTATTTTGGGACTACCAGACATGGTATAAATTTATTTCACTAATTCTCCTGCGCATGGGGGTCTTTAACAGTGGGAGGAAACCAGAGGTCCAGGAGAAAACACACGAGGTTTGACAGTTGACCCTACAAGTGTGGGATGAAAACCATGCCACTTGACTCAATGACAGATCCCATTATCTAAAGCACACACATTAAGGGGCTCATACACATTCAATAATTCCGTCAATATATTATTGACTCAATAATATTGAACGTGTGTGGGCTATATTGATGTAAAATATTGTCAATATACATCATTGAGTTAATTTATTGACGGATCAAAACCATTATTGAACGTGTATGGGCCCCTTTAGACCTTTTGGCACCCTTCTAGTAATGGATGTTATCCGTGGCACTCCTACACCTTAAATACATTATTTCTTTGTGCCAGCTGCAAAACCCCAGTATATTGTCAGATCTGAACATCATCTGCTAGATTCAAGACATAAATATTTACTTTGATGATTTATCTAAATGGCTACTGAGAGTGTGTACTGACTGTACCGTTTCTCTTCAATTAAATCAAAGACACAATCAACAGCTGATCTAAAGGTGTTGATTCGTTACCTGTCATTTATTTCTTTCTGTCGTGCCTGAACTTTCTTTGACTGGCCACTTCCTGAATTCACAATGGCACCAGCTAATGAATTTATATCATCCAAACGTCCTTTATTAGCAGCAAAACTAGTTAATAAATTCTGTAAATAAATTTGTCAACAATTGTTATCTCAAATCTCTGATTGACTAAAATTGATAGAAGAGCTCAACTCTCCAATCATTTAATATAAATTCTGTAAATATATTTGTCAACAATATTGTTACCATGAATCTCTGATTGACTAAAATTGATAGAAGAGCTCAAATCTCCAATCATATATTATATTATTTATTATAATTTATCCTAAATGTCATGAATATTTACACAATTTTGCACTTGAATCCTACAATACATTCCAGTAACTTCAAGATATTTGTTTGAAATATATACCCAAAACATTTTTGTAGCATAATGATCCTTCAATCTGATTAAAACACAGATACTATTTCGTTTTGTTTTTATAGTTCAAAATTTCGTTTTGTCTTTACTACACTAGGATCTGGAAGAGTTGTTATGTAACAGGCGTTCTACTTGATGTGAGGAATTAGCCAATGAAACGGTCTGTTACTGCGAATTCTTGGCCTTTCTATGCACGGAACTGTATATAATTCACTAGAAACGTCAACGCCGATTGATTAATCAATGTCTGACGTCATAGGGTCAAATGGCGTTTGTTTGACCCCTGACATGAACCCCCACTATAACTTGTCAGTATAAAAAAAACGAAACGAAATAAAGATCTGTTTTGTAATCAGATTGAATGATCCTTATGGTTAGAATATTATAATAACCATACCTTAAATTCATTACGGACAGCATCCACATTATCAGCAAGACTTTCTTTTTTTGTCAAAACTTTTTCCTAAAAAAGCAAAACAATTTTTATTAAATCAAATAAGCATTAATTGCATTTATAGATATGTGAATCCAACTCCTTTGTTTGTATTTAATATATATCACTTATAATTATATAATCTTGAACTCTAGGTGACAGAATCTGAATCCTTTGTAAACTACGTATATTGTGAAAGATGAATCTCTAAAAGGAATATCAGTTCAAGCCGGAAACTTATCTACCTTTGATATTTGGTTTTCATTTCCTCAATTCAATTTTAAATAATCAATCTGAGTACATATTAGTGTGAATCAAAGCATGGAAAATTAGTAATTATCATAAACATTCTGTGGTCAGTGACTTTAATTTTGTACTTCGTATCCATATAGGTGAAAATTCAGTGACAGGATTTAAAATTTCAACAGAAATTTAAATTGAAGTTCATGCATAATCAAAGTAATCTATTAAAAGGCATATTAGTTCAATAATTATTCAACTTGATCAATCCTAACTGGAGGGGGCATTATGTAAGATTTAGATAAAGAGCTTTCAAAAATGAATATATTGAAAATTTCATTCAAAGTCTTAGCCTCGTTTCTCCATTTTAATATTAAATCATTAAATGGCTGAACCATTCTAATCTACTTAAAATCAGAACCATCTAAGTGCAAAGAGAATTGATTATGGTCTTGTCATGTTAATAAATGTCTAATTATAACATTTGAAGCCAAAGGACCTGCAATAGGCAGATTTAGCTCTTACATAATGTATGTTTAAGACATTTTTTTCATCTGCAATATCAATATTATCTTTATTTAAAATGAAATCGGATTTAAAATCTCATCTAAAACAGCATTTCTTATTTCTATCTATACTTATGTTATGTGCTGTATGTTAAGAGTTTCAAGGAATTTCCCCCAGATAGTGTTGTTTCCACATATATCAGCAAGTAAATGAAATGTTGACAAAAACCCAGCTCCATATAGATTTTACAGCCAATAAATAACAGGCTTGAAAACATGATTTGAATTCTCAGAATAAAACAAAATGCACATATGTGAGATAATAACACATATTACCTTTATTTATATAAATGTGTTTAATAACAAGCAGGAGTCATTCACAAAAAAATGATATAAATATTAAAGGTGCAATATGTAAGAGCTAAATCTGTCTAGTTCAGGTCTTTCTTTCGAACTCAAATGTTATACAAAATTTTTAATCAAGACATTTATTCACATAAGACCATCATCAAGTCTTTAGCCCATCGGATGGTCACAATTTTTAACGGATTGGAACACGATCACAATTTAATAATTCAATTTAAAAATTGATAATTGATACTTTGTTTATTATCGCAACAATGGTAGCAATGAAAATCAAGACTATGCTATTCAGTTCAAAACTTCAGGCAATAATAATTTTGCTCAGAATAGAGTAATTAACTCAAATTTTCAATATATTCCTTTTTCATTATCTATTTTTAAACTATTATAGCCAGATCTGTCTGAATCTTACATGATACGTCTGTAACCCATTATTCTATAGAGGTAAATTACAACCTAAGGCTTTTTCTAAATATTCTCTTGGATGCATTACAGTTGCATGAAAGAGAAGATAAGATCAAAAAATCCATAAACAGACATAACACTGATGATTATTTTGAATCCGGTAAATACAGGACAAAGTTCTTAATGGAAGATTTTAAACCTTGGTGAGGAAGAACACTCTGTAATTTCAAAGTTTTCAAAGCTTAAATTCTGCACCAGTTTTGCTAGGTTATCTTCAGTTCATATTTGAACTGTTCAAGCCTGTGTTAAAATTTGGCGATAAATATTTGTTACTCATTTCGTTGTGGAAGTTTTAACATGGGCGTGTTAAGGAGTCTGACAAGCTCCTGTCTGTGCTTTTTATAGATTTTCTGTGACAAGGAAGGTGTATACAATAAAATATCATTTTATATCTCTACTGCTAATATGAGTTGTAGGCCTTTATAATCTTACACACCATCGAACTGTATCTCCTAGAGCAACTATTGATGTATTAAGATGGTAACTCCATGTATCCACCTTCTGTCCGACATTAGGGATTGATATTGAGGTAATATTAACCTCCAATAACCACATGCTTTGAATTTCATGTGCACAAGGTGAGAGAGAGCGAGACAGGGTTTAACGTCCACTCGACACAGACTAGGTCATTTCGGGACTAACATATGGTTCAATTTTATTTCAATAATTCGTTTGTGCGAAGGTGACTTTAGCAGTGGGAGGAAACCGAAGGACCCGGAGAAAACCCACGAGGTTGGACAAGCGACCCAACTCCTTGTCACGTACAACCGGGGAATCCAAACCATGCCAGTTGACTCAATGACGGACCTTATGATACGCACAAGGTAAGAAGCAGTTGATACATGGCAATAATCTATATAGTCTGTGTCGATGTGCATGTCAGATAGCAAACGTATTTCCATGATTGTTATTTGAAATAAAACCTGCAGGGTCTACCCTTATGAACTTTATTTCAAATAAACTAAAAAACAAAACGGAAATTGGATACATGTTTATTCTTATTCAGCTGACACACAATGATTATGTCTTCTCATGTTAACATGCTTTTCAATGATTGATCGTTGGAGAGAATTTAATTGTATAACTTTTTATCCTTGTCAGAACTTTGCTGTGATATCAGAAAAGTCTTTGACAGTGTTAAGTGAAGTGTAGTGACATGCCACTATGCTGTGTGGATCACACAGAGACAAACCTTTCCAATCAAATAAACAAAACAAATACCTTTTCTGTCATCCAGATATCGAATTCATCACATTCTCTATAAAACTGGAAGAGTCGAATGGCATCAGCTAAACTATCAGATCTTGCCTGCAAAATATTCAAATGCTCTTTGATTTATTGCGAAATAATGAGAAAAACATTAGAATCACTGAATTTAAAACTATAATCAAATTTTTTAGAAAGAGAGGTTAGCTTGGGATTTATTATAAAATTATTTAAACTAATTTAATATTTAAAATATTTTATTACCAAAGTTTAATATTTTGCTGCATGTAAAACAATTCAGTGAATTCACACAACTCTGGTGGTTTGAGGAGCTGAAGCGAACTCTAGTTTCAAGTGGTCAAAGTGCTAAAAGGGTTAATACATGAACGGCAAGACTATATACCGGAAAACACCGGAAAACCGGAAAACACCATTTTATAATGAATACCGGAAAACACCAGAAAAACACTAAATACCGGAAAACACACTAAATACCAGAAAATACCCTAAATAGGCAACCCGGAAACTGGCACCCTAAATAGGTAACCGGGAGCCTGGTGTGTTTTCCGGTATTTAGTGTTTTTCCAGTGTTTTCCGGTATTCAGTATAACATGGTGTTTTCCGATTGTTTTCCGGTGTTTTTTGGTATATAGTATAGCCCATATATGAATGGGTTTACTTACTTTAGCTAATTTACTGAGTTTATTGTAGAGGACAGTGATACCACGTTGTCTAGTTTCTACATTATCTTTATCAAAATGTAAGTTGGCTTGTGATCGTACTGTAAACAAAATAACAATGTTAATACAAAACAAACTTTTTAAACTTTTAGTTCAGCTATTATCGTCTGTTCAAATTTTGTATCTGAAAAGATTTTAAAAAATCTGATTAACATACAGATCTATATTTCGTTTCGTTTTTTTATACTTTCGATGGCCTACACTACATGAAGATCTGACTGGTTGTAGCGATAGGTCACATCAGAGGTCATACGAGCGGCTTTTGACCCAATGACATCAGACATTTGATTAACCAATCAGCATTGATGTTACTAGTGGATTATCCACAGTTCCGTGCAAAACACGCCTAAAGCTCGTCGTAACAGACAGTTTCATTGGCTAATAGCTCACATAATTCAGAACACGTCAATGATAACAACTCTTCCAGATCCTAGTGTAGTAAAGACAAGTAAAACGAAAATTTGAACTATAAAAACGAAATGAAATAGGATCTGTGTTTAAATCAGATTGGATTTTAAAAATTTATAAATAAATAAAATAAGAACACATTGAAATAATAAAGATCAGACAAAAGAAATTTAACTTTTAGATCTTCTAGGTCTTGATAAGAAAAAAACATATCGAGTCTTGTAAGCAAAATTGTGAAAAATTTCTTAAAATGGCCATATACTAATTCTTTCTTCTTTTTTTTTAAGAAAAAGGAAGAGAATATTCAACAGCAAACAAATTTTTTTTCAATTGTGCCATCTTTCGTCCATCAAAATAACCAGAAAGCAGAAGGAACTTCTATATAAAACAAATGAAGAGTCCAGGGGAAGAACGATCTAAGTCACATTTTTGTCTTTTCACATAAAACGCAAAACAGACTTTTGGACGAGAATGCTTGACGTGAACAGAACGAGTGGGTTTAATTACAACTTCAAAATGATGTTTACTACGATTCATAATTACCAGTACAACAATTGACTTCCACTTTTCATCCAAATTAAGGTCAAATAAAGGGTAAGATGGACGTATTTGTCCGGGAGGCCATTTCAGAAGGGCCTTGGTTCGATGTGACTGATCGTTTTTACCTGAAATTGATTGTTCCACAGAAAGTTTATACATTTTTCTACCAGATGGCGGCATTAACTGGGGTTCGTTGAAAAAGTGACTCAGATCGTTCTTCCCCGGGGCTCTTCAAATATTATCAGCAGCAATTTTTACCTGAAGGAGCCCGTCGAACTTTAGCCGACTTTTTCTGTTTAACCACCTCTTTCTTCATAACAGTTTCTTTAACCTTTACTCTTTTTGGAACTTTCACAGGACGTTTGACAACTTTCTGAATGACCTTTGGTTCCACAGGTTTGACATAATTAGCTGGAACAAAACTCTCAGTTCCATCTGTCTGACGAACTTGCCACCAATCTTCATTAGTTTGTTGTAATAAGATCATTATCTATAACAATAAAAATATGACACAACTAAAGTTCAAATTACTTATTAAATCTGTTTCATTTCTAATTAAAACAATATTTTGACACACTATATCCAATTACTACCATTTCTAAATATCAAACTACTTTTATTTTCATATGCTCTATCAATTTTGTTTAAAAAGCAATAAATGAAATGGTAGATCAAGTGTTTAAAAATATTATACTCGTGTTCAAATTACTTTATTTGCATTGCACTTTTTTCTCTTTGTGCATCCATTCTGAACAGCAAATCTAATGTATATTCTTTCAATATTAATAAGATGAAATGGAAAATACCAATTTAACATTTTTTAGCAATAAAGAATGACACAATAGCAATTGTAATGTTACACTGACAGAACAGAAATCTTATTGTTGTGAAATAAATTATTGTAACAACTTTATATTATATAGAATCAATAAAAATCACAACAAATAGGTCAAGTTAATTGACAACTACTTATCTTATTTTCAAATTTTTCAAATGTTTATATTTATACAATTTCGTTGAGGGATCCCCCTAATTATGTTTAGAAATACTGTTATAAAAATTTACAGCATATCTTTATTTGAAATTGATGTATGGTAATGTGTATTCAGGGCTTTGAGTTTAAAATGATTTTAATATCTATTTGTATGCTTTGTTTTAAAGATTATCTTTATCATATCTATGTTTTAATATGAAGGGAACAATTCAAAATGGTTGAAAAGAACCTCTAAATTTTTCAAGTTCATTTTAAACGGGATAGTGCTTTAGGGACTGACAAAGAAGTGTTGGCTAATTATTTGAATGGGAATAAGAACTAAGGTCCACCATGTTTACGTGTAGAGAACCCTTGACAGTCCTGTTGGAATTCAATGAAGAGCAGGCAAATATGGCACTGTCAAAGCAAAGTTCTCCCCCTTGCATTGCAGGTGTGACTATAGAAATAAATTAACCATGTTAGTTTCAAAATGATCAAGCATTTTGTTAACAAAACTATAACATTCATGTTTTCAAAAATTGAAAGGGATTGAGGAAAAGACATGTCCTTTATGACACCTCTTCATTTAATTGATATGTCCTAGTCTAGACTTTGATTGAAACTTGTTGTTTTCATGTATCAAAACCTTTTATGTAGATTGTTTTAGTTTTGCTTTCACCTAATTTCTTTTTTTGTTTACTTGGTTTCTTTTATGTTGTTATTTTGTTGATTAGATATCCTTTATATTATAAAAAAGTTCTACTGTGATTTGTCATTAATCAATAGCACCTGCTGGCTCCGTATATCAAGACATTTATCTATCCAGTTCTTTAAGGGCGTTGTCATGTCTAATCTATGGTAAATTCGCAATTAATGTTATATTATTTTTCAAACCCTGCTCCACATAAATTTGGAAAGATCTTTAAATAGACATCTAAAGCTGTGATTCAAGTCATAGTTTGGGCACATATCTTTTGTGGTTTTAAAGATATTAAATTTTGAAATCAACTTAAAAATGATCAATTTTCGTCATAAATCTAAAACGTTGTCAGTCTTGTCTTATCTGAATTAAATAATTTTTGGCATGCAAATAGCTAAGCTAATGGTTAATACAATTACGGGAGTGTTTTGTCATTGTGCCAATAATAATGCCAAAATTCCAGAAAATCAAAAAATTTTATAGGTCGTTATGTAAACTGGTCTGAAATAAAATCTATTTCAAATAATCACAATTCGTCCCATAGAAATGTTCCTCCGGATGTCAGCTTCAATTTGACACCAAGTTTGTTAACATTGATTGAGCAGAACTTGGATTTTTTTCATCGTTTTCCTTGGTTTACAAAAAAGGTCCTTTCGAATTGTGATGTATTCGTGTAATAAGTAATGCGAACAGTAGTTTTGGGTAGTGTCGAAAGAAGATAGAGAAATGGGGTTTAACGTCCACTCGACACAAACAAGGTCATTTCGGGACTAAGATATGGTTCAATCTTTTGATCCATAACATATTTGTAAACGAACAAAAATAGTACTTTAACTTTAGTCAACATCAAATAAAAAATTCTTAACGGAATATAATATGTGCGGACGAAATTTCTAAATATATTGCATTACATCATGCAAGCTACATGTAACAAGACATTTTTGGGAGGTTTCTAAGAAGATTAATTAATGGAGAACACTTTTCTGTTAATAATTCTAATTTCTACATAATGAAATATTACTTTGATTCTATCGGCAATGAAGGCATTTTTTAACTGATATTCAAAACCAATGACTTCATTCTCATAGCATGCGTTAAACAAAGCCACATCACACCCAAACAATTGATTTTCATTACTCATTACTTTACTAGAGTGTAAAATAAATATTTAATGAAAAACAAAGTATTTTATGGATTTAACTATTGTTTTAATACTAATCTCAAGATTCCATTTTTATTTCTACCAACTTTTCATTTTCAGAAAACAGAGAAAACCTATGAGGTTAGGCAGGCAAGCAATGGACTGAACCCATGGCACTTTAATCAATGACAGACCAGTCAAAAACCCAACCCAAAATGAAAAGTTAATGCAAAATTGTTGATAGAAGAAAAAACCATGATGGTTTTGATAAGAGTAAAGTATCTATTGGAATGATAGGACTTAAAAACTCATCCCAAGGTGGCAGTTATTACTGTGATTGACAGATGTAAACTGACATGGAATGATCTTCTATTACTGGTTGGATTTATTTGTCATGCCTCTGACCATACATAATATGGATGTTTTAATCTGATTAACAATAAAACAATATCCTAATGAAAATATGAAATGAGGTTTAACGTCCTACGTTTTGGCTCCAACTGGGCTAATGAATACAGGCATACACTATACAGTATGCAAATGAGAGAAATTTTGCCCGGACAGCAGCGGTACTGCCATCTCTTGTATCAAATTCCGACTGTCAAGGGTTCTTGAATTCAAACAAGGCTGGGATGGTATTAATTTTTATCGAAAAAAGAGTAGGTAATAATATGCTTGTAAAGTGATGACAATATTCTTCCTCACAGCTGACACTACCTTTCCCTTCCCCAAAAATCCAAAAGAGGAAAATAATATCTGTTGTCATAGTTGTCACATAATGCATTCTCTTATTCTTATCGGCATATATAAACAATAGTAGCTTAGCTAATTAAGTCCTGAAGTATCAACAAATTAAATAGGAACTAAAGTTTGAAATAGAAAATCCTGCAGGGTTTTTATTTATTGGCCAGTACCTTGACAAATCAACTACTTTGACCCCTTGTCAATAAAGATTTAACACTGCATTCATAAAGTAATAGAATCAGTTTCAATCAATCAATATTAATGTATCAAAACGTCATGCCCATCTCACCGCCCCTTTCTGCCCGCTTATTTGAGAAACGACATAGCGTAGTACTATAGTTACATTGTCAATTAATCATGATGCTTACTTATTAGACCACAGGTAAATTTACATCAGAATAACATAGTAATGAGTAGGTGCACACCTGTAAGCTACAAAGATAAGATATTGTGGCAATTTCTATAAATAACAGAGCTTTGATCAATTGCTCATCACTTCTTCTAGCATCAGAAGGATGTCATAATTTTCTCTTGGAATTTAACACAGTACAAGTAAGGCTTTTATTACCATTATTTTATTTTAATCATAACATAAAATTTCTTCTCATTAAACTTTCTGGATCAACATTATTTCACCTATGGGTATAGTTATTATTTCTATTTATTCATATCTCTTTGTAAAATTTTAGTTGGGTTATTGCCTTTCGTAGCTAATATTTTCACATAACAAGGGTTGTACTTTTTCTACTTTGTTTAAAAGTTTTAGCTTTACTGGCAAACCATGGTAGCATATAAAAAGAATTGACATGTTTTCCAATAGTTCTTCTGTTAAAATAACAGTTTACAAATACTAGTAATCTATACATCAATCTGTATATTACTGTCATTGATAGTACATATTATATTCCATGTTGTTATCCGGCAAGGATATGGACATTATTATTAATTTCAAAAGATGTATTATTAATTATTACACATTCCCATAATTATTTGATCTATATTCAAATTTAAAGAAGCTTTTGTTGTCATCTCAGAAGAGTATCCTTATTTCTTGCTAGATCTATTATTTATGTTACTAAACACTTGGATCAAAACAACTAATTTGAGGAAAACACGCGGAATTTTTTTCTCATCAATTTCAAAGTAATTTAACTATAAATGATTATGCGTTATGTGTTCTCAATAAAACAGAATTTGTAAAAATTTTCTTTTGTTTTTGCAATTTTGTCTTTGATCAGTCACAACTTTCACAATATTACAAGGTTTTTTTTTATAATACCATTCTATTGGCCCCTGCATTAATTATAAGTAGACAACTGTCAAATGATATTTCAAGTTAACAGATTTTTTATCTTCAATTAATGGAATTGTGAAACACTGTTCTATGCCAACATGGATAATTACCTGGTTTATACACCAATCCATAAAATTCATTAGCATTTAATTTTCTCACTAGATTTATTACTGTCAAAATTAATCACAATCTTGCAGTCAGATATAAATATGACTCTATCTACAATCCAATAAACTAGACACAATGGGGGAAGAACTGTAATTGAAAAAATGTGTGAAACCAAGTAATGAAAAATTAACAGTATTTTATATGAGTAGTATGTCAATATGTCACATTCATTAAGTGGAGTGTATTTGTCTATATGCACTGCAGTATTAAAATGATTTAATACAGAGAGACCACATTCAAATGATGATCAACAGCTTCGTTTGTTCATTCCTAGAGTTTTACGTTCACTTCTACCAAGAGTGATATCGTAGACAAGTGATCAGCAGCTCGAGGTGTAATTGTCTATATCCAGATAGACTACAAACAAATGTCACCACAAATATTTGAAGAAAGCAGGGGTGGATCGACAAGATGTCTGTGAGTATGGTAGGCCCCGAAAGAAGTCAATGTTCTAATGTAGTTTAGGGTCC